GGCTCGGGCTGCCGCTTCCCTTAATCATCCGCCTCCCAGATGTGCTGAAGAACCGCCTGGAGTCTCTGCAGTCGGCGTTCGATTTCGCAATTCAATCTCAAAGCTACGACTCCCATTACCAGGGAGTCTACCCTGTGAAATGCAATCAGGAGCGGTTCGTTGTGGAAGACATCGTGAAATTCGGGTCGCCGTTTCGGTTCGGGTTGGAAGCGGGGTCGAAGCCGGAGCTTCTCCTCGCCATGAGCTGCCTCTGTAAAGGAAATCCAGATGCCTTCCTTGTCTGCAATGGGTTCAAAGATGCTGAGTACATTTCCCTCGCTCTCCTCGCGAGGAAGCTCGCCCTCAACACGGTGATTGTTCTCGAGCAGGAAGAGGAGCTCGATTTGGTGATTGCTCTCAGCCAGAAGCTCTCAATTCGCCCTGTAATCGGCGTCCGCGCCAAGCTGAGGACCAAGCACTCCGGCCATTTTGGCTCCACCTCTGGTGAAAAGGGGAAATTCGGTTTGACCACGACCCAGATTCTCAGCGTCGTGAAGAAGCTCGAGCAGGTGGGAATGCTGGATTGCTTCCAGCTCCTGCATTTCCATATCGGATCTCAGATCCCATCTACAGGCTTGCTCGCTGATGGAGTCGGCGAAGCCGCTCAGATCTACTCCGAATTGGTCCGTCTCGGCGCCAACATGCAAGTCCTTGACATCGGCGGTGGACTGGGAATCGACTACGACGGCTCCAAATCCGGCGATTCTGATCTCTCCGTCGCCTACGGTTTGGGAGAGTACGCTCTCGCCGTCGTCCAAGCAGTGAAATACGTCTGCGATCGGAAGAACATCAAGCACCCTGTTCTCTGCAGCGAGAGCGGCAGGGCAATTGTTTCTCACCACTCCATCCTCATCTTCGAAGCTGTTTCCGCCACCGTCTCCAAAGCCGCCACCATGACTCCGCTCGCGTTGCAGTGCTTCGTCGACGGGCTGACAGATGATGCTCGCGCCGATTACCGCAACCTGACATCTGCAGCAATGAGAGGTGAGTATGAGACCTGCTTGCTCTATGCTGATCAGTTGAAACAGAGGTGTGTGGACTTGTTTAGAGATGGAACCATAGGAATGGAACATTTAGCTGCTGTTGATGCGTTGTGTGAGTTTGTGGGGAAAGCAATTGGTGTTGCTGAGCCTGTGAAAACTTACCATGTGAATCTCTCGGTGTTCACTTCGGTTCCCGATTTCTGGGGGATCGACCAGCTGTTCCCGATCGTCCCGATTCATAGGCTCGACGAGAGGCCTGGAGCTAGAGGGATACTATCCGACCTGACCTGTGATAGTGATGGCAAGATCAACAAGTTTATCGGTGGAGAGGAGAGCTTGCCCCTCCACGAGATTGAAGGAAATGGTAATGGGCCATACTACCTGGGGATGTTCTTGGGCGGGGCGTATGAGGAAGCGCTCGGAGGGGTACACAATTTGTTCGGTGGTCCGAGCGTGGTGCGTGTGTCACAGAGCGACGGGCCTCACAGCTTTGCGGTGACAAGAGCCGCTCCAGGCCCTTCGTGCAGCGATGTCCTCCGCGTGATGCACCATGAGCCGGAGCTGATGTTCGAGACCCTCAAGCACCGTGCTGAAGAGATGATGTATGACGATAGCAGCGACGATGGGGAGAGCAGTATGGATCATCACCATCACCGGGGCAATGCAGCTGTTGCCAGCTGCCTTGCAAGGTCGTTCCACAACATGCCGTACCTGGCAGGTGCTTCGTCCTGCTCCCTGACTGCTGCTATGGACAATGGTGGTGGTTTCTATTACTGCAGCGACGAGGATGGTTATGATGCTGCTGCTGATTCCGCTGTGGCCTCAGCCGAGGATGAGCAGTGGAGCTATGTCTGCGCTTGACATTCACCCGTCCCCCCGTAGTATCCGTTCCTTTGCTTGCTTCCTTATGATGTATCTTTGATGGTTTGGCTGGCTGGTTGGTTGTACGGAGTTGTCGATCGGTTTCTTGTTATTTCTTTCTTGAATTTTTGGTTCTTTATCTAGTATGAATCGAAGAAGGCAGGAGATGCACATTAGCAGCAGCAGCAATGTTGCTGGCTGTAGAAAGGCAGAAGAGCTTTACTTCTGTTCTGCATCATCCTGTTGTGTCTTCCTTATTAGACCCTTCATCAAGAGCTTTTTAGTCTTGATAATAATAACAATGATATAAGTTTATTAATGCTGCCATGAACATGGTGATGCTTTCTTTTGAGCAAGTAGTGTATTTATCAGAATGTTGCGAATTGCGATGTAACAATTGTTCCGAGACTGTCACCGCATGCATCTAACGATCGAGTTTGCGTAACCACAGAATTGTGGGTTGGCTACTGTGATGCCTATATCTTGTTATTGTGGAGGGATCTGGGAAGGTCCATTTTGATGGTGATGAGGCAGATTCTCAGTCATCTGGTTCCCAACTGGAGTGATCATCATCCCCTTTTTACTTTTGCTGAAATTGGGGGGTTTAGAGTCAAGGCGGCAATGGAGTTAGGGTTTATGATTGTGGTAGGGCCTTGTACATGAACAAGATTCTGCAAATCAAAACCCTTTTTTATAACGGTAGGGTTTGTCTTGTTGTGTGTGGGTTGATTAGGGCTGACGGCATCTCGGCAAGTTGCGGTGAGAACTTTGTGGTGGCGCCGTTAGCAGGGCTGACTGGTGAGCAAATTTGGTCCGCAAAACCTTTCTTGTGGTGGAGAGAGCTCAAACAGTGCAGTGCTCACATTCCTTTGTGGCTTGATTGCATAAATCATCATTAAACTTTGTCATCCGTGACAAATCGATCATTGAATTCATATATTTGACAAGTAGATCACGGGGTTTGAAATAACGTAACACAATAGGGGTTTCATGATAAAACCTTTTTGTCCAGATAAGCATGTTAGACCCACCGACAAGCTAGTGGTTAGTGGTTGGAGATACATAGACGAGCAGCTATTTCATGTAGTTTAGATGATATTTTGATAAGTCGACGAGTCTGATGCTAGCTGCAATTCAGTTGTTAATGGTAGCTTGTTGCATTGTATTTGTATCTATGGTCATTCGATCTTTAACTTGCTTAGAGTTGATGCGTCAATCTTGAAAATATGCACAAGAAACTTGACGCAGACGGCCAAAGTGAGTTGTATTATTAGGTTTTCGCTAACCATGGTTGAAAACTTTTGCTAAAGTCAAAGCTGAGTGATCAATTTGTTAGGTACCAAAAATTTGGATGCTATTTGCGTAATTAACCCATTCCTCCGAAGTTCAAAGGATAGGAAAGCATTGGGAGGCGAATTTTGAAACGCACAAAAGAATTGGTGTCCACAGAGAAAGTTTTCCAGGTGGTGCCAATTGGCTTTCAACAGAAGACAGCTGTTGTAAGTTCATCGAGGAACATGTTAAGAACACAGAACTCTCTAATCTTTTGGGATAGAGTTCATAAAAATTTATCATGCCGTTCTTTAAACGCTCCCATCAATACTTTCATGCCCAATGTGTCAATGGTACGGTAAAGGAACCAAGTGGTGCTAGCAACCAATCATGATGGATTCGGGGCACTTCAAACCTCGTTTTTACACATTTGCATCGCTGATATGACTTTGATGACGCAAACGAGAATACTCACCCAGAAAACCGAATATTGAAAATATGGCAAATTATTATTAAGTTGATAAAGCTAGGTAGATTGATTGGCATATCCTGCTGCTACCTGTTACACATTGACTGAATCGTATCTCATCACAAATCATTCAATGGTTTATTAATGGAGAGTGGTTGGATTCAATTGAATGCCTTAGCCGTTTTCCTTATGAGATTCCATGGAGATAAGGTGATGGGAGAGCAGGTGGCGCCCTGGCCGGTCGTTTGTTTGTTGGGTAACGTATGGATGGGAAGACGAAGCTACCTTTGCCTACAAACTCTTCTGTTGTTAATTGTTTTATATTATACATATCGAACCCCTGCATTCCAGCTTAATCATAGGATTCTGTCTGCTTGAGATTGCTAATCATCATGGTTTTGGAGGCTTAATTCTGTGTGTTTGTTTGACTGTCGTTGAGAAGATAGAATCTGTCCCAAGCTCATTTTGGTAATCACTTGCTTGAATGAATGCCTATGAGAAGATAGAATCATAGAAGCTTTCTCTCTGTTTTTTTTAATGATTATTGGGGAATATTGGAGACAGGATGTTCTGCCAATCTTTTATATGGGTTAGCACCATACTAATAATGAGTTGTAGTAATTCATGTCGGAGTTGTAGTCTTGCAATAAACAACGAATGCAACGATAAATCGATAATTGCATAAGAATTGCAGTTCTCTCAATTATAGAAAGATGTGACAATGACAAAAACAATGACTACAACTATAATTGTGCTGCCACAGCTCACGATGAGCATATGATACAGAACTTCTTAGGGTTAGCAAGCTAATCAATCTCGAATCTTTGCGAAGATTAATGATTTCGAATTCGAGATATCTCGTAGAATGATTTGACTACAATATTATTGATGGCTCACCTTAATTTGTTCCATAATCCACACTTTGTTGCTTTTATGTTCGAACTTGGAAAGGAAAATATTCAACTATATTGCACCATGCTTGCGTTGAAATTCTTGAGCTGGGCTTTACGTGCAATAAGCTAGAAGGCCCACTTAGCCCATCAAGGAAAACCTGGAGAACTTTCATCCATCCACGACTGGCTAGGGCCCAATTTATTGTTCAGAGCCCAGCCCAGGGCTCTCAAACCCGCACACGTAGCGGACAATGACGTGGCGTGAACTCTACGCACCAGCAGCGCATCTTAGTCATTTTCCTAAAACTTTGCATTATTCCTGATTGCGCAAGGCCTTTTATTTTTCCCCTTTTTATATTCCTCTGCGACTTCCTCTTCTCAATCGTCTACCCGTTTCCCTCCGAGTTCCGTTCAATTCCCGCGAATTATCGTCGGAGCCTTCGCGCAGGTGAAGATTCTCCGTTCTCTCCACGAATTTTTCGCAACGGCTCTTCATTCCCGTTTCTGCTAATTCCTTAGATCCCAACAACAACTCCCTGATGTTTCTTGCGGTCTAATCCAGAATTTGTCTGTTTGGTTACTCGAGAAACCATTGTTGGGGGGGGGGGGGGGGGGGGGGGAAGACTTGATGCAGTGAAATTGGTTGATGTGGTTGTTCCTTTTCTTTATGGGAGAGGGGATAATGATATGTGAATTTGATTAGCTTGATAGGAGTTGAATGGTGGGCGAAGTTCGACTAGTTTTGCCTTTGGAATGAATGAGGTTTGCTTAATGGTGGAGTTTTGTGCGGCTTAGGATTGTGGGTTTCAGTAAATTTTCGAGCTTGATTGGAGTATTCCACATTTTTCCAGTTAATGGTTTTGATTGATGGCAAGTGGACTGGATTTTTGAATGTGGTGTTCTCCCATAACGTTTGACCTTCCATCTTGTAGGAACTCGGGTTCAATCAGTCAACTTCTTCTTTCCGCACAATCCACGATGGTAAGTTATGCATTGAACTTGGGTGATTTTCGGTTTAGCTTGGCGATCATGGCTGTTTATCCTAGAGTCGGGGTAGCATGGGAAGTGTTCTCTAAATCCCTGACAACAAGGGGAAAGTTAAATCTAGAACTAAATTGAAGTGAAAACATTTCACGGTTTATAAAGTTTCGAGCTTGAGAAGTAGGGAAGTTAACTGTGTAACTGTTGAAATGTTATGCTGTGAGCATATTTTTACAACTTCTGTGGTATACATTCTAATCTCTTATCTGTTTAAATCTGCTTGCAGTTATCTAGATTCTATTATGCTGTTATTATCATCACTATTCTTCTTGTAGGTTCACTCTTTCTAAATGTCTCTTTGTTGCTTGCTGTGTAGTATTTTGATGGATATGGGTATCACGGGACGTCCTTTGAGCAGACCTACCGATGTTACCCTGCCTCGTTCATTGAGAAGGTTAGTTTCTGTTCTCTGTCTTTGTTCGGAACGTAACTCTTCTTTGGTTATTAGATTAAGGACTAAAACATTATGATTCGTGTAAGGCTGATCCATTTTCCTTTCTGGATTCTCTTGCAGCCTCAAATTGAAAGTGGTGATAAAAGTAGGTTTCCATGACCATGTGTTAGCATTTATTTAAGTCCTTTTTGTATTTTCTTATAGGTTTTTACTCTTGTATTTCTTCACATTGTTGCAGTTATAATGCCTCCTTCAGCACTTGATCGCCTCGGTTAGTAGTTTTACCAGTTCTTTCTTGCACATGTTGCATTACATCCTATGTCTTGAAGATGTGTTCTGATCATGAAGCTCAAACGTTGCAGCATCCCTGCATATCGATTATCCTATGCTGTTTGAGCTACAAAATGATGCTGCTGACAGAGTCTCTCACTGTGGTGTTCTTGAGTTCATCGCTGAGGAAGGCATGATCTACATGCCATACTGGGTAGGAAGTCGTGAAGTTATATCGTGTTTATCATGAATTGAAAATTACTCGTGATAGAGATTTCTTTTGATTTATGACACCTGCTTACACTGATGAAAATCCCTTTGTTATTTCTAGATGATGGAGAATCTGCTCTTGCAAGAGGGAGATATAGTGCGATTGAAGAATGTGACCCTTCCTAAGGGAAAATATGTCAAGTTGCAACCTCACACAAAGGACTTCCTAGATATTACCAACCCTAAAGCTATGTGAGTCTTCTTCAAACTAGATAGTTTTCGTTTGATTGAATTAGCTAGATTTCCCGGGAATCTCCTGTTTTTTCACTCAAGCTTATAATACATTGTTGAAACAACTTTCCTATCGAATGAGCTTCCATTTGAATCTTGATATAACTGGAGTTGATTTTACCACTGCAGCCTAGAGACGACATTAAGGAACTATTCCTGCTTAACAACTGGTGACAGTATTATGGTGGCATATAACAACAAGAAGTATTACATAGATATCATAGAAACAAAGCCTTCAAATGCAATAACTATCATCGAGACTGATTGTGAGGTAGATTTCGCACCTCCCCTTGATTACAAGGAGCCTGAGAGAAAGCCTGCTGCATCTGCTCTTTCGAGCAAGGCTCCATCTCAAGGTGTGCCCTTTCACTCTCTACTTGTACTTGTTTGTACCGTTTTAATGTAAGCCCTCAATGTTTGATGGTCGTCCATTTAGGTCTCTGCATATTGTGAAAGTGATTCCCTTTGTTACTTTGTACCAGTTGAAGAGGCTCCAGAAGAGAATATACCAAAATTCAATCCCTTCACAGGAGCAGGGAGACGTTTAGATGGTAAACCGTTGCCGTACCAGCCTGCTCCAGTGTCTGCACCTTCTTCATCCAATGGCAAAAGTCCTGTTGCAGCCAATGGTAGCGGGCAGTCATCTGCTGCTGCTGCTGCTGCTGCTGGCTCCAGCTCACAAAATGCTTCTCGCCAGGCCCAGGGAAAACTCGTGTTTGGAGCAAACGCCAACCGTGCTCCTACCAAGGGAACACAGAAGGTGGGTTATAGAATCTTTATTCAATAATTTGAGAAACTGTCTTTCCCTTTTGAGCTGCTGATGGTAATTCATAACTTTGATTGATGTTGCAGGAAGCTGCAAAAGAGCCGAAACAAGAGCAGCCAGAGAAGAAAGATGAACCGAAGTTCCAGCCGTTCTCAGGGAAGAAGTACTCATTGAGGGGTTGATTATTTATTCACCAACACAGTCAATGCCCTAAGAGTTATGTTCTGTTGCTACTTGGGAGTATCATAAAAAAGCAGTAAAATTTATGTGGATTCAGTTTCACTGGGTTGTTGTATCATGAAAAGTACATTAACTATTAGTTATGTTATGATAATGGGAATGTGTTAGGGTTCCTATTTGAAGTGATTATGCGAAGCTTGCAAGCCTCTACCTTGCTGCAAAAGCCGCGTTTGGTTTTCGTACTTACTCAATCGGAGATACTAGTTTCCTTTCTATATGCCGGAAATGTTGATGAAATAATGTTTAGTGTCACTATTGTGGTTCAACAAGTAATTCAATATCAAATGTTACCAGTTGATTTATCATGAATAACGAGTTTAACGGTAATGAAGTCGCGTGAGAACGAAAAAAAATTCACCAGATAGTCGCCTTAATCGATTTACTGGAAGCATCGAGATGAACATGACACATTCGTAATTATCTTCTGCGTTCTTGTTCTACCATCAAAGTGTTATAACTCGAATGTCTCTCATTCAAATTCATTCAAATATATATCCAGAAATTCTGCACAAGCACAGGGATACTAAAACGTCTTTTGGTTTCAGCTTCTTAACAACACCAGTTCACCAAATGAAACAAGGAAAAGCCAGGAGGCAAATGATCCCTTCTAAAATGACACTAACAATGGGTGCTGTCAATCATCAATGGCACTGTCTAATTAGCGCGTTGAGTTTGGTTCGCCATCGGGATAATGGTAGCCCGTAAGATAAGAATGGAAGTTCTTCAAATACGCTTCATACATTGAGTTAGTTGGATTTGGATCATTAGGGTGCCTACAACATTATGCGGACGACAGCGAGACCCATGGCGGCCATCGAGGCAAGGGTACCTATGCAGTATTTGGCGATGTCGTACTTTGCTGCTTCCACTTGAGCTCGTACTGCATGAATTTCCTGCGTAGCAGAACAGGGCAAGAGATCGTTAACAGAGGTCGGACAATTGGGAAGCAAGGATTACGTGCATCAAAGAGATGGTAACAGGCTTTCACCCGATCAAGCGTGTTAGTCAGGTTGGTCGTTTCTGCTTTCTGATTGGATAGCTCATCTCGCATCCGCCTGCAAAACAATGTTATTAAGCATATTATTGTCAAGTAACATAGCAAGGAAGGAAGGCACTCACCAAAACCAAACACATGGGGGCTAGAGGTGACAAAAACTCAATCCCTCACTCACTGAAAACGGGTTTTGAACCGATTACCCATGCTATTTCTACACTAAATATTTTCCTGTGGCAGGGGACTGCCATTCTCGACAATCCATTATCAAGTCCTTACCATCACTTTATGTTAGTTGACCACTAAGGGTCCGACCTGGCAGATTGTGCAAGTGACTTTTCACCAAATCAGGCTAAAATTCAACTAAAACCACCCCAATACAGTGCTCAATTTAGCAGCCAAGAAATAAACCATCACCACAGCTCGTCAACCCACCAACCTATCCTAACCCAACTAGTGAACACATGAACCTGCAAACACGACCAATTTGCCACGTCTACTTAGTCTATATTATTGCAGTTACATATTTGTTCTCTAATGCTAATTCATCAAGTAGTTCTTATCTCACAGAAAGGTGATCTCCATTTCTACCTTGACATTTAACAGACAAGTTAAAATGCCTTCATCAGAAAAAGGTTTGAAAACTGTACCCTCTTTCGAGATTTAAATCCAACCGCTGACCAGCATTTGCCTTGTCAATTTCATACCTGTTTTAGGATAGCAAAAATAAGACAGTAATGAGTAAACTGACTCTTTGGGCTACAGACAATACCAGTGTATGGAAACAAGTTCTTCCAATAAAAGAACCTCAGTTCACTGTGCCCTTTGTCTATGTGATTTTTAAGCTTCTCGATTTCGCGTTGCAATGTAGCATAATGATCATCCTGTATAAAAGGTAAATGGTCAAGGGTTGAAGTACATAACATTTTTAAAACAAGATTCTCAACAACCCATCTATGGGCACATAAGCTTCCAGTACTATCTACAAGGAAGAATAGTACAGAAACAAAAGAACGGCACTTAAGAATTATAAATAAAGAGCTCATCCACATTGAGTTAAGGCTATAATCACTGGAACAAGAAAACTATTTCTGATATTGATGCAGCCCTTTTCAAGACTCAGGTGATCGCTCGTCCTAACTCCTAAGAAATAAAGGTCAGGTAGGTGGTCATTTGGTTTATTGGACCGACAGGATGAAGCTCATTGCTTCGCCTGTCAACAGGCCAGTTGTAGGGAAACAATCAGACAGTTTATCCAGATTCTTCACAGGACTACTCAAGCTATATGCTAAACATTTTACCAGATCAAATTACACACTGTAATAGACCCCACTGCAACATGGCCTATTGTATCATCAATGCATAATGCAAAGTAGAGGGCCCCGGTAATGCAAAAATATTGACTAAACAAAACAAGTCCCGAACTCACATTGCATAGTTCCAGCACATATTAAGCTTATCAACTTGTGCCCTTACAGCTAAAGAACAACTCATCTTTCTGCAATTACGAAACCGCAAATTAGACGCCAGCTAGTATCTAAATCTACGTTCTCACCTCGATTTTGTTCTAGAATTAAATTCTAATCAATTACTAGGAAGAAAGTGATCCCCTATACACAATCCAATCACCAAACAACAGAATATCCTTAGAGCTAAAACAAAGTGAAACTGAAAGGGTCTACCTGAGAGCCCTTTGTATCGGTTTGGAACTTTGACAAGTCCGATTGAATTTCGTTCTGGAACTTGGAGAGGGTGGATTCTTGAATCATTTCGCGCGCTACTTGAGCGCTGTTGACTTCAGATTTGAACTTCGATAGGTTCGATTCTAGAAGCATTACACTCTACACAAAATATAGATTAAGGATTAGTACACAGACAAACGTTACTAAAAAAAACAAATCTATGTTGAACTTTCAACTTCACTTACCTTCTGCATTTCTTCCTTTGAGATACAAGAATGCGACAAGCTCTCCAAACTAACGTTCAACACTGCAATGATGGCGTGAGTGATCGCCTCAGCTTGCTTTGAGGGCACGTCCTGCGATTCCAACCTCCTTACCTTTCACAGACAATAGAGAAACAAAAGCCTCAAACGATCGAGTAACCACCGGAACCACTGACGAAAGAACGAGAGCAAGAAGTGGCGAGTTTTACCAGGGCCAATGTATCGACGAGGAAAGCACGGTTGGCGCCATTAGTTCTGGCGAGGTCGGATATATGTCTACTATGCTCCAACTTCCCGGCGAGGGATGAACTCCTCGAAGAAGAAGCATCGAGGAGGCGCAATTTGACGAGGTGAGCTCCCGATTGAGCAAACCGCCTATACAGAGCCATGGAACTGTTTCCTCTTCCCCTCCGATTCCGAGGAAGTCAATATAAACGCGGCGGGCGAAACCGCGAATTAACACAGAGGATACTAGAATCAGGCTAGACGACGGCCACCGGCGATGTCTGGGAAGATCTGAGAGACGCAAGGCGGGGACGGAGAAAGTGGAGAGAGCGACGGAGACGCAACTGCTTGCTTTGCTGGTTTCGTGCAAAGAGGTCTGGGTTGGTGTGCGTTTTTCTTTTCTTTTCTTTTTTCCTTGCGGGAAACGAAAATTTGCGCAGCTGTGCATATCTTTCTTCTTTTGCAGTTATATGAAACAGAATCGAGATAATTCCAGGTTAATTCTCAGTATGGTTCCTGAAGTTTGATAATTTTCTCAAACGAGTACCTGAATTTTGCTTGATTCTAATCAGCAGCCAGAATTCGTGACGTTTCTCAATCCTGCCCCCATAGCACCAACTTTGACAGATTTTGCGCTTAGAACAGTCCTAACAGCACGAGAGGGAGGCTTTCCTAGTCACATCTCTTAAGTCGTGACCCATTCTATCAACGTCGAACCATGAATCCGTAAATCACCCCGAACAATGGCTCAAAACGACGTACACTTATTTTCGCGATGCAAGGCATGCCATCTAAGTCTAACTATTAGTTCAAACAAGAAACAGAGTGAGAGAGAAGATAAGGGAAAAGATTACAAAACGGTATTGAAACTTCAATGAAGTTAACTACCTGTACTTCTTTATGTTAACACAAGCTAAAATTGGAAAGCTCTGTACAAATCACATATCAGGCTGTGCTCAAAATTCCTACAAGCTCACTCCCCCGAACCCTACCTCACCCCAAATTCTTATTCATGTATGCAAATAATCACAGGATGCACCTTTTCTGCAATGCCCATTCTCGCGGAAAAACCTGCATACTTTCTGCGCCCTGTTATATGCCGGGGCAGGGCCCCTCGACGAGGACGATTGACTATTCCATTGCATATCCCCACCATCACCTCCTCCGCGACCACCTCCGTAGCCAGAACCCCCTCCCTGAGACCCTCTGTCCCAGCTGGGGTGGTTGTTGTTGTTGTTGTTAGCATTTCCGGGTCCAACCCATCCCGAGTTCTGGTTGGTATGCATCGTCTGCGCTGCTGCAGCGCCTTGTCCAGGTGTTGCAGGTGCCCACCCTTGAACGGCGGGAGACCACCCGGCGTTTGTGTTCCCAGCAACCACCTGCTGCCCTTGCATCCAGTTAGGATTTGCATTCCCAGGAATCATTCCTTGATTTGTTGGAACATGAGCAATCCCCCAGCCCTGATTTGTATTTGCAGGAGGCAGGTTTCCACCCCACCCCATGGTTTGGTTTCCCGGGTTATCTGCAACTGGGACGCCCATTCCTCCCCATTGCACTTGCGCACCTAATTGCGCAGAGGGTTGCTGCACCGTTTGTGGATTCGCCCAGTTCGCATAAGCATTGTTACTGAGTGGAGGAGCAACAGGCATTGAAGTATTATTCGGCTGCATTGAACCACTTCCACCCCATCCTTGAGATCCAGTTCCACTTCTCATGTTTGAAGCATTTCCTTGTGCCCCGCCCAGGAAGGGATTATTACTGATAGTCTGAACCAAACTCTGGAGCGCTGCTGTATCCATAGCTGCAGGAACAACAGGTGCAGTACCACTGGAAATCGGGACTCGATGCAAGTGATTGGAGTTCGCCTGTACAACACGAGGAGATTCAACTTGCACCAGAGAATGCATCTGTTGAGCAATTGCAGCAGCTTGCCTGGCGACTGGGCTTGCAACATGAGAAAGATTAGTCACAGTATTCAATTGAGAAGCAGCAGCAGCAGCAGCTGGAGCAGGAGTTGGAGACCACCTGCTTTCCCTAGCTTGTCTTGTTCCTCCGCGTGACCCAGCTGAGGCTGGAGTTGGAGAAGGGAGACTTGTCTCGGAGTTCCACCTGTCAGCAGGATAATTGGGGATCTCAACTGCAGTGGGAACAGATCGTCCAGAAGAAGAGCTATTACCATTGTTATTATTATCTCTTGCCGGAGCAGCAGAAAACCGCGAGCTACTCTGAACCAAGGGAGCTTGGAAATTTCCATCCAATGCATCAGTGAGAAGTATGGAGTCCTCTTCTTTCTCAGTGGCTCTCCATATTCTCAAGTCAGAAGGGAAGTATCCAGTGCTGTTCCATTTTCGAAGCTGTACCATGGAAAAGGGCCCCTGAATTTTCCCAGCAGGGTCTTTGTAATGCCATATCTTCTGTGTCTCGTTTGCTTTGGCAGAATCGGATTGTTGTGCCAAACCTGTTGCGGGAGGAGCTGCTGGAGAACTCTCTTGAGCTGCAACCCTAGGAGCCAAATCTGCAGTTACACTACTACGTTGTTCTACATTTGAAGCACGTTTTGGGCTCTCCCAGCTTTGGGGTGCCTGGATTTCCCGGTCTCTTCCTAGACTCCACGAGTTGTCATTCAATTTATCACTAGTTCCAGTTGTGCTATCCCCTCTGTAAGAGAACCCTTTACTAGACGAGTTCCTGGTCAACTCTCGGTTCATACTCGAGAAACTCCGAGTTCCACCCCAGGATTCATTTGGGTTGGTTGCTCCTTTCCTCGGTGAAATTGGCTCTCTTGACCTTCTACTGAAACCACTACTGCCTCTGGGTCTATAGTTACCGACTGCACCAAAATCCAATATGAACAAGGTTGCATGAGACGCTATAATGATATATTTAAGCCATGAATAAGATCAAGTAATAAGTACCTTGTCTCTTATCATCCTCATCATCTTCTTCTTCAGATTCATAACTTGGATCCATCTTTGGATCAACATGAATTTCAGGAATTTCTTCCAACCTTCGCTGGCGCTCGTCAGGAGACTTCAGAAGCTGCAACTTTTCTACACATTCTCTGAGCGTAATCAAAGGTCAAGGATAACTAGTAATAATAAAAAAACAAGATGTCGTCTCCAATTCAGAAAAGAAAAATTATTGATTTTGACACAGCACAAAACTGCCAAAAGACAAGAAAAGACCCAAACTGCCAGAACATAGGAAAGAGGTACAGTTAGATACAGCGACAGATAACAGCTTGAAAGCATGCGATGTATCAACAAGAATAACATAGCATCAGCAGTCTAGTCAAGACAATGCTCAGGAAGTTGTAGACAAATAAACGAGTCGCAAAATTTAACTGGAAAAAAGGATATTCCTTTCTCCTCCCCATGTCACTAGCTCGATCTCGAAGATGACTTAGACGGGTTATCTCTGAATCCAGTATCTGCAGTATATAAAATGACACCAAAGATTGGAAATGTTGAGAAGATTCCAAATCTATTAAAAACAGGCCAATAAACAACCATAAAGAACACACAAGAAATATTTGATCAACCGCCAGCAATATATAAAAGAAGGGGTTTTTTCCGCGGGAAATACTTCATCAAGGATGACACAATGAGTCCCTGGAACCATAAGTTTTGCTCACAAACCAACTCTGAGGTTCACATCTTGAAACAAAACAGAAGTAGCTGATACAGAAAAAGAAAAGATGCCACCTAGTGGTGTTGTATCTTCATAAAAGGATATATGCTCTAGAACTAAAGAGGCAAAAATATAGCAGCTTAAACCTTTTCTTTAGCCAACCAAAAATAATTTACCATCCCCTAAAGCCATGTTACCTCTCTTCAATCGCAGGGAAAACACACAGGCTATAAAGTAACTTTACGTTGAAAATGGTGTTGAAATTTTGCAGCTAGCGAAGAAGTATAAATGGGATTAACTCCAGCTCCTACATGAATCAGAAATAAGAGGAAACTGCCTAGCGAAACAGAGTGGCAAGTATGATTACTAGGATCTGAGATTCACTTAACCAATCAACCAAGCCGTTACCCGTTTCAACTTCTGAGCATTATTTTCCAGTCTGATGAAGGCAACATATCTTATCTGGCAGATAGGAGAGGAGACAAAAAAACAATTTAGCACACATCCCAAAACTTACATCTTGAACTCGAACTGCCTGCAATGCAATGGCTTTTTCCTGGATGTCACCCTACAAACAACAAAAAATGGCATCTTGAGGAGGGAATCTAAAACCTTGGGGGAACACTTCAAATGTAATGCAACTTTACCACTGTCAATCGATCAAGAAGGCCACATTTTATGCTTTGTCGCAAACGCTTGCATTCATCCTGTGGAATCAAGAAAAAGAGCAATGTATAAACATTAAACAACAATTAAAATGAGGGTAAGCAGATAAGCACAAATCTCTATCGCAGGATAATTGCAACACTAAGGCTGTTAATTAGGAGAACAGGACAACAACTTAGATAGAAGCATGCAACAGTAACAGACTTATCGCCCATAAACACAGGTCACTAGAACCATTCCATATGATCCAAACAGCATCATATGCCATCTATAGTTCTCTCTAAAATCCAAACAACTACGACTAGAGAAATATCAATAAATTCCCCTTCCATGGGGGAAGCCAAATACCAAAAATATCACAGAAATATGGAAAGATATCATAGCTACAGTTCACCTCTGTGAATTCTTGATTTGAAATGGCATCAATTGAGATGACCTCGGTCTTGTTTAGATTCAATATTTCCAGCAGCAAATTAGCTGTTCTTTTCCCAACTCTATATGGATTATCAGCTTTCTTGGTTCCTGTGAACAACATACAAACAAACAAATTTTATTGTCCATTGAAATTCCTGTCCCATGCTCAGTTGCTGAATGGACAAAAAAGAGATATATCTGTATGAACATGTACCTATAACTTGGACAAGCCTATACAAATCTTGCTTCTGAGAATTTCCAGATATTCTTAATCTCACAAAAGAACCAACAACTTTCTCATTAAATGTTTCAGTGTCATCAAGAAGTTCCTCAACCAAACTCCGCTTCAAGTAAATTAAAGTAATGTTGTGTATGTCGATGGCACCAAAATCATCAACGTTAGATTGCAGTCCTCTCCCATCAGCCTTCTTACGTGACTTTCTCTTTTTATCTTTTCCAGCTTTAACAAGAGCATCCCCATCACCTTCCACCTGATTGGCTTCAATGTCCACACTTCCTTGAACATCATCCCTCTGAGAGTCCTCTTTCAATAGAAAGTGAGATTCAAGAAGCTTTAGCATCTCAAAATGGCCCACTCGAGGTTTACCAAACAGATGTTGAAGCCTTGAATCACAAAGTATTTGACTTTTTCGACGAGGATCACGAAGTTTATTCCTTTTTATGTACTCCAACAACAGAGCTTGTACATCAAACTGAGAACAAACAGATCTATCGCCATTCTTCATGTGGATAACGAATTCTAAAAGCTCTTTTGATGCCCACTCAACACCAACCCCATTTACTGTCTTCTTCTTACTGGGTGTGTCCTTTTGCTTGGCACGAGATTTCAGCCGTTTTTTGCCTTTTCTCCCCTTAGGGGTCTTTAATTCACCATTCCCAGCAGAACTGTCTGAAGCAGATCCTACATCATTCTGAGCATCATACAACTCATCCCCTGACTCCTGCTTTGCAGCAACCGAATCAGATCCTTTCCTTGGATGTTTGGCTGTGGTAAGTTCATCTGATGTGATGGATAACCTTTCCTTCAGATCCATCCAGTAATCTTTGAAGAGATACTCCCAGCTGCTTTTGTCGTCAAAATCCACTCGAGTCTAGGAAGGGTACATAACACCATTAGAGACAACAGTCAAATTTTCAAAAGACACAAAAACAATAGTTAACTGTAGACGATGCTCTACTTGAAAAACTTAAGAGAGAAGAATAACACTAACAAACAGAAACCACCTTGCTAATAATCTACAAGCATGCATTTGTTAAAAAGTCACAGTAAGTCTGTAACACTTTATACAGTTCGGAAAGCATCAATAATGAAAATGGGGTAATTAACTAAAAACAAAGAAATCAAAAGATAGAGGTCTCAACATACCGTTTCTTTGTCTCCATCTTCATTCATCTCAATCATTTTGACAGTTTTAAAACATGTCTCACAGAATCCTTTGTTGCCTCTAACACAGAAAATGACACCATCTTTGATACATCCCTTGCACAATGAGAATGTACATGTATAACACATGTAGTATGCATTCTTCTCACAGTTGCTGCATATATGCCAACCTAATTCAAGAAAGCAACATTTCTGATTAGGCTTAAACAAAAGCAGAAATCAAATATATAATCCTGAAGAGTGAAATATGCACATCATGATTAATCTGGAAAGAACGACCTGCCTGGGAAACACAGCAAAAGGAAATTGACTATCCTTTCTACCATCTCTCGATAAAAAAAAACTTTCCAAACACCATGAAGCCAAGTACTAAACTTTATTAATTATGAGTGCCAGATGACTAAGCTCCGCTGTCCCAAAGTTAAGAAAAGGGAGAATAGCAATAAACTGAGCATAACTAGAAAAACAGTTAACATCCATATCTAGCGTACATAGAGAGACCAAATCAGAGGAGTAAGCTAAACAAAAGAGTATTTGCTGCAGTTATAGAACTATAGTTAAAGATATTTTGGCCATTGACTCCAGAAGAAAAATATCCAGATAACTTCAATCGGTGAATAGATCAGTTAAAAACATTTAATTCACTCTGCATACGCTGCAATAAGTTCAAGAATTTTCCAGCTTAAATCATCACTTGAGATATTGTACAGTTCTTGTGAGATCTGACACAACTCACTTATCGGCTGCTACTTTAAAAATATATATATAGGTGCCTCCTACTCCTTCCATTCCAGCGACCAAACTACTCTTGCAATATCTGTTTTCTCATACCTGGCAGTCCAGTCCCATCCCTAGGCTAAAAGCAATGGCCTCTTTAAATTCGAACTAACTAATTATCGACTTTTTAAGGCTAGATGGGATTTACTAAAATATGTGAATTCTGTGAAATGACTACAATGAGGACCACAAACTTTTGGAGTTCTATGTAATAGAAGAGGTAGAATTGGAGATGTAGAAAGTTAAATTAATGTGGTTTAACACTAATTTAAAATTATATTTTAAAACAGGAAGTTGGGAGTTGGAAGTTGAATGTATCAGATGAAGTGGGTAATAGATCTAGAGGCACCACCAACAAGCGCCTACCCATTAAAACAAAGAAGAAAGAATAATGCTTACTACTTGCAACAAAACAATGTCAGGCCTTGGCTACTTAATACAGCAAGAGAGTTTTATATGTTGATCATTGTATTTTCCTCAACACCATATAAATTCACTGTTGTAGTTCTTCTCAAATACTTGATACACAAAATTCTTTTCGGAGAATCAGACACTGCTCTCAGCATCATCAATTTCCTGAAGTGAATCACAACTTGCTACTAGAAACAAGTAGGCAAAGTGACAGACTGAGAAGTGACAGCACAAGCTGTATGCTAAAAGTTGCTCAAAGACATCGTCTTCTGTCACTCCAGCTCCATTAATCAGTCTTGCAGTGTCACATAGCAGTTCTTGGTGTTGGACAAAAAACATCCACAGTATCAGGGGGTGGGAGATTCATATTAAAGAAAACCCAAGAAAAAATCATAAGCTACCACTAATAAACTGGCAAGCTTGCAAGCAGAAACACCGTACTAGGTAAGAACTTTCTACATTCCAATTAGTCAATAGTCAACTGCTACAGATTAGCTTCCATGTGCGTCAAAAGTTTTTTTTGCCAATAGATGCAAAATATAGAAATCAAACAGAAGCGAGAAATACATAAGGAACTGCAAGGAAGGAAGTAGTTAAGAGTTAGACACAGTGAGTTGCTCACATAACCATTTATTCTGCAACCAGCAAAAGTTTCATCTACCAATTCCTTTTCTACGCAGTGCAGGTGATCCCAAAAAGCAGTCAGACAATATAAGATCACTGATAAATGATAACTAAAATCACACACACTTCTCCTCTAATCTTGCAAATTCACTTACAAACCTGATCTTTCCTAATTGATCTTAACATGAAAAGAAAGAAAAAATGAACCAGCCAGATCATATAAAGCATCGCACAGTATATATTTGACTACCTACGACACCACAGCAAATGAAAACTTGAAACGAAAGGCCTACAACACAAATAGATGAACTTACCACAATTCCATTTTCCTTTTGTTTTGAAAAATGCCTCATCCCGGTTGACGCAGGAGGGATGATACGCCTTAGGGCACCCCCTACAGTTATCATGTCAACCAAACATTAAAACCCCCAAAAGCAGGAAGCCACAAACATTATATGCAGACTATTATTTTATAACCCTCACCTGCGATCACATAGGACAAGCTCTCCACCATCGAAACAAATGAAACATACATCCTCCTCCACCTTCTTCCTTGATGGTGCTTTACCAACAGCTTTGACATTATTTCCTCGTTTCCTCTTCCCACTTCCAGTTTTGCTCACTTCCTCGACATTTACTTCTGCTACCTCCTTTCCCTCTCCCTCCTCTACTGCCTCCTCCACTTCATTCATTTTCTCATCATCATCATTATCGTCTTCTTCCTCCTCTTCCTCTGCTTCATTCACCTTCTCATTTTCCTCCTCTTCTACATCTTCTTCATCTGCTTCATTTGCCGTCTCATCTTCTTCTTCTTCATCATCATCATCATCGTCATCTACTTCATTCACCTTCTCATATTCTGCTTCATTCACCTTCTCATCTTCTTCTTCTTCTTTATCCGATTCATTTACCTCGTCATCCTCTTCTCCCACTTCAGCCATGTCCTCATCGTTATCTTCTACTTCTTCTTTGGGTTGAGTCACATTCTCCTGTTCATCCTGTTCATTCACCTTCTCGTCTTCTTTTTCTTCTTCTGCTTCATTCACCTTCTCATATTCTTCTTCTTTATCTGCTTCATTAACCTTCTCATCCTCTTCTCCCACTTCAGTCATTTCCTCGTCATTATCTACTACTTCTTCTTCTTTGGGTCGAGTCACGCTCTCTTCTTCTGCTGCTAAATTCACCTTCTCAGCCTGTTCATCCAGTTCATTCATCTCCTCGTGCTTTTCTCCTCCCGCAACCACTTCTTCACTCAACTTCTGATCCTCTTCTGCTACTTCACTCAAATTCAGATCATCCCCTTTAAGCCCCTCATTCAACTTGTTATCCCCATCTATCGCCACATCAACTTTCTCCGCCTCTTTTTCCACTTCGGCAATCGTCTTGCCTGCTTCTTCTTTCGAATCAAGTTCTTCCCTTTCCTCCCCTTCCTTATCTTTCTCCTCAAGAGCATCATCCACCTCCATCTCGTCTACTTCCTCGGTACTCCTACCAACACTAGCCGTGTCTTGTCCTCCATCACCCGTCATCTCTTTCATTACGTCATCTACACTAACTCTATTCAAAGCTGCCTCTGGCTGTCCACCACCCTCTTCCTTCGGCAAGTTCTCAATTTCATCCTGCGGCGGTTCAGCAGCCTCTTCCTTCTGCATGTTTTCAATTTCGTCACCAGGCGGTCCAGCAACCTCTTCCTTCTGCATGTTTTCAATTTCGTCACCAGGCGGTCCAGCAACCTCTTCCTTCTGCATATTTTCAGTTTCCTTCTTGTCTACCATCTCCTCAACCAAATCCTTCTGCTCTTCCTCCGTATTATTTTCATTCTCTGCCTTCTCTACTTTCTCGATCATCACAAATTCCTCCACTTCCTGAGTCTCTGAGACCCCACTCTCTGTTTCCTCCTTCACAGCGACTTGCACATCATTTTCCCGCGGTGAATCACCATTGTCGGCCAATCTCCCGCTCTCCTCCTCTCCACCAATCGAATCAGGATTGTCCTCTTCCTTCACCTCAGCCTCCTCCTCTGAACCTTTCTCCACTCCAGAAATCCCGCTTTCAACAACCACAACGTCACCCTGATCTTCGCGTTCATCAACCGTCACTTCCGGCAGCGGCTCCGCCTCAACTGACCGTGACTCCTCCTCACCACCTGGCACTCCAGCAAGCTCATCTTCGCTCCGCTCAGCAACAGTCACTACTCCTTCTTCCAATTCTTCCACAACCGTCGCTTCTTCCGCCTCATGGTTACTCACCGGCGGCTGTGCCTCACTATCGCCAACGCCGCCGGGAGGCGATTCATGAGATTCCGACGACAGCCGCTCCATCTCCGTTCGGCACTCAGGCTCATCGACGGTGCTAATCTGCGGCTCGCACTCCGCAGGCGTGGCCGTCGATGTTGCCGTCGCAGACGTAGTCGAATTGTTTTCTACTTCGGAAGGAGCGGGGTTGGGTGGAATTGAATTCGATTCCTCCTCGGTCTCCATCGGAGGACGAATTCCAAATCGTAAAAGGGGGAAAAAACCCTAGCCAGATATTAGGGTTTTTGAGTAATTTGGTGGTCGTTCTTTTCGCAGTTCGTGAAGTTCGGAAACTCACAGTAGCGTCATGTAAAATTTGTGCTGTCTGTTAGTTAATTATGACGACACGAGCAGAAAGGTGCTCTCGCACTTCCACAGCGTGGGCCGTGGGAGAGAAACAGTGAAATTTTCAGCGAAGGTGGCGGAATGACCATTTTACCCTGGTCCACAGCTGGGCTTTTTTTGGTCAATTGGACTCCAAAGCAGGACCCAATAGAATTATTTAATGGGCTCAAACTGTTGCCTCCAGCCCAATAAAACGTTTCACCTCCTTCTCCATTTCACTTTCCCGTCACAGTTTTACTTCGCCAGTCTGTCGACGGAGACGGGGAGAGGACTGATCAATGGAAGTTCCCGGTGACCGGAATCGACGACGTCGACAGGCTGATCTCACCGCCGGACGAAATCATCACCCAAATACTCCTTTACCTGCAAACCCAGTTCCCCGTCGGCACCACAGCCTTGAGCCCACGGTGGAAGGATCTTTTGGAGTAGGGTTTCCAATCCAGCACGCAGTTGAATTGCTTCCTGCATGTTATCAAACTGCGTGCTGGATTGAACAATGGGTGTTGTTCGTCTTCCAGCTCCTGCTACCGGCGACTTAATTTTCCTCCGCCTCTTGTTATTGCTGTTTCGTCATGTGGGAAGTAAGCCATGGAAGAACCAGAAGAAGAAGAAGAAACAGCAGCAGCAGCTGATCTTGTTGTTAGTGGAAGACTCTCCAAATCTAATTTCAGGTTCGTTCTCGTTGTCAGAAACCCACAACGGAACCAATGGAGACATTAGAACTAGACGAGAAGTCCCTTTTTCTTTTACTTCATTTCATACAGTGAAATTTTGTGAATTCTGGCATTTCCCTCCCCAGAAACCCAGTTCTAGAAGTGGGTAGGTCGTTTTCAACCCAGAAGGTCACAACCTTATTACCTCATTCATTTCCTTCTTAAGCAATGAATTTAGATTAATTAATTCAGTTTCTACTTCAGTAGTTGGTATTTGTGTCGTGTGTAGCTGGTGGTCACCTTGCTAATCTACCTTACAATCTACTGAGATGTTTCAACAATCAGGGCTATGGCCCGCCATTGTTCAGACCAGAAGATGGTGTGCTACTGTGCTGATTCCACTTGCCCAAGCTTCTTTGAGCAGCTTTTTTACCCAGGATTCCAACCAAATTATCTAATTCCAAAAATCATCTAACTTGACAAGCACCAGTCTACCAGAAGAGACAAAGTAACTTTACGTAGCCTCGAAGCTGAGGAAAACATAAAAGAGAAAATGGAACCATCTTCTTCAGGGCATTGCTTGGAGTTCTTGTTGCTAGACAGAGACACACACACCTACCAAGCAAAAACGACAGGGCTGCAGACTTCTTCACCCATTTCCATGGCCTCTCTCCCTCCATTACCCTTTATTTATAGAGTTGGAGAAGTCAGCCATTCATCCCAAACCAGACTGAAAGGGGAAAAGAAGAAAAAACACTAACCCACCAAGAGGAATAGACAGCAGCTTTGGGATCGATGGCGTCTTCCTCCTCCTGTCTTGGGTTCCTCTGCCTTCTGGCCTGCCTCCTCCCAGCTTTCGTGAACTGCACAGTTCGTCATTACAAGTTCAATGTAAGTGTCTTCGTTTCAGCATTTACTCTCATTGACACATGCAACCATGCTTATCTTTTCTTCACAATCATGCTCCTCAGGTGGTGATGAAAAATACTACAAGGTTGTGTTCGAGCAAGCCGATCGTGACCGTGAATGGCAAATTCCCAGGCCCAACCCTCGTTGCTAGGGAAGATGATACAGTGCTAGTGAAAGTTGTCAACCATGTCAAGTACAATGTTTCCATCCATTGGTAAAGATAAACAAACCACAATCAATAACCTGAATCCTGAAAGCTATTCTGACTATAAGAATCAGGAAAAACCAGAAGCATCACCTTTCTTTCTATGTGTGCAGGCATGGCATTAGGCAGATCAGGACCGGTTGGGCCGACGGTCCGGCTTACATCACGCAGTGCCCTATCCAGCCAGGACAAAGCTATGTGTACAACTTCACCGTCACAGGACAGAGAGGAACACTTCTGTGGCACGCACATATCCTCTGGCTGAGGGCTACCGTCCATGGAGGCATCGTCATCTTGCCGAAACGGGGCGTTCCTTATCCCTTCCCAGCTCCTCACAAGGAAGCCGTCGTAATATTAGGTACGCCTCTAGTTCATCAAAACGATGTCTCAGCTTCCAGGAAGCGTTGCAGCTAACGAAATGAGAATGTGGATTTGCAGGGGAATGGTGGAAATCCGACACAGAAGCTGTGATCAATGAAGCCACGAAATCAGGATTGGCGCCGAATGTCTCCGATGCACACACGATCAATGGCCATCCTGGTCCCGTTTCCAACTGCTCGACACAGGGTAGAACATTTTTTCTGTCAAGAGTTTGTAAAGAGTTCTAATCGCGTCAGGTTCTGAAACTCAAACACTTTAATTTTCAATTTTTCAGGAGGCTTCACATTGCCAGTCCACGCCGGAAAAACATACATGCTAAGGCTGATCAACGCTGCACTCAACGAAGAGCTCTTCTTCAAAATCGCCGGCCACAAGCTCACAGTAGTAGAGGTCGACGCCACCTACGTCAAGCCATTCAAAACCGACACGGTCCTGATCGCTCCAGGACAGACGACGAACGTCCTGGTCTCGGCAGACCAAAGCTCGGGGAAGTACCTGGTGGCCGCCTCGCCGTTCATGGACGCTCCGATCGCCGTCGACAACAAGACCGCCACTGCCACCGTCAGCTACGCCGGCACACTCTCCTCTGCTCCAACTACTCTGACCACCCCACCTCCCAAAAACGCCACCGCAGTGGCCAACGCGTTCACAAACGCCCTCCGGAGCTTAAACTCCAAGAAATTCCCCGCAGCCGTCCCAAAAACCGTCGATCACAACCTGTTCTTCACGGTCGGGCTGGGAATCAACCCGTGCCCGAGTTGTAAAGCAGGGAACGGCAGCAGAGTGGTTGCAAGTATCAACAATGTCACATTTGTAATGCCCACCACGGCTCTGCTTCAGGCGCATTTCTTCAAACAGAAGGGGGTCTTCACCACCGATTTCCCGGCCAACCCGCCACATGTTTTCAACTACACCGGAGCCCCGCCGGCGAATCTTTCTACCACGAAGGGGACGAAAGTTTACAGGCTGGCTTACAATTCGACGGTCCAGCTGGTGATGCAGGACACCGGGATCATCTCGCCGGAGAACCATCCTATCCATCTCCACGGATTCAATTTCTTCGCCGTGGGGAGAGGAATCGGGAACTACAACCCGAAAACGGATTCGAAGAAGTTCAATCTGGTCGACCCTGTTGAGAGGAACACCATCGGAGTTCCTTCGGGAGGGTGGGTCGCCATTCGATTCCGGGCTGATAACCCAGGTAAGCAGTGTTTTTCGGATTCTGTTCGGGTTCCATTTCTGTGTTTCGGATCCTGAACTTGCAGGTGTTGATTTGCAGGAGTCTGGTTTATGCATTGCCATCTGGAAATCCACACGACATGGGGATTGAAGATGGCGTTCTTGGTGGACAACGGGAAAGGGCCGAACCAGTCACTCTTGCCGCCTCCAAGTGATCTCCCCAAATGCTAAACGTCGGAGGGTTTGAAGGATTCTCCCCCGTATAAAAACAGAGTCGGAAAAGAATTGTGCAAACAAAAGATTGAGAGTTGAGTTTTTAATTTGTTTCTTGAGCAAAAGTTTTGCTCGAGCAAGTGAGAATAAGAGATTGTATGTGACTAATTGGAGATCTATTTAAGAGCAAAGTAGTTTGTCCTCGATACAATGAGTAATTGGGATGTGATATAATTTGCTATTATGGTGTTTAGTGATTCGATTCATAATCAATATTCCATTCAAATTTAATGTTTGGCACTTATCGTTGTTTCTGTTATCAATCATCATAGTTACGACTATGATTCAATAAGGCGTAATTTTATGTATGCATCGGCATGTCTAGGCGTTAGTCAGTGATAAAGCATCTCGCCTACACTCTAGACAGACGATTAGGTGTTTTTAACGCCTAGATAGAGCTAGGCATCATTATTGGTCTTTATGCATGAGTAATAGAAATTAGGCCTGACTAAGCGACTGAAAGGTCAAGGATTAAGAAAAATGCAACTAATCTCCCCGAAACGACATATTTATAGCTACCTCTATTTTGGCGTGTTCTTCCCGCCCGCTTCCTTCCTCAATCTGGAATCAAAATACTAGGTCAATATCAAACACTCATAACTCGCCCTCTCATTTTCATTCCATTCCTTTCGCCTTATTTCCCGCTTTTCATCACGAGCGACTGTAGAGTTACCACAACCCATAATCTTTTGCAGTTCTTCTCCAACTCTGATTGACCCAACATTTTTCCCTCTTCTTTGTTGGCGTGAGCATTCACAAGTTATAACCCTTGAGGTAATGACTTCTTCGGTTATTTTCAGCTTCAGTTGATCTAATTCTCTGCTTTGCTCTTCGTCGTAGTTGATTGTCAGTGCAACAGCCACAAGCTTCACATGCCAGCAGCGGTTGTTTGTAATGGAAGTGATACGTTTCTATGAATGTTTATTTTTATTCTATTAATGGTGAATGTTGATGAATAAATTTGTCCGTGTTAATGTTTATTTTTTTTATCTTAGTTATGGTGAGTGATAATGAATGGATTTATTCCCATCGTAACCTTTCAAAACTCAATTATTTTTGGCTTAAACAGCCTAGTTGCCCTAAACACTAGGCAAAACATCAAAACCTGCCTAGCAGATCATTTCACTAGCGAGTAGCGACCAGCGTTCCCTCCAAATTTCAAACGTATGATGTTGTTCCCTCCAAATTATATAACCCTGGTCCGTTTCTAATGTTCTCATTCGGGCCCATGCAGTTGTTTGGCCCACGACTGTTTGAATACCCTCTCTTTCGCCTTCTTATCGGCGAACTCCCACTCTCAGTTTCCTCTCCAGACCGAAAATGGAGGCGAAATACACTAGTAAAATCGGCGGCAGCGACGGCGACGACGACGACAGGCTCAGCTACTTGCCGGACCAAATCATCTCCCATATCCTCTCCTTTATGGAAACCAAGTACGCCGTCGGCACCGCAGTTCTCAGTCGACGGTGGGAAGATCTTTGGACTAGGGTTTCGAATCTCGACCTCGACGATGCTCCTCCGGAACGGGAACATGCTTTAGATGACGAGAAAGAGTGGCAATTTTGGCGTTTCGTCGATAAGGTACTGGGCCAGCACAAGAATCTCAACGCTCTTAGTCGATTCCGCTTCCATGTTTCGGTGCGGTATGACCACTCTCTCCCGGTTCTTGGTAGTACCAGCTTTAAGAGAGAACTGGTGTTTGGTCCTCCAATTGAGGAGATTGATGTTAACATTGACGGGGGAACTGAATCAGGAATCCCCCAGTGTTTGCGCTGCATTCCAGAGAACTTCTACACTTTGAAGAATCTGAAAGTTGCCAAGCTTTCGGGGGTTGTACTGGGTGCAATAAACCAGGCCGTTTTCCTTCCTAGTGTGAAGATTTTACAGCTTTCACATGTTAAGAGATGAAGGACTTTGAGTCATTGGGCAGGCTCATTTCTGGTTGCCCTGCACTAGAGACTCTTCATCTGGAGATTTGCAACCCTTCTAACAAGAATGAGAAAGACAGAATCGAGGTTTCCTTGCCCTGCTTGAAGATCTTGAAGATCAACGAATATGCGATTTGGGATGAGCATGAGCCCATGTGTCCCATTGTTATTGAAGGGCCAAATCTTGAGGATCTTTATCTCGAGGACTTTGCAGAGTTACAGTTTAAGGGCAAATATCCATTAGCATGCCTTCGTCTGGCACATGTTGATGTTGGCAAGGAGTGTCGAAACCATGACGTGATTTGTATCCTTTCTCAAATCTCAAATGCAAAGAAACTGTACTTAACTGGGGAGACTCTGGTAATATTTTCAACTGTTCTTTCCAGTGTCTAATTTTGTTTATAAGGGTGCTAATTTTTCTTAATTTTTTCTCTAACAGAATCATCTGTCAGCTGTCAATGATGTTCCTCTGCCTGTCTTTCCCAATTTGACACAATTGACGATTGGAATCGGGCAATCTGGACCCAATAGCTGGTTGCTGTACTCTTTTCTAAACTCAGCCTCAAAACTACCATCTCTTGTCATTGTCATGGTGAGTCTCGTGTTCCTTTGATTATGATCTTCCTTCAATAACTTTTCTGATGAATCTACACGTGAAGCAGATGGACCACTGTGGAGTACCAATGAGGCGGGTTAGTTTGGACAATGTTTGTACACCACAGTGTTTGTTATCAAGCCTGGAGGAAATTGAGATTAAGGAACTTGTAGCATGTTCAGACACCAAGAAAATGATAGCTTATTTGCTCAAGGCTGGAGCTGTATTGAAGAAGGTGAATATGCACGTAAATAGCCGTTTTCTTTAGTTAATGGGCCGCAAAGCTCTCGTCTCGCTACTAAAGCTTCCAAGAGGATCGAGCACTTGCGAAGCCAAGCTTTTCTTTCCCTTCGAGGACGAGTCCTACAATGATTGTGATGACGCGAGCAACACTGACAACGACATGGATTATGATGACTCTGGCAACATTGATGACCAGATCGACAGCGAAGATGACTCCAGCAACCATGAATAGGATTCTCTCTGAAGCATGTTGGCGGGCAACGATGGAGCCTCCAAATAACACGATAGATTGCATCTTGATCTGGTTATATCCAAATGCACTTCGGTAATGATTCTTATCTGCTCAATTCTTATTGAACGAGTTCTCTTTTTATAGATGGTTTGGACGCATATTACAGTGTGGCATTGTTGGATCATTCGGTGCCGAACAGAATGTTTTTAGCTCTTGTATAGATTGCTTGATTAGCTTGCTTTCCTCCAAGTTGACTACAAGAAGTATCAATTTGAGCTTTCCCCATGTTTTGTCTGTTGGGAAATTAATTTGTTTTATCATTATGTGATCTTGTGACTTCGGGTATGTCCTTATGGCCTATGAGGCAGATTTCAACGTACACCGCCAATCCATATGAAATGGTGTGTATGGACTAGTTTTGAAATAACAAATAGCAAAACTTTTACTCAATGAAACAACAAGACTCAGCTTACAACTCTGAATCTACATACATTGTTTTTGTTTGTTCATTCGACTTGGCGAAACTGTTACAACCAGCCCACCTTCCACCTTCTTCAGCATTTGGGAAGATCGCCGGGCGGCGGCAAAAGCGATTGATTGGGGCCTTTCCCATTGTCCACCAGAAACGCCATCTTCAAGCCCCAGGTCGTGTGGATTTCGAGATGGCAATGCATAAACCAGACTCCTGGGTTATCAGCCCGGAACCGAATGGCGACCCACCCGCCCGTAGGCACTCCGATGGTATTCCTTTCAACCGGGTCGACAAGATTGAACTTCTTCGGATCCGTTTTCGGGTTGTAGTTCCCGATTCCTCTCCCCACCGCGAAGAAATTGAATCCGTGGAGATGGATCGGGTGGTTCTCCGGCGAGACGATCCCGGTGTCCTGCATCACCAGCTGGACCGTTGAATTGTAAGCCAACCTGTAAACTTTCGTTCCCTTAGTGGTCGCCAGGTTCGCCGGCGGGGTTCCCGTGTAGTTGAAGACGTGGGGCGGGTTGGCCGGGAAATCGGTGGTGAAGACGCCTTTCTGTTTGAAGAAATGCGCCTGAAGTAGAGCCGTGGTGGGCATTACAAATGTGACGTTGTTGATACTGGCGACCACTCTTGTGCCGTTCCCGGCTTTGCAGCTCGGGCACCGGTTGATTCCCAGCCCGACGGTGAAGAACAGGTTGTGGTCGACGTTCTTCGGGACGGCGGCGGGGAATTTCTTGGAGTTGAGGCTTCGGAGCGAGTTTGTGAACTTGTTGGCCACTGCGGTGGCGTTCTGCGGAGGTGGGATCGTCAGGGTCGTTTGGGCGCTGGACAGTGTGCCGGCGTAGCTCACGGTGGCAGTGGCTGTTCTGTTGTCGACGGGGATTGGAGCGTCCATGAACGGCGAGGCGGCAACCAGGTACTTTCCTGAACTCTGGTCTGCTGAAACCAGGACGTTTGTCGTCTGTCCTGGCGCGATTAGGACTGTGTCGGTTTTGAATGGTTTGACATAGGTGGCATCGACCTCCACTACTGTAAGTTTGTGGCCGGCGATTTTGAAGAAGAGCTCTTCATTGAGTGCAGCGTTGATTAGCCTTAGCATGTACGTCTTCCCTGCTTGGACTGGCAATGTGAAGCCTCCTGGAAATTTGAAAATTAAGTGTTGAGTTTCAGATTCTGATGGTTAGAAGTCTAGAATTTTTTTGCTGCATGTTCTGTAGAAGATATGTACCTTGGGAGGCGCAGTTCGAAATAGGACCAGGATGACCATTGATTGTGTGGGCATCAGAGACATTTGGTGCTGATCCTGATTTTATGGCTTCATTGATCACAGCTTCTGTGTCTGATTTCCACCATTCCCCTGCATTTCACATTCTCATTTCATTATTGCCTGAGAAACTCTTTCTCTAAGTGACATTCAGGCTTTATTGTGTTTACAGGAACTTCAGGTTGTACCTAATACCACAACCACTTCTTTGTGGGGAGCTGGGAATGGGTAAGGAACGCCCAGTTTGGGCAGAATGACAATACCACCGTGGACGGTAGCCCTTAGCCAGAGGATGTGCGCGTGCCAAAGAAGTGTTCCTCTTTGCCCGGTTACGGTGAAGTTATAAAGATAGCTCTGCCCTGGCTGGATAGGGCATTGTGTGATGTATGCAGGTCCATCAGCCCAACCAGTCCTCAGCTGCCTGATCCCATGCCTGCATAGATATATTTCGAAAGGGTAAGGCTCCCTCTTTCTTTCTTTTCCTTAGCTGCAAACTAGCTTTCAGGATTTGGTTGATTGTGTTTCTGTCAACTTACCAGTGAATGGAAACGTTGTATTTGACATGGTTGACGACTCGTACTAGCACCGTATCATCTTCCCTAGCATAGAGAGTTTGCCCTGGGAATCTGCCATTCACTGTGACAATCGGCTTGCTCGAACATAGCTTCGTAGTGTTTTTCATTACAACCTGAAAAGTAACATTGGTAAAATCTGTTGGATTGCAGCTTTAACTGTAGCTGCTAGTGACTTGAACTTCCTGCACTTTTCAAATTAACTGACAGTGTCAATGAAATTAATGGCGGAACGAGTCAAATGACGGTTACCTTGAAATTGTAGTGACGAACTGCACAGTCTACGAAAGCTGGAAGGAAGCAGACCAGAACAAAAAGGAAACGAAGAGAGGAACAAGCCATTGCTGCTTCTCTATTGATTCTGTAAGTGGCTCCTCCTGGATTTAGTTCTTTCTACTTTGATGCTTTGCTTTGCTGTGAATGGGTTGCTCTCCACATGAAACCTTATAAAGGGGAGATCAATTGAGGCATGACAATGCTGCTGCTGCTGCTGCTGCAGAAATGTCATTGTTGTTCTGTTTGGTTGGTGATTAGAGGGATTTGCTCCTTGCAGAATTCCCATTTTTGCTGTTGATTTGTTCCCTTTAAGATTACATAAAGTCACCTGGGGTTTCTTCTTATAGCTATGTTCTGGAATTTCGGATAATCTTGGCAGTAATTGGTTTTTAGTGGTTGAACTTGAAATTTTGGAGTTTTAATAATTCAGCTCCAAAACTTGGGTACCCACTAGCAGGCAAGGAATGAAACCGCAACTAGTGTCGGGTCCTTGCTTCTGTTGAGATGTCCTAGTACTAGTAGATTCCTAGTCAAATTACAACCTGCCACCTAATTTTGAGAAGGGGAAAAAGATAATTTTATTAGAATATGCTAAGTCAATTCTCTTTTTTTTTTTTTTTTTTTGTTTGTTCTTTCTGCTGTTTGGAATTTAACATATTCTAATGGAGTTTAAGGACACGTGAGATTGTAATAGTGAGAGAATTAGAAAGTATGTATATTGTATTGTATGTAATATGTAGGGCTGCAAAATGGGTTTTTTTACTGAAAAATGAACAGTAAATAAGTCTTAATAATATCTCTCAAGTCTTGATGGTAAACTGTCAGTATGCTTCTACCTGGTTTTGGTTTGCTTAGAACTGAAAACTGCTTAAAAACTATAATTGCTTGCCCAAACACACAATTTGGTTCAGTTAGATGAGAAAATAGGCATATCACTACCTTTTAGGACTGTTGAATTGCCCGGCCCATGATTGGCTAAGCTGTTGACTGGGCCTGACACTACCTTTCAGGCCTGTTGAATTGCCCGGCCCATGATAGATCCCAGCCTGGCCCACAATCATTTCCCCCGCCGATAAGCCTTCTTCACCATTCTATTGCGATTTGCCGAATACTTGCATTATTTCTCCTCTACTACCCTCCGTCTCAGTTTCCTTGGCCAGCAGATGGAGACGAAGAAGACTCGTAAAATCTCGAGCACAGAGCCGGGAATCGAGGCCGACGACAGGCTCAGCTCTTTGCCGGACGAAGTCATCTCCCACATCCTCTCTTTCCTGCAAACCAAGTACGCCGTCGGGATCGCCGTCCTCAGGCGACGCTGGAAGGATCTCTGGACTAGGGTTTCGAATCTCGATCCGGAATGGGTAGGCAATTTGATCCGGAATGGGCCTCTAGTATATGGATTCCATTTCTGGCCTGTGATATAACACGGCCCGGTCTCCGTTCCGAGCCCACGATTGGAGTCCAGCGAGGCCCACATTTGCCGATTTCCCCCTCCGTTTTGCCTTCTTTTCCGTTCAATTGCCAGTTGCCGAACTTTCCATTTTTCCCCGTCTCAATTTCGTCTGCCAGTCCGGGAAATGGAGAAAACCACTCCCAAAATCGCGAGGACAGAGCCGGGAATCGACGCCGACGACAGGCTCAGCTTCTTACCCGATGAAGTCATCTCCCACATTCTCTCGTTCCTGCAAACCAAGTACGCCGTCGGAACCACCGTCCTCAGCCGCCGGTGGAAGGATCACTGGGCTAGGGTTTCCAACCTCGATCTCGACAACCACTTGGTTTACAAGCCTCTGAGCAGGAAGATGGCCATCCAGAGCTTGCCGCAGGATGAACCGTTGAATTGCGAGGGTGGACGGAGAGATTTTGAATTCTGGCGATTCGTCGACAAGGTACTGGCGCAGCACAAGAATCTCAATTCTGTTAGGCGTTTCCGGTTGCATTTCTCTAATTGCTACCGGGAGGTGCTTTATCATACTAGGTTTGATAGGGAATTGGTATTTGGTCCTCCGATTGAGGAGATTGATGTTAGTATTTGCGTACAAACAGTAGATGGAGCTCCCGATTATATGCCTTGCATTCCAGAGAACTTCTACACTTTGAAGAATCTGAAAGTTGTGAAGCTTCACATGGTTATGATGAATGCAGCAAAAGGATCTGTTTCCCTTCCTAGTGTGAAGGTTTTACAGCTTCGGCGTGTGACGATGAAGGACTTTGAGTCATTAGGCATGCTCATTTCTGGTTGCCCTGTTCTAGAGACTCTTCATCTCGACGATTGCTACTCCTCTAATAGGAATGAGAAAGAGGTACTCGATGTTAACTTACCATCCTTGAAGAACTTGAAGATTTGCGATTATGCTGATGAATTCGAATCTACGATGTGTCCCGTTGTAATCAAAGCACCAAACCTTGAGGAACTTTATCTTCAGCAGTTTACAAAGCTACAGTTTAAGGGCAGTACTTGTTTGTCATGCCTTCACTCAGTAGATGTTGATTTCGGCTTTGACTGTGAAGCCGCTTACCATGACCTGGTTCAGCTCATCGGTCAAATCTCCACTGCAAAGAAAATGCGCTTATCCCAAAACACTCTGGTAATAAGGTCAACTTTTTTCTTTCCATTAATCTAATTTTGTTCGGAAGAGCTCTATTTTTGTTCATCTTTTTACAGTACCATCTGTCATTTGGCGATGGTGTCGAACTGCCGGTATTTCCCAAGTTGACACATTTAACGGTCGGAATGGGGGGCAACAGCTGGTTTCTGCACTCCTTGCTCAAATCAGCCTCTAAATTACAATCACTTGTCATTGACCTGGTGAGTCCACGTGATATTCTGTTGATGAAATCTACCTATCTCTAGTTTTCTGATGAATATCTACATGGAGCAGGAGGATCACAATGGACTACCAATTTGTTGGGAGAGTTTAGAAGCTGCTCACGTTCCAGAGTGTTTGTTGTCAAGCCTGGAGGTAATCGAGATAAAGGAACTTGTAAATTTTGAAGAGGATTGGAAAATGATAGTATATTTGATCAACACCGGAGCTGTCCTGAAGAATGTGAATATGCACATAAAGAGTGGTGATCATATTAAGGGCTATGCAGATCTTGAGTCACTGCTAAAACAGTCTAGAGGACCAAGCCGTTGGGAAGCTCGTCTTATCCTTCCTAACAACAAGGAGATCCGAATCTACAGGGACGATGACGATGAGATTCATGACGAAGACTTGGATGATGATTCCGATTACATTGATGACGAGACCGATGCGGTCTGTTCCGATGATATGGATTGAATTCGTAGAGATGTTTATGTGTTAGATTTCCTTTTGGAGAAGTGGTTACGATGCATATGAATGATGTTGTGACATTACTGGATCCTTTGGTTCTGGAAAGGATGTTTTCCTTTTAGCTCATGTCTAGGTTGCTTCGAAAGTTCAAAAGCTGTTATTGCCCTTTGGATCCTTTCGTCCAGCAATGGCTGTTATTGCCTTTGACTAGGGTACTTTGGAAACCTGCTTTGCTCTGAGTTGGCTATAAGAAGTGTCAATACAATGAGAAGATGAAATGTTAGCTTAAAACGGAGTGATCACTGTGTTTTTGTGCTTGAGTAAGTCGTCCTCATTGTCCAAGGATTCCAACCTAACATAGGTTGCCATATTGAAGGGTATGAGTTGACCTTGGATCCAATCTATAGTTAAGAAAATCGGCTTTCGGAGTTGAAAAGTGCAATCAAATCGATTAACTCTTGTCTAGTTTGCTTCCTGTTTCACACTAAGTTGACTATATGCAGTGCCTTCACAAGTTTTCTTGTGTTCTGTGTTTTTCTTTTCTTCTGGGTTTTTGTGTGTTCTTAAGCTTGGTAGTCTAACTGAGAGAAAAGGGAAGTTACACTTTGATTAGAAGTCAATCAGTGGTACAAAACAGCTATTGACCTGATATTTTACAAGAACTCAATCAAACTCCCCATCCTATCTCTACTGCTTGGCAGAAAGCATAGCATATTGGGGAGATGCTGCTAACTTGGGTTAGAAGCGAGTGCCTGCCTCCTCACTTCGCAACCCGATACCCCCAAGCAATGCCCTGAACCTTACATGGATTCTGATCTGAATCTCGGTAGTGACAGGTGCATATTCTCCTCTAAGCTTGCATTAGTAATATTTTCAGCATATTCCGTCGAGCTAAACCCCGGAAGTTTATGCTCACAGTTGTCGTTCAACAGTTTGCGTAGCCTCGCAACAGAAGACCACTGACCTCCAGAAGCATATACGTTTGACAGAAGAGTATAGCTTGCTGGCTCATTCGGCTCCAGTTCAAAAAGCCTGTCTGCTGCTACTCTAGCCAACCTTGAATCCCCATGTGTTTTACAAGCACCAACGAAGGCTCCCCATGCGTCTGATCCCTGACGAATTGGCATCGACGTTAGAGCATCAAAAGCGTCATCCAAGAAACCAGCTCGACCAAGAAGATCAACGAGGCAGCAGTAGTGCTCAATGCCAGGGCAAAGCTGATACTTTTCAACCATTAAATTGAAGTAATGAATCCCTTCGTTCACTAGCCCTGCATGACTGCAAGCAGAAAGCACCCCAAGAAATGCAATTTCATCCGGTCTCACGCCACCAGACACCATCTTCTCAAACACCTCAACACTATATCTTGGGAAGTTATGAAATCCAAAGGCACGGACCAGGGCAGTCCAACTGACCAGGTCAGGCTCTGAAACAGAGCTCAAACAAAGCAGTGCACAGCCAATTCTTCCGCTTTTGGAATATGCATCAATCAAAGAAGCTTGAACCGATGGAAATGATTGAAACCCTTTCTTCATAACGTACCCATGGATTTTGGTGATCTCAGAGATGGGTGATGATGCATAGCTACATGAGCTGATAGCACTGGAGATGGTTAATTCATCTGGGACGAACCCCTGCCGCAACATTTCCATCAGAAGCTTCACAGCTGCATTTCCTTCTCCATGCTGTCCATAACCAACAATCATTGTATTCCAAGAGACTACATTTCTAGCAGGCATCACATCGAAAGCCATGCGAGAATCAGCCAGACATCCATTCTTTGCATACATATCAATAACTCCACTACCCACCAGAACATCCGAATCGAAAGACAACTTTATGATCAGGCCATGAACTTGTCTTCCTACCTCAACAGATCCTAGAGCCCCACAGGAATTCAGCAAACTAGAAAACGAGAAACCATCCCCATTCAGATTCGCCCTTTGCATGGAGCTGAAGACCAGGAAGGCATCTTCTGGCAAGCGATTCAAGGCATAGCAAGACAGCATCACATTCCACAGCACCAAATCTCTGCACAATATCCCGTCAAAAGCACGCCTCGCTTCCTTAGGAAATCCGAATTTCGAATACAGATCAACCACAGCACTAACAGCGAAACAATCGAACTCAAACCCTAATTTGACCACGAAACAATGCAACTGTCTCCCTGTCTCCATTACATCAAGCTCAACGCAAGCACCGAGCAACGCGTTGAGCGTTATTGAATCCACAGGGAAGCTCTCGATCAACATCCTCCTCAAGTACGCGAAGCAGGCAGACACACTCAAGCCGTCTCCGCTGCCGCGAACGACCCCACAGATCATCGTGTTCCATGTCACGACATTTTTCACAGGCATTTCGTCGAACAGCTGGTGACCATCATCATCCAGGCTTTTACACTTCAGGTAAAAATTCAAGAGGTGGTTTTGCAGAGACAGAACGCTGCATATTCCCAACTTCACTGCCCTCGCGTGTGCTTGAGTTCCTTGAAGAAGAGAACCCGTTCGAGCAGAGAGTTTGAGGGCTTCGGAGCAGGAAGACAGCGAGGAATGGAAATCCCTTGATTGAGCTGACTTGGGTAGACTCGTCGAGTATCTGAGCCGACCAGATAACAGAAGGGAGAGCGATTTGAGTTGGAGAGCGGTGGCTGCTCGTCGGCGCATTCAGTTGGATGGAATGAGATCCGACGGAAGAGGAATGGGCGGGAAACTTCGTAACAGACATTTCTAAACAAAGCGAAGATCAGAGTGAGGGTGGCGCGAATGGAGAAACCCGCTCTAAATTTCCAAGCGAACATTGGATATTTAGGAAGGGGTAAATCTTACATTTTAATCCCTCTAGTCAGATACTCTTAACAAACAAGTCTTTCTACAAAACATTTTAACATATGAGGTTTTCAATTTTTGTCATATTTCGTCACATATATCTAAAAGGACCTTAAAATAACAATTGTTCATACTATAATTTGTCAAACCGTAGTCAAGCCAGCAGGTTGGATCAGGTCTGATTAGAGTCTGTGTTAAAAGCGATACCCAAAAAGTCATTTTGCCTCCAAATTAATAGCTTGTCAAAATTGTAAAAACCGGTTATCTTATTGGATTGACTGATTTTCGGCTCTTAGACATAATGTTGTGTTTTGACTCTTTACCAAACCTTATTCTGGAAAATGAAACCTCTAGAAGCTACTTTTAGTGTCCTATAATATATTGATTGTTAAATTATTGTATGACACCTATCAAATTAACATTCAAATTTTCGAAACTTTAATCATTACCTTTTATTTATATATATATATATATAATATGAATAAAACGGATTAAGTCAGTTGGACAGGACTCCTATAACCATTTGATTATTAAACCTCAAACCAATTATTTGCCCGACTTAGTGATTTAAACCGGTTTAACAACATTCATTACAACCAATCACGAGGTACAATTTAGCCCGACTCTTATTCAGGCCTGTGGAATTTCAAGGGCCGGACCCATGATTTCAGACCAGCCAGGCCCACAATGTTAACACTCACTTCCGTTTCGCCTTCTCCTCCGTTCACTTGACAGTTTTCTTTGCCTAGTCCGTTAATGGAGAAAACCCCAACCGAAATCATGAGCCCAAAGCCGGTGATCGACGCCGGCGACAGGCTCAGCTCTTTGCCGGACGAGATCATCTCCCACATCCTCTCCTTTCTGGAAACCAAGTACGCCGTCGGCACCGCAGTCCTCGGCCGACGGTGGGAAGGACTCTGGACCATGGTTTCCAATCTTGATCTTGACGACCGGTTGATTTGCGGGACTCGGGACGTACCGGATCCTGATTTAGATGTCTTAAAGAGGTACTTGCAATTCAGCCGCTTCGCCGACGAGGTAATGAGCCAGCACAAGAATTTCAATTCTCTCACTCGTTTCCGCTTCCGTTTCTCTGTGGAGGGTAGGTTTTGGTGGGTGGGTTCTGACTATAGGTTTAAGAGGGAATTGGTGTTTGGTCCTCCAATTGAGGAGATCCTCCTGGGAAAGCGGAATTGGGAATTCCAGAGAGCTTCTACACTTCCAAGAATCTGAGAGTTGTGAAGCTTGAACGGGTTATACTGAATGCAGCAGCTGGGTCCGTTTTCCTTCCTAGTCTGAAGATTCTACAGCTTGCGAATGTGAAGATTAAGGACTTTGAGTCATTGGGGAGGCTCATTTCTGGCTGCCCTGTTCTAGAGACTCTTTGTCTGAAGAGTTGCTACCCTTCTAACTATAATGGGGAAGACAGAATAGAGGTTTCTTTGCCATCCTTGAAGAACCTCAAGATTTGCGATTCTGACATTGTGGAGTATATATGTCCCATTGAAATCGAGTCACCAAATCTTGAGGATATTTACCTTCACAGGTTTACTGAGCTACAGTTTAAGGGTAGTAGTTCTTTACCATGCCTTGATTCAGCATATATTGATTTTGGATCCGAGTGTAAAACCTCGTACCATGACCTCATTCAGCTCCTAGCTCGATTCTCCAATGCAAAGAAAATGTGCTTAACCGGGAGTGCTCTGGTAATAAGGTCCACCATTCTCTTTACATTTATCTAATTTTGTTCATAGGAGGGGAGGTGCTGATCTTTTTAATCTTTCTTTCAGCTTCATATGTCAGGTTTCCATGATGTTCACTTCCCTGTCTTTCCCAAGTTGACACATTTGACAATCGGAATGGGGGGCAGAAGCCGGGTTCTGCACTCCTTGCTCAGTTCAGCCTCCAAACTACAATCTCTTGTCATTGACCTGGTGAGTGTAGCAATGTTGTTCATTTGTCCTTTGGGATCGAACCTTCGATAAGGTTTCTGATGAATATCTACATGATGCAGGAGTATCACACTGGACCAGCAACAGTGTGGGAGGATTTAGAAACCGCCTGCACGCCCGAGTGTTTGTTATCTAGCCTGGAGGTAATCGAAATTAAGGATCTTGTATGGCAGGAAGGTGATTGGAACATAATTGTACATTTAGTCAACACCGGAGTTGTCCTGAAGAAGGTGAATATCCACCTGAAAAGTTGTGATCATGAAGCATGGGGCCGCACAGCTCTTGCCGTACTGCTAAAACAGTGGGGAGGACTGCGCGGTCGCGAAGCTCGGCTTTTCCTTCCCAACAACAAAGAGATCCGCATCAGTAGCGACGACGAGATCAACAATGAGGTCGACAAGAAAGAGGGGGGCCCTTGAAGTATGATGGTGGTGAATAGAAAGGAGCGCCTGACTTGTCCTGACGAACTTAGTTTGGTAACCCTAGTGAATATTTCTGATGATATGAACTCGTAGGATAATTTTGAGTTAGTGGTGCATTTACAGAGTAGCGGTTTCGATGCATGTAATGCCGAGACAGTGCTAGAACCTTTGGGTCCAGGAAAGGATGTTTTACTTAGTATGCTCATGTTTAGGTTGATTCTGAAGTTTTCTCATGTTTGGTTTTTTGAGAACATGAAATGCTGCATAAAAATGAAAGGATTGATCACTATGGTTATGAGGTGGTGTGATTTTCAGTACTTCCTCAGGGACCAAAGTCAAGGCACATGTAATGACGAACTTGGTCAAGTTTGATCCAAGGGACCAAAGTCAAGGCACATGTAATGACGAACTTGGTCAAGTTTGATCCAAAATTCCACGTAGTTGGTATTGGATGGTATCGAAATAAAAGATAAAACTAAAAGAGTGAATATCCATTTGGTTCTGTTTAAGATTCTGTCGAGATTTACCTTACGAATTCAAAAAGTTTTATGCAATCAGAGTGAACAAGAACACAGTAAAAACAAGAGTCAAAATCGAACTGACCAGAGACTCTTATATGCTTATAATAGTTTGTTGAATCCTTTCATCCGACGAAATGCTATTGTGTACGTACAAACTACAAACCCTAAAATATGTAACAATGTAATATTTTATTGAATTCTGCTTAGTCCATTTAAGATTCTGACTAATTTTACATTTTGAGTGTAAGATCTCTACCATCATAACAGAAAAGAAAGTCGTTAAACAAGGAAACATGCTGATGCCTAGGTCACAGTGATTAAAAAACACTCCATACTCATTTCGTCTTCCAAACTCGAGCTTACAAACTACGCACTGTATCAATCGAAACAATCATAGTACACAACATGATCAAGCTACAGAATCAAATCCTTTATTCCAAACAACAAGCATTAAAAAACTCCTCAACACCCCCACGATCGGAAGTCCCAAAACTGATTTCCCGCTACGTTTGAAGTTCAATTATCCAATAGAGAACGACGACTCAGCAAGTGAATTCCAGCATTGAACCTCGGTGCCACGAAAAGGCGTAGAGATTTAGTAGTACCTACTCCTTGGAGGATAGCGGTCGACCATCCTTCCGGAAGGACACTCGATGGCACGATGCCCTCGCCCGCCACAGTTGTGACAGATCATCAGCGGGCCCATGCAGTCCCTGCTCATGTGTCCATACTGGTGGCAGTTCCTGCACATCACGTCGTGGAAACTGCCCCCTCTCACACCACCACCGCCGCGGTGGATGCCTGCACCGGCGGTGGCTTTGGGGCACTGCCTAGCCACGTGTCCCGAGACGTTGCACGCGTTGCAGACAGGCTCGTTGGGACAGTCGCGTGCCAGGTGGCCGGTCTTCCTGCAGTTGTTGCACGCCTTGTCATTCGTACAATCTGCAGCAATGTGGCCCTGCTTGTAGCAGTTGTTGCACAGTCTGAGGTCACCAGGTGGCAGTTGAGGAGCTGTGCAGTCTCTAGCACGATGTCCAGCCTTGCCACACGTGTGGCAGATGCCCTCGTTGGGGCAGTCGCTAGCCATGTGCCCTGGTTCTCGGCAGTTCCAGCAGAGGGATTTTGTGGTGCACTCCGATGCAATGTGCCTACAAGAAGACCAACAAAGCTTACTCTTCAGCTAAGCGATACAAATTCACGCAGATGATGATGGATTCATTTCAAATATTATGTACGTAGTTAGATCACGTACCCTGGAAGACCACAGTTGTGACAGATGGCAACATTTGGGCATTCCCTAGCAAAATGACCCGGCCGTTTGCAGTTCTTGCAGAGGTTTCCCTGACTGGTAAAAATAAATAAACCCAAAATTAAACAGAACATATATAGAGACTCTATGTTCCTATTTACTGAATCGTAGAAGTCGCACAGTCCAAATGATTTTGGCAGAGATGCAAAAGTAATATAAGAAAACAACTACTCGACATATCCCGTCTATCTGGGAGAGTGGTGGTTAAATATAGAAACCAGCCAATCAAGCGTTGAAATATCATAATCTTCCATGGCTTTACTGCCAAAGCTTTTCTTGACTAGCATATTCAAGAAGTTTCAGTCTATCAGAAAGGAAACCGAACAATAAGGTAAAATCCTCTAGCACAGAAATTAACTTATAGGACACTAAGAAACTTCAGGTGACACAAAAAAGTATACAAGGTTAAAGAGTCAAATAAGAAAAAACCTGGAAGCCCGTCGAGCTTCTCGTCGGTAAGGTGCACCGGCACCGCGATATGAAAAGCGGTCAGATCGGATCTTGCGGTCCATAGGGCTCCTGCTTCTACTCCTGCTTCTCATTGGGCTCCTGCTGTCAGAACTCATGTTGAAACTCCCCCTTCTTATCAACTACCACATACACCACCAACCCACAACAGCTTGCCGCCTCCACCCTGTCCACATTACAACCACATTACCCCGTGATCATCCATCAAGAGCTTAAAGCCACACCCCTCATTCCCCCCTCCAAAACAACAAAAACACCAAACCCCATGAGCAAACGCCAAACAGCATAGAATGTTCATCAAGCAGTCCATCCCAAAGGTCAATAGCATATCATCAACCTCCCTGCACTCAGCACTACAAACCGTTTATAGTTAAGAACTACTACATCCCTAGTGAATATCGAACCCCTCCTGCCAGAAAATCAAATCTCCATACATCATCATGTGTACACAACTATGAATTACTTCACACAACCTCCCATCTCCCCAACCACCCATTCAGTCAGGCTCTACCACTAAAGCACACATGGAAGTCGATAATGAAAGAGCCCGCCTGTAAAATTTCCATGGTTATTCAACAAAAAATTTAATAATTTAACTGATGAGCAGCAAGGAAACAGATATTAATATGCCACCCACAACATTTGCGAAAAAAATTGGTAGTGCGAATTCTTTTCATTAAGGTCTGCTACTAGCAGGGTCTCTTCATCATACACATGAGCTAATTCTCCCAAAACTGAAAGTCTGAAACCACCAAGCCCGACATAAGTAACAAAGGTAAGCATATTTGTCATATTGTCTTTGACTCTCAATCACCAGGCGGAAACAAACAACATAATTACTCGACCACAACTGTACAAAACACACACCATCAGTTCGCTAAGTGTCGAACAAGCACACTTAAGGACTATAACAGATTCAACAAGGTGCGAACTAAAAATGTACTAGGCTCCACAACTCAGGTCCTCCAATTTGCGGACAACAAATACTATTTCAATGCTATCCAACACGAGAATAAGATCTTTATTTACCCAATACTCTTCATTGTTTAACCATTCTAGCATTACCAGTACAAAGGCATTTTCCAAGAGATAAACACGATCTCCAGTTTGAACTCAAGCAATACAACCCTAAAACCAAACACTAAAAAGCAACAAATCCGACAGTGAAACCGAATGACGGGTTCTCCGAAAATTGGCCCTCCCGGTAAGCTAGCACATTCGATCGCTTATCTTTCCCTTCATGACATCAAATCTCGCCAACTATCTCACGAGGGAGAATTGAAAATCATAGAACGAACGAAGCTCGGAACCATCTGGACTAGCAAGCCCGAAAAGGGCATTTACCCTAGAACGCGAAGAAGCTTCAGAATTGGTAAAGCAACGAACCTGAGCTATATAGCCTGAGCGGGATAGATCTCCGGCCAAGCAATCGCGAAAGAGCCGGTGGGCAAGGAAACCTAATGCAGCAAAAGGGGACCGCGACGGAGCTGAACGAACTCAAAACCTAGATGCCGAGGTTTCCCCCAATCTGCAATGTCCAACTTTTCGCTCGACATTCACTGGATTTTAATTTTCTATTTCCATGTAAGAAATAAATTACTCCTAACGACGCCGTTCTGTCTCTATACCTCCACCTCTCTTCTATCGGTCTTCCCATCATACACAGATATTGTATTCGATAAATCAGCGATACTGTAGTTCATGCTCAAATTGTGGTTCAATTCTTTCATTTTGACTTGGACTTCAATAGACGTTATGACCGAATCGCGAGTACAATATAGTTTAACAAACATTGGACGCATAATATATGACAATGTTAGGTGAATCGACCCTTTCATTATGACTTGAACTTCGATAAATGTTCTAACAGAATCGCTCTTTGATTCTAACTTGCTTTCGTTCCTCACTTTTTATTGCTTCGTGGATATGGCGATGTTTCTCATTGGAGTCTTTTTTTTATATATGAAGGGGTGATCTAGGTTTGTTTTTAGGTAGGTGTTATTTAAAGTAGTGATGGCAATTTCACCCCGCCCCCCGCGGGTATTACCCAACCTGACCCGTGATGGGGCGGGTATTACCCGACCCGCAGTAGCGTGGGGCGGACCATGGGTATCTACTTCCGACCCGCCCTGCCCCGCCCCGTTCTAGACTCATTTTATCTCAATTTCTTACAATATCTATACATATTTCTCCTATTTTGACTTTTCTTCAACTATTTAGAGTCGATCTTTCAACTTGTTAGACTCAATTATCCATTCTATTATCAATATTTTTCATTCTTAAAGTGTTTTTCCCTGCGTTTTATTGTAAAAAGTAAAAAATTACTTGTATTTTTTTGAACAACATGTAAGAGTGGGTCGACCCGTCCCGCCCCGTACCGGCGCCAGTTTTACCCGCCCCGACCCGTAGTAGCGTGGGGCGGGGCATGGGAATTGAGGTACCTATCCTGCCCCGCCCCATTGCCATCACTAATTTAAAGGATTTGAATTTGAGACCTCTGAATTCAAGACCAGTACCACTGGACCAAATCCTTGGTCACTCTCATTTGACTCTTTTGTTCAATCTCTTCCGGAGTGAAGGAATCTATTGAGTGGAGGATGACGACCCTTGTGATCTACACTCTAACGGCTAAGTTAGTAAGATATATAAGAGGTGTGATATGTAAACTATAGAAATTCTAAAGAGATAACCATGTATGGTAAACGTGGAAAGGGAAGAGAGGATCCTTAATTTGTAGGCTTGAATGCCTTTACATAGGAACCCAGGGCTTTTCTGTTGTGACGTCTAGAGACTTCCTTCCTTAAGGAGACGCCTTAGGGTGAGATAGAGGCCTCAAATGAGATGGCTCGATGTAGGAATTTTGGAGTGAGCTAAAGGACTCAAGAGAGGTGCCTTGAGGCTGGAGCCTTAGGGTGAGGTGGAGGTCTCAGAAGATATGCCTTAGCATAAGCTTAAACTTGTTGATACGTGGACAATTATCGTATTAAGCATATTAATACCATATTCCAACACGGTAGCTTACATTTAGAGCTTTAGTTATACTAAATATTAAATTATAGGTTATTATGTCATGAACTAGTTGCTGCCAATAACTAGAGTTGTTGGGAGAGGTTCAATCGTGGATCATATATTGTTTGCTAACACACCCCATCAAACTCAAACCACTAAGATAGGCTTGCAGTTTGCAGAGGCACAGGTCCGGACACCATGTGCTTAACAGAAACATATGGGGTCACCGCGAATCGAACACAAGACCTCTCAGTCACAGAAGGCTCTCATACCATGTCATGAAACGATGGCTACCCATAACTCGAGTGGTTGGAAGAGGTTCAATCATAGATCATATATTGTTTACTGACGACACTCTTGGAATCTCTTTGTGCTTGATCGGTGATTTGTGAGCTAGCATTTGCTCATATTTATAAACATTTAATTCGTGAATTGTTCAACAATATCCGTTGTAGTCTAGTTGGTCAGGATATTCGGCTCTCACCCGAAAGACCCGGGTTCAAGTCCCGGCAACGGAATTTTAATTTTTTCGCGCCCCCGCCATCTTCCCACAGGACGGAAACGACGTCAGTTCATCTCGTCCCTCACGCCCATAACTGGCTGAACTCCTGTAACGTTTTCCCCCTCACCACTTTCCCCAAATTCAAAACACTTCCCCAGAAAATTTCCGGTTCTCTTCTCCGAAATTAGGGTTTTGGTGTTTGCTTCTGCTTCAATTACCAAGGTTCGCGTTTCCTCCGCTCAAACCCGGTAACGTTGCTAGACACCTTGCTTTCTCTATTTTCGTCGGTTCCCTTCAAATTCGGCCCGCTTTCTGTACACCCACAATCGCTGTGTGACTCTGGTCATTCCGTTTAGTTACTCTTTCACTTCTTGCCGTAGTGGGATATATTCCGTTTCGAGCTTGACGTGTTCGTTTCGAACGGGTTTGAGATAATTTCTTTCCTATCGATTGGTTGAGCTTGTTTCTTTCTCTTCAGTCCCCGCCAATTGAATGGCGATATCTTTCGGTCTGCTATTTGATTAAGCATTGGGATCTTTTCAGGTTGTTGTTGTAGAAAGTCTTACCTTATAAGCCTTGTGGTATGCAATGCATTTGAGTGTGATCACATTTTAAGCTTGTTGCAGGGGGAACCATCAATGACTGTTACGATTAGTATTTTTCGTTGTAGCCGTCCTTGAATCTGTTCTCCCGGGCTCAACTCCTAGGTTATTTGTAGTTATGTTCCTAGAAGTAGCTGCAGTATTTCATTAGCAGATGGACAATCGAGTCTAATAACAGGTCCTTATGGAATTTTTATGTTGTTAACCCAAAATTAGTATCTTGCTGTTCTATTTGATGTGGTTTCCTCTACAGAGGCCGCCCTAGTTTCTCCATGAAAATAGAGTTTCTTTTTATGCGTCTTTTTATTGAGATTGTGCTTTGTGTGTCTTTCAGCAATGGCTGTCAATGAGGATCAAGCAGAAGGCTCTATACCTTCCATTATTCTCGAGTCTCTTGTATCTTCCCAGAACGGTGCTTCTCTTAACACTGAAGACATTGCTTGGGCTGATTCGTGCCTAGTCAAAGACCCCAATATTTCAGCTGGTGACTGGAGCTCTATCAAAGATGCATTGCTAGAAGTCCTTAGCCTAGTACCCGAATCATCGGACTCCTTGTATGGAGCGATGAATGATGATGGCTATGTTGGGGGGACTAATGATTTCCAGATGCTTCCTCCTGTTGAAGCTGTGGTGATTGAGCAGCCTTCTCCGAGCAGTGATGATAATTCTCGTGTGACAACTGGTGATGAACCAAACCTGAACATCGAGGCTGTGCTATCGAAGGAGGAAATGGATGTCTTGTACTCCCTACATTTTCTGAGTCAAGATCCTGAGACTTTCAATGGCGATTGGAATTCTATGAAGGACGCTGTGGAGCGAATACTTTCATTGCGCCCTAAAGAGAATGGGAGCACGGTGACACTTCATGAGGCCGAGGATGCACAATCTTCTGCAGGAGCAGATCGAGATTTTGATGAAGAAACAATAATGAAACCACAACATGCCGACAGTGATTTTGCAGAAAGTTTCCAGGTGGCTACCTTGAATGATAACCCTAAAGAATCTGAGCAGAGTGGTTTACTACCAGCTGATGCAACCAGTTCAGCAGAAGATGCAGGAGTTACAAGTAGCGAGATCTTCAAGTTGTGGGATTTGGGAATTCCTGCTGATGAAGAAGAGGAGGATGACGAGTTAATAAAAAAACTGAACAAAGCTCTCTCAGATAGTTCGATTCAGTCGATTGCACCGGTAGTTGATGATTCAGAGACAATGCGAGATTTGAAAGAAGGTGCACTTGATTATCTTATTGCCGGCATTGGAGACTTATCCATCAAGCCGCATTCTGGTTAGCTTTGGATAGTTGAAATAGGTATTCCTCACCCGTGTTAGGTTATAGCTTTCTGCTAGCATTTCTAGTTCGAGTTAGAGATTGTTTGTCATGTAAAAACCTTTCAGCTTGATGAATGATAATTAAGAACTGAGTCGCAGAATGCTGCTGCAGGCTCCTATTCTATTCAAGTTCGCGCAGGAGGTGGAATGTGGAACCCACCAGTCTGATTTCCAGGTCCTACAGGCCAGGTCTAGGCCACAACCAGAACTCCAGAAGCAAACTGATCATCCAGTCATCACCACAATCTGCAGAACTAAACCAGAACCATTTATTAACCATGAGGAGCAAGACCAAACCAAAACCACAGAACTGTAAGAAAAAAACATCTCCCTTTCTCTATCTTTTTGGACGCATGCAACGAATGTGATCAGTTTGTCCTTTCCATGGCAACCAAAAGGAAAACTTTCCAAGGTGAGCAAAAACCCATCCCTCTAAACCACCAACAGGTCACGACACGTCAGCACAATTCTATCATCCAGGTGTCGGGACGAGATTGGCCGGGGCACAACAGCCTCAAACGTGACATCCCTCCTCCTCCTCCCATGATGAACACGTATCGACAAGAGTGCAAATATAAATAGGGGATGGAAGAGAGAGGAATGGGGAGATTAGTAGATCATATGCTTGTGTGAGGCTTAAAAGGCTTTACAGCAAGATAAGATTTCTCTGTGTATATAGAGAGACTGTTACCGAACTTCGGTCTCGTGCCATTCTTAAAGTCTCAGCCTTTCATCAAAGCAGAGAAACAGAAAGAAAATGGCGTCTACTTCACTGTTGAAGTCATCCCCTGTTATTGACAAGTCTGAATGGGTGAAGGGTCAGAGCATCCGCCAGCCTTCTGTCTCCATCCTCCGCTGCAACTCCTCCACCGCCGCCGCTGCTGCGCCTTCTGCTCTTTCCATCCGGGCCAGCTCCTATGCTGACGAGCTTATCAAGACTGCGGTATGTCTGTCCATTTTTACTTAATAACACACACCATGCACGGTTTTGTAACAATCATTCAACGGATTTGTTATGATAGTTCAATAGTGCAACTGTAATAGAAATTGCTATTAAACTATACCGGCTGTGGTGGCAGAAAACTGTGGCGTCACCAGGGCGGGGGATTCTGGCGATGGACGAGTCGAACGCGACCTGTGGGAAGCGTCTGGCGTCGATTGGGCTGGAGAACACTGAGGCCAACCGCCAGGCATACAGAACCCTTCTGGTCTCTGTACCTGGGCTGGGGAACTACATCTCCGGCGCCATTCTCTTTGAGGAAACTCTCTACCAGTCCACCGTCGATGGCAAGAAGATCGTCGATGTCCTCAAGGAGCAAGGCATCGTCCCTGGTATCAAAGTCGACAAGGTAACACCATTACTAATTAACAGTTCAGTTAACTAGGTAGTAGATGGTGTTGATGTTACAGTTTTGTTGGTTTTGGGAACAATAATCATTTACGATGAGAAACAAACAGGGTTTGGTGCCACTTGCTGGTTCCAACGATGAGTCGTGGTGCCAAGGGCTTGACGGGCTTGCTTCCCGCTCTGCTGCTTACTACGAACAGGGCGCTCGCTTTGCTAAATGGTATGCACATATGAATTTAACCGACTTTTACATATCCTTGACCACATTTGAAGTAGAAGATAGGTGAACTAGTTACGGGTGGGTATGATTCGGCCTGAGTCGATCTAGTAGCAAAACAAATCAGCTTAGGATTAGATTGAAAATAAGGTGAAAAATATATTGGAATTGTATTTACTTCAATTGAGTTCGGTTTGATTTCTAGTGGGCTCTTTTGTTCTTAGTTTGTTAAGACCATTCTATCGGATTGAAATGCTAGAAAAACATCGAACTGAGAATCGAAATTGAATCGACTTATATTTTGTTCGGTTCTATTCATTTAGTAAAATGTAGATTCAGTCTAGTAGGGGTCAAATCATTGTTCAGCCGTTGAACTTATGAATGAGAAATCGGAGCAGAAGAAGGGATGGAACTTACTTACAGTGTTAAACATCATACCTATGAAAACAATGTACATGCATGCATTTTCAGAATATATCATTGAGGGCTCGTTTGGCTGGTTGAATTCACGGATTGATGGTTTTCGTGTCGTTACTTTTAACAGGCGTACTGTTGTGAGCATTCCCAACGGGCCATCTGCCTTGGCAGTTAAGGAAGCCGCCTGGGGCCTTGCCCGCTATGCCGCCATCTCTCAGGTGAGATTTACCTATATGCAAAACCTGATACTTGAGCAAGAAGTTACTTATTGTCTTGCGATTGAAGCTCTCTGTTGTTCTAGTTTGCTCTGCTTTACTGATGTCGGTTTGGATTCCTTTTGCAGGACAATGGGCTGGTCCCAATTGTGGAGCCAGAGATATTGCTGGACGGTGAGCATGGTATCGACAGGACCTTCGAAGTGGCGCAAAAGGTTTGGGCCGAAGTCTTCTTCTATATGGCCGAGAACAATGTGATGTTCGAGGGTATCCTCTTGAAGCCCAGCATGGTTACTCCTGGTGCTGAGTGCAAAGAGAGGGCTACCCCTCAGCAGGTTGCTGAGTACACTCTCAGCCTCCTCAAGAGAAGAATCCCCCCTTCTGTCCCTGGAATCATGGCAAGTCTCCATTCCTTTCAGTACTTTCTTATAAACTTTGTTCAATGTGACTAGCTAGTTTGTATGCTCAACATGTGGCTGATCCTATGATTTCGATTGCAGTTCTTGTCCGGCGGGCAATCGGAGGTTGAAGCAACACTGAACCTGAACGCCATGAACCAGGCTCCCAACCCGTGGCACGTGTCGTTCTCCTACGCCAGAGCCCTTCAAAACACCTGCCTGAAGACATGGGGAGGCGCCCCCGAGAACGTGGAGGCTGCGCAGCAGGCGCTGCTGATCCGGGCCAAGGCCAACTCCTTGGCTCAGCTCGGCAAGTACACCGGGGAAGGAGAGTCCGACGAGGCCAAGGAAGGAATGTTCGTCAAGGGCTATGTGTACTAAGAAGTTCCCCATTCTGGCCATGCATTAGGTTGCTGAAAGAAAGGGACTAATACCTAGAACTCCTTTCTTTTTTACTCTATGTGCTGTAAAAGGCTTTGCCTCTAAGTTTGCTGTTGTTGCCCTTATGGATTGGAGACTATTTTTGTTCCTTTTTATCCTGTTACTCTTTTAATGTATGTACTTTCTTTTTGAGCCCTACTCCCAAACTCTAATAAACCCATTTCAATGATGCAATGAGATTAATTAATTTCTAGTTGTTTTGTGAGATTTTCTCTCTATAATTTCACACAACCTCTAAAAGAGGATGAAAAGGAAACGATCTACTTAGTTTTGAGTTCTTGCACTTATCATATAAAAAATGACATTGATATAGTTTGGACATTATACTATTTCAATACACAATATCAAACATACGCTTCGAGAATTGTCAAGAGTCCTCGAGGCTCAAACATATGCAATCGTTTCATTCTGCGTTTCACATTTTTAACAACTTTTGTCAAAGGTTAGTATCAAGAAACAACCATAAATCGAATAACAAAAATACAGAAAACTAACATAGATTAACAAAAACCCAACTGAAAACTAACCGTAAGACTCGATTCAGATAAAAGAGATTAATACCGAGAGACAAAACAAATCAAATATAGTTTATGAATCTTAACAAAAAAATGATAAATGATCACTAAACTCTTGTTTTTTACTAGCACAGAGCAATGTAATTAATCCAAACACCCACCCAACCCGTTGCCTTTTTCTCTTTTTAAGTTTTAACCATTTTCAGAAAGAGCATCTCCCCAACCCGGTTTCGTTGTTTTACAGTAATAAAGCTACCATAATCCATACAGGTTCGACCGTTGCCCAATTGGGCCCCCGCCCCGGTCTTGTGGAGTACGAAGCGATACAAATGGCTCACGGTCACAGGAGCACGATGCATTCACGGGGCCCACTTTGATTTCCTCCCCACCACGTCGACACACGGAAAAAGGAATCCTCTGCAGCAACGCATACGAATGGTTTCCAATCTCTTAATCATCCAACCGTCCAAAAACACCCCTATCACAATCTAACGGCCACGAAGAAGAATTTCCCAAACGATCTCGACGGGTCCCAGCATGGTTCTCGAAGTATGCGATTATTTCCTCTCTCGTCATGCATTTGGAGCAGCAAGTCCATTGGCCACTAGAGCGTCAGAGCAGTGAGCATTCCTGGAAAACTTTTTCCTCTCTTTCCCAGGCTCCTTCCCCAGGAAGTTTTCCTTCACACGGTGGCCGGAGCTCGGAAGTTATTCTTCTCTCTCGCTCTCTTCACGGTATGTCTCCGGCGGCATGGGCGTTCTGATGATGATCGCTGCTTGCTTCTAAAAGTAGCTATTCGTTGTCTGCTCTCTTGTGGTTCCGTACATTTTGGTTTTTCAACTTTCTATTGTTTTTGTCGTCAGGTGGCCGAGAGACATGGAGTCTCGTCGGAGGATCCCGCTCGGAAATAGACCAACGCTGAAGACGCCGACCTCGGCTACCGATGGTTAGTCCTCTGCAGCAAAACTTTCTACGCTTTTCTTCATAGTCCATTTCCATAGCCGAGGGTTGCTATTTGCTAAGTTTGTCTCCTGAGTTGCGATTCTCTTGTTCAAGGATAATCGCAGAGATTTTAACAGTTCAGGAGTAACTTGAATGTTAATTTCGAGCTTCTATTTTTAACTTTGGTGAACCGATTGTTTGCTCTCATTTATTCTGTTTGGTTTTCCAGATGATTCTGGTCTTGCAAACTTTAAGCGGATTATGGAGGAATTGAATGCCGGTGCGTATGGAAGCGTTAGTGATACGATACGGGATCTCTGCAAGCGGAAACTTGCTGAATTCTCTAAACGTTCGGCCGCGAAGATGGATGCTGCTGCTTCGAGTAATGTTCCTGATGCGAAAAGGATTCGGGGCATGAACGGTTTAAAGGAGCATCATGATGTCTGCTGCATCTCTGGGCCAGCAGCTGCTGCACATACAGTTGTGATTCTAGATTCTGACGAAGAAGATAATGGAGAAGACACAGCCAACGGTCAGTTTCAGGGTGTTGTGCAGACTAAGCTTGAGGAACAGTGTTTCTCTGATACGGAGGTATACCTTTCTTTCTGGTTAGATTGATTGTAGGTTAGTAGGTCAGAAATTGAAGATGGAATTCCTCTTACAGTAGTACAGGGGAAACTCTGTTATTGTGGCTTGAGTTCTTACTAATTACCTGCCTACTTAGGCTATTTGTATGCAAAAGGGTCTTTGGTTGATGGCATAGTCTTGATAACTACCCTCAATTTATCAACTTGAGAATCAATGAATGGCGGACTAAGCTTTCTTAGGGCTGAATTTTGCTTAATTTGAATTGGGAGCAGGTAAGAGAATCTATAGCGACTTCATCGCCAAAACATGCTGTCGCTGATGATACTGCTGCCTGCAAAGGAGATGAAGCTGCCCGAACTGATATTGAGCCTGACAAAGAGAAGGACAAGATGAATTGTGTGATTCCTCCTAATTTATGTCAAGATGAGAAGACGATCATAGATTTGGAAACTTCAGACACACAGCATGCTGATGTGGGTGACTACTCTGTAACAAGTGGTGCACCAGCTCAAGCAGAAGAAACTGTTGTGGTCTTGGATCTCGATGAGAATGAATCCGATGGCAGTGTCGTGGACATGGATATTTCCCCCTTGCGTGAGGTTGTCCTGGCAAGTCAATTTGGAGAATTTTCTGCGGAGAAAGAGGTAAGTTTCTGTCTGATCTTGAGTTTCTTTCACTTCATTTATGAATAGAAGATTAGTTACAACCATAAGTATCCATTGTATTGCTATCACTAGTTGCTAGCGGATTGTTTGTGAACGTATGACGTAGCTACTGAAAGAACTTAATGTTTGGATTTGCCAAAACTGAATCGGGTTACTCTTAAGCTTCGAAGAGAAATCAGCATGGAGAAGCCTTTTCTATTTTCAGTTTTCCTACAAAGAAGGCAAATTTGCATTAATGCATCTTTGGAACAAGTCAACCCTGATATATCTCCTAAAATTTGGGATGACGTTATAGTTGTTTGTGTAACTGAGAAAAAGGCTGCCGTAGGGCGCTGCTGCTCATAAGCTTCCCCTCAGATCCCCACCTCAGATATGTCATGAGCATTTGAACTGCATGAGAATCCGTCTTGAATAAGACTACTTTGCCATTATTATAAAATTTCGAGTTTTCACGTAATCTGAATGTTTATCAGGTTGGAGACTCTATTGAGATCGGAATTCTAACCTCGGAGAACCTTCCTGATGGTACTTACTGCAAGGAAAACTGTAAGTCAGGAAGCGTTGCCGATGAAACTGGCGGCAAGGGGAATGAGGCTGATCGCACTGACTGCAAAGAAGATACGGCTGTTAGTAATGGTGAGAAAAATGATGATCCGATGCTTAGAGAGACTGGACCGAAAACTCGTGCTGATGATACTAACCACAAGGAAGATTCAGTTCTTGACACTCGCGCGACCAATAAAGAACTTGCTTTCTGGCATCCTGAAGATGACAGTACACAAAGTGACAGTGATGAAGATGGTTTGGGGAACCTATGGAATGAGATGGCCATAGCATCGAAATTCACTGGGGTATTTTACGTTCATATATTTATCTTGTTTTTGAAATATAACTGTTTCATGGTTAGACCTCATTGAGATGTATTTAACGTTCTGTCTCCTGATCCGAACAGGAACCCGAGGAGTATCCTCCGTCTAACTTATCAATCGAAGATGATGATGATGATAGCTGTGACCATGATTACATTCACAAGGAAGACATTGGCGATGTATGTCGCATTTGTGGGTTTGTAGGTCGAGACATCACTTCAGTAATTGACGTCCAGTTCTTTAAGGTAACACTGGTCCTTGATCGACATGCTTATCTGATTTGGGGTTGATTTGGAAATGATGAACGTCATTATAATCTCAGGCGAAAAAGTATGTGCGCAACTATGCTTCCAGTTCCCGGAATGCCAAGGATAAGACCACGAACGAGGAGATTCGAGTTCAGGAGGATGACGTTACAGCCGCCGCCATGTACCCTCATCCAAGGCACCAGAAGCAAATGAAGCCTCATCAAGAAGAAGGCTTCAAGTTCCTCTGCAGCAACTTGGTCTCCGATGATCCTGGGGGATGCATATTAGCTCATGCACCTGGATCAGGCAAAACCTTCTTGATCATCAGCTTCATCCAAAGCTTCCTTGCCAGATACCCCAAGGCTCGACCACTTGTTGTGCTCCCGAAATCAATCCTGCATACCTGGAGGAAAGAGTTCGAGAAGTGGAATGTGGAAGACTTTCCCATTTATGATTTCTACACTTCGAAAGCTGAGGGTCGTGCTCAGCAACTGGAGGTCCTCAAAAATTGGGTTGATCAGAAAAGTGTGCTTCTCTTGGGTTACATGCAATTATCCTCCATTATATGCGACGAGGGGACAACCATGGAGTGTACCAACTGTCAGAACATTCTCCTACATCAACCATCCCTTCTCGTTCTGGACGAAGGCCACACTCCGAGGAATGAGGGGACAAATGTTCTCCAATCTCTGGTGAAAATTCGGACACCGAGAAAGATCGTGCTCTCAGGCACCCTCTATCAGAATCACGTCCAGGAAGTTTTCAATGTACTGAAAATCGTTCGTCCCAGCTTCCTGAAGCTAAACGACACTCCATCCATCGTCAAGCGCATTCTCAGCAAAGCATCCATACCAACAGGGAAGAAGGTTAGAGGTAGCGGCGCCGATGCCACGTTCTACGAGGCCGTGGAGCATACTTTGCAACAAGACGGTGACTTCAAGAGCAAGGTCTCCCTAATCCAGGACCTCCGAGAGATGACCAGAAAAGTCCTCCATTACTTCAAAGGTGATTTCTTGAGTGAGCTTCCAGGGCTGGTCGACTTGACCGTGGTGCTCAAGCTCACAGACAGGCAGAAGCACGAGGTGGAGGAGATGAAGAAAGTGAAGTGTAAATTCACGAGAGCCGTGGTTGGTGGTTTAGTCTGGCTTCACCCGAAACTGAAGAACCTGAAGAAGAAACTGAAACCTGCAGCTACTATCGAGAACGACGCCATGGACAAGCTGCTGGAGGATCTAGACACCAGAGACGGAGTGAAAACCAAGTTCTTCCTCAACATGTTGGCTCTATGCGAGACGAACAATGAGAAGATGGTGATCTTCAGCCAGTACCTACCGCCACTGAAGTTCTTGGAGAGGCTGCTGACGAAGCTGAAGGGCTGGACTCTGGGAAGGGAGATGTTCATGATAAGTGGGGACTCGTCCTCTGAACAGAGAGAAAGGTCTGTGGAACACTTCAACAACTCCACGAATGCTAAGGTTTTCTTCGGGTCAATTAAGGCGTGTGGCGAAGGGATTTCATTGGTTGGAGGGTCGAGAGCGATCATTTTAGATGTTCATCTGAACCCTGCTGTCACTCGTCAGGCTATAGGGCGAGCGTTTCGGCCAGGACAGACGAAGGTGGTGTACGTCTACAGGCTGATCGCTGGTGGATCCCCGGAGGAGGAAGACTACAATACGTGCTTCAGGAAGGAAGCAATCTCGAAGCTGTGGTTCGAGTGGCACGAGTTCTGTGGGTTTAAGGATTTCAAGGTGGACTGTGTTGAGTTGCATAAGTGTGGTGATATGTTCATGGAGAGTCCTTTGATTGCTGCAGATGTACGTGATCTGCACAGAAGGTAAGATCATTCTTCCACTTGCACATAGAATCTCTTCTCCCATGACTTGGGAACGCTTCGAATGCTCGAGTTTTGATATGTGCTCTGTTTCACTTCTCAGGTAGATCGTGATTCTGACTAGGGAAACCCAAATTGAAGAAGCTGAAGTATAGGTATTAGGTGACCCTTTTTTTTGCTAGTGGATCGTTTTGCAACTACAGACTGCTCTTCTGTTGTAACTCCAATTCTCTTCCTGTCAAAGTTACCTCTAATTCTCACCCCAAACCTTAAACGTGGAGGTTTAGGGAGGCTAATTTTAGTCGTTGCTGACCACTTTTGCGTCGTTCTATGAGGTGTTTTGGTTATATGTATATATGCGGTTCTTGGGGAGATCAGATGAACTAATTTAGCAGATTATTGTGGTCTTTACATCAAACAGCATCTGGTTTTGTGTAATGCTAACCATTAACTAGCATCAGAGCCGTCCTTATTGGTCGAGTTTTCTCGTACTTGGTTCGCAACAAAAGCTTCGGTTTGCTTCCCAGCAACTGAATTGTAGTTCACTGCCACTGGAACCAGATAAACCCTATGCTCTTGCTGAGTTCCTGATTTTGTAACTCTAGGGAGAGACATTTGGTCTCTCATAACATCATTTTGATCCTCCACATGGCCTGGTTTGTCACCTGTAAACTAAAACAACACGGAAAATCGACAGGACATCCCCTGCACTGTGTTCTCAGTAAGAACCTTTCGTTCTTTCTTTCTTCTGCTGCAAGCTTTTAGTGCAGAGGGAGAAACACAAGCCTTCACCCTCTGCCGCAGCAGAAGATATCTCTCGTGCGTTGTTTTGCCACCAATGTGCACAGCCATATTGCATTGCAGGCAGAGGTAACTACCATCAACCTTGCAATAAAAGACCGCTACAATGAATGCTTGTAGTTCGTATCGGTAGCTAATGTTCGAAGTATCTCTCGTGGTGACGTTCAACCAATAGAGGTGGATTAAAGAATAAAATCATATAATCCCTAAGAAAGGCAACTCCTTTAATCCCATGTCGGTTACTTCATCTACCTCAATTTGGTTAATCATTTTGAAGCAGGCACAATTCACATAAACACCCATTGCCCATTATATGGAGCATAGCTTTACACATGGTAACATCTGATCTAGCCTGGAGCTCTTGAGGTTAATGCCATAAGGCCCGGAATTTACATCAAACTACAAACTTAAGACTGGTTGATCTACAAAGTTCTTCACACCGGGATTTCCTAAAACTTCAATATCTGCTAAGACAAGGTACCAATGCAATTGTTCTTCATCCAAGGAGTACCATTTTCCCAGATCGACTGCATTTTACAAGTTTGGACCGTAAGCTTGACGAATAGCTTCGTCCAAAGGGACAGCTTCTTCTCTGCTTTGGCCTTCCCTCCAAACCCTGTACTGTGCCAAAAAGGGACAAGTGCTGGTATCCTTCCATCGCTTCAACATTAACATTGAGTATGGTCCTTGTAGTTGTGCCCCACTTGGATTCATACAGTTCCATACTTGAGCATTCACATTGATGTTTTCCTTGCTGCTGACCATTGGATTCATACTCTTCTGTTTACCATCACCGTCGACATCCTCGTCATCATCGCTTAGATCTATTAATACCACATTAGCTGCTGCTGCTGCTGCACACTGTGGCTGCTGTTTCTTCCCCTGGTCACGATGCTTATTAGCTTCTTTAGATAATTCCCACTGGTCCTGGTTGCTAGCTGAAACAACATCATCGGGTTCACTTTCTACTCTGGATGAAAGTAGCACATTGTATGCGTTATTCTCGTGCATAACTTCCTGATGATGCTCTTCCTCCTTTGCTGCTTCTTGGCTCTGTGTTTGGAGCATCCCATCGTCTATTTTTTTACAGGCAGCTTCACCAAACTGTTGATGCAGTTTAGCTTCGCAATCTATTTTGGTGTTTATGCTCTTAATATCTTCTCTGCTTTTCATTTCTTTGTCAGACCAGAAAGATCCAGCAAGTACAGGAGGACAGTGGTCACCAACTTCTTCTCCTTCTATAACATTTAGAAGGATCAATCAAAGGTGAACAAGATTTATCAACTCACAGTAGACCACAAACAGAAGAATATCAAAATAATACAGTCCAGTCTAGGCTGAAACGATCAGAAGTATCAAGCTGAAACAAGAAACAAAATTAGAACCTTTATGAACTGTTTTGGTGTTTATGCCCGGGTCTTCTCGGCTTTTGTGTTCTTTATCAGACCAGAGATTTGTAAAAAGTCCAGAATGATTGTTATCACCACCTTCAACTCCTGTATCATTTTACCAGATCAATCAACCAATACTCATCGAGTTTGAAGCATATCTTTCTGCAGGATCTATATAAGACTTTCAGGGTAGATCAAACAAACAATACAAATAGTGCATTCCAATATTTGCTTAATAATCAGAAGTATCAAGCAAAACAAGCAACAAAAAGAGAACCTGGATAATCAGTTTTCGTGTTTCTACTCTTCTCTTCTCTGCCTTCCTCTTCTTTGTCAGACAACCTTCCACATCTAGCAAGTCCAGAAGGACAGTTATCAGCAACTTCATCTCCTGCAACGTTTATGAAGTGTCCATCACCTTCAGCAGGATGAATTCGAAGAACTTAAAATAGACTGATAACCAAAAGCACAAACTAGTAAACCACATGAAAAGCATGAAATGTATGAGAAGTGGAAATGAAATTTTTGTCTCTATCAAACTGGAACTTCAGCATATCATGTTCATCATGCAATTGAGTAATAGACGGACATATCTGCGAGATATTAAAAGGAGATGCCCACAACAGTGTTGGCTTGATAGCTAAATAACTGAGCCAATAATACAAGAACGGAATTAGAAGGCAGCAAACCTGCAACATCTGCTTGATCGGTTGGACACCAAATAATCCTACTCCCTCTTGAAAACCTCAGAGTTGTTTCTGGACATTCGACAACTTCTTGTTCATCCTTGCAAATTTCTTCAGATGCAGGTTCCAGCTCTTCTACATCGGCAACAATCTCTGGAATCTCTTGTAGCAACCGAGATTGCTCTTCTGGCTTCTGAAGTTTGACCAATCTTTCTATGTACTCGGCAAGCGTACGCGATAAAAAGTTAAGGCCTGCTTGCTCTTTATTAACATGTTTGTATAGTCTTTACTCTGATACTTTCAGCAGAAAGAAGAATAATCAAACGTGTGAATTACTACAATAACCATAGCAGTAAAGGATATTCTCTTCTCCATCCCTTTAAACTAGCCTGGTCACGGAGGCGTTTTAGTATGACCAACTCCCGCTGAATCCACTTCATCAAGGAAGGCAGCAAGCAAATGTCAGTATAATTGACATCCAACATCTAGGGTAGGAAAATTAGACATCCAAGATGCGTTCAGGCATTAAAATTTCTCAAAGATGTCGCCGATTCAAGAAACATCGATGTGTCATTCCCAATGTCAGACCAGGACAGAGGGAAGAGAAAGATCGATTCGGAGGTACAATCAAAACAGATAAATCACATAGCAATTGTCACAATGCAACAGTAACATGAAGATGGCAACCCAAGTTGGCATTCTTTTAAGCAGCCCAAGTGTATACACTATCTGATATTTCTTTTAGTGTTAAACCATAGTAGTCCTTTTCTCACAAGTAAAGAACAAAGCAGAAATAAATGGAATACATACATCTTTTGTAATAGACTCATGCAGAACTCTGACCTTCTCCTCAAACTCCACCTGTCAATCCAAAATAGTTAAGTCATTACGTACACATAACAGTATTTATTAAATAAAACAATATGTTAGCCATTCTGACCAGCATAAATGCCATCTGAAGATGCATGTGCAGACATGCATGCTAGAACTATGAAGTGATGACATGAACTGAGACATATGCCCAGAAAGTAAAATCTAAGACAAACATGCATCTTCAGAACCGGCATATGTAGAGTTGTGATATTATAAAACAGAAATGGACTAGTAAAACAATTCATTTCTAGCAAACACGCACAATGACAGGCCGCTTGATGAAGCCATTTTTCACACGCTGACGCAGGTCCTGGCACTCTTCCTGCAAGAGAAAATTACTCGGATAAGCATTATACTCTTAAGATGACGATAAGTGAAGTTAATGCTGGTCATGACAGTTCAGGTGATTCAGTTTATTAAGACAAAAATATTTATGTATGCAGACGTAGGATGATATCTTCTCATGTCAGCACGTGAACATAAAGTGTGTCAAGAATTGATCTTCTAGCAGTCCCAAGGGAGGGCACTTGAACAAAACCATATTGGCTAAACAATTTTATAACCATATTTCCAACAAAAAAAATCTTCTAAACAACAAAATTCTAGTTAAATGGATCATCATATATATGATAAATGGATCACTCAGTTTTCTTTACCACGCAAAAAATCACTGTAAATATGGGATTGTCATTTACCTCAGCGAAGTTCTCGTCACTGAGCTTGCAGATTGGCATCTCTCCCATCATATCAGAAACTTGCAGAAGAATAGACTCTTTTGATTCCCCAAATTGTCTCCTTACACCTGTAACATATACAAGATAATCACACAGCATGGCCAGGTACATCAGAAACCAGCACATTAAAAGTATCTTATGCAGTCAGTACATTGAGGCAGGTTTGGAAGTATCTTATTATGCAGTAATTGGGCCATTACCTGTCACTTGTACTAGGAGATGTGAATTCTTCTGAGAGTAATCATGCGGATCAGCTTTGACTCTCACAAAGCTTCCAATAACCTTCACATCGAAATTATCAGAATCCTTCGACAGCTCTTCCACTACACTTTTTTTCAAGAACACATGCTTCATGTTCTCAGTAGTCACGGATGCAAAGCACCTCCTATTGACAGGAGGAACCGCTGCTACCTTGTCCCGGCAGTTAGCTTCTGAGGTTCTTGGTTTCTTATTGGCCACTTGAACATCATCCTCACCATCAACCACAAACCAATCTTCTTCTGCCAAGTCCAAATCATCATCCGATTGGTTTTCAGCAAAATGCTTAGCCAGATGCCCATGTATTCTGTTTTTGTTGACTGATTTCCTCACGAAAAGCGTGTAGAGTTTTGCATCACAGACAATTTGCTTCTTTTTCTCTGGATCGAATAAGTTGTTCTCAGCAGAGTACCTCTTAATGATTTCCGCAACCTCATGCTGAGACAGTTGCTGAGAAATGTCTTTACCTATGGAAGTAAGGAATTCAACAAGCGCCTTTGAGCCCCATCCACTGAACTCCCTTTTCTTCGACCCAAATCTTTTCATCTTAACAGGATGATGCTTTCCCTCGCCAACCTTACCCCTACGCCTCGCTTTACGCTGTTTACCAGGACTCACATCAGCGTAATCCGATTCATTCCAGCTTGAACCACTTGACCCACTTGAATCTTCCTTAGCATCACAAACTGGGTCCAATGCAGTTTCGCGATCCAACTCCTTTTTCAGCTGTTTTTGAGCAGATACCAGGACTTCTTTAGTCAAGCCTTCTTTCACCTTAACCTCCCCCTCCCAATAGTACTTGAAGAAGTACTCGTAAGAATCTGGCGCATCAAAGTCCACCTCCTATGAACAAAGAGCAGAGACGCAGAATTAAGAAACCAAGAAACACCCACCAAGCTAAAATCTCACCAAAACCAGGTAAAGGGGGGAAATTTTTAAGACCTGCCCAGGAGCTGCCGTTTTCGTGCCTTCGATCAGCCCAGCGAGGGTCAAACAGTGGTCACAGAACCCTCTGGTACTCTTCACAACGCCAAAGTCCACATCACAGAGGCAGCGCCCACAAACAGCCTTGTAACAACAAAAGCAATGGAATTTCGGCGATTTCCCGCATAGCATGCAAGAGTGCCAAGCTGCCAAAATGATCACCAGAAGAAGAATTTTCACCATCAGAAAGAAACAACATGAGCACATATGAAACGCCGACTACAACGACAACGACGGCTTACTCACCGCATTTCCAGTACGCGTCGTCATCCAAGAAGGATTTCTCCTTCTCCACGCATTCATGGTGGTAAGCTTTGGTGCATCCCCTGAAAAATGTGCAGGAGGGTAAGAACTCCACGGAGTGTAAGGAAAAGCCCTGAAAACTAGGGTTTGAGAATAGAGTGAAGGATGGAAGCTACGAAATTGAAATTATTGGAGCCGAAGGAAGCTCACTGAATAAGGATTTAGGGCCAGACCCTGTCCTCAGTTAACAAGGGGAAAATGTTAATACCAAACAAAAAAAAAACACAAAAATGGAAAAACTGATGAACAGGGGTAGGGGATGACGACGGAACGACGTCGTTCCCAGTCGAAATGTGGGTAGAAATCAGAGAATCGACTAGAAAAGCTGCACAGGAGGAGAAAGACAACGGGAAAGGGCTTAAAGACCGATGGAGGCAGAAACAGAGAAGAAAAAAAACTTACTTGAAGTCGCAGATTCTAAGGTCTCCACCATCTTTGCAGAAGAAGCACACTCCTTCTGAAGTATCTTCCTTGGTCGCTACTTTGCCTTTAGTGGGGGGCTTCTTCCTCTTCTTCTCCTTCTCTGCACTCTCCATGTGCTGCATTCCTCAGCAAAAAAGAAACGGACCAGGACAGGACGGCTCTGCGCGCACAAACCTGGATCAACACATTTGGCTGGCTACTTCTGCAATGTCTGTAAGACGGCTTTAGTAGAGGACAAATTGCGATCTGGGTTCAGGGTAAAATCTGCCGTGAAAGTGGTTGGCGTGTGCTTTTTGGCTGAACGGAGAATGGCTGGTGGAGTTTGCAGAGGTTTGGTCTGTGATTGGTGGAGAGGTGTTGCAGGGGACTCACTGCTCTGTGAGTCTGTGACTGTGAGAGCGAGAGGGAAAAGGGGGATAGTGAGAGAATAATGGTGACACGTTGCAATTCTTCGTTGGGATGGAAGCTGAGAACGGTTGTGTGGGGCCTTTAACACTAGGCAAAGAATATTTTCTATCACCAGAGTGGTTTATCATTTATGGGACTGCAAGAAAAAATTCACAGCCAAAACAGGGTCTTTTTCCATCAAGATTGCAAATAACATAACAGAAAAAATATCAAACCAATCATCCGCATGAGTAGAATTGTTTTGAAAGTCGTAGCTCAAATGTCGAGTTGATGCGAGGAAAGTATATAACTTCTACCTCGTGCAGGGTGACAATATCGGACAGAAGAAAGGGATCCTATTCAAAAGCTCCAAAGTTATGCTCGCGCGATTGGAGGCTAAATCGACTATAAGAAAGAGAACCGAAAAGAAATGTGGGTAGAATTAGAGGAAAAGTGAAAAGAAAAGCTTACTTGAAGTCGCAGATTCTGAGGTTTCCACCATTTTTGCACAAGAAGCACACTCCTTCTGAAGTATCTTCCTTGGTCACTACTTTGCCTTTAGTGGACTTCTTCTTCTTCTTCTTCTCTACACGCTGTATTTCTCAGCAAATGAGAAACCGACCAGGATGCGTTGCACAACCCTGGATCAACACATTAGGGGGAACTGAGGACGGCTGGCTGCGTCCTTCTGCAATGTCTCTAAGAGAGCTTTAGTAGAGGACAAATTTTCGATCTGGGGTTCAGGGTAAAATCCGCCGTGAGAGTGGTTGGCGTGTGCTTTTATTGCTGAACGGAGAATGGCTGGTGGAGTTGCAGAGCTTTGGACTGTGATTGGTTGAGAGGTGTTGCAGGGGAGGGGACTCTCTGCTCTGTGAGGGAGAAGGGGGAAGCTGAAGGGAGATGGTGAGAGAATAGGTGACAGTGAGACGTTGCAACTTGCAATTCTTGGTTGTGTGGGGCCTTTGAGACTAGGCAAAGAATATTTTCTATCATCAGAGTGGCACTCTGGGATGATAATGAAAAAATTTTACAGCCAAAACATTCTTTTAATGATGATTAAAAATAACATCAATAATGTGCATGAAAAGCTATTGCTTAATTAGTTAGGGTTTAAGAAAATTTAGGGGTTAAGCACATTTCAGTATTGTCATTCCTTCACTTCGTCAGATTGGGAGATATAAGCCTAAAACCCTCTCTCTCTCCCTCTCTCTCTGCTGTTCGACCATTCTTCGCTAGGAAATACAGCAAAAAATGTATCTTTACCGTCTCCTCCGTCGACCCTCTTCCGCTTTCGCCTCGTCGGCTGCCGTAGCACAGCCTTTGATCCGAGCCCTCCACCACCTCGCCTCACCACCCTCCATGAGCACTCCCGCTGCTCAACCTTCAATTCCTTCATCAAGACGGACCTTCGCGTTCTCCTCCGCGGAAGAAGCAGCCGCCGAACGCCGGCGGCGGAAGCGCCGCCTCCGTATCGAACCTCCTCTCCACGCTCTTCAGCGGAACCCTAACCCTCCCCCTCGTGACCCCAACGCTCCCCGTCTGCCGGATTCCACCTCCGCTCTGGTCGGCCCTCGACTCAACTTACACAACAAGGTCCAGTCACTAATTAGAGCTTTCGATCTCGATGCTGCTTCTTACCTCGCTCGCACCTCCGTTTTCACCGGACTTCGCATCACTGTCTTCACCTGTAATGCCATCATAGCTGCTATGTACCGAGCCAAGCGGTAAAATTTACAATTTCCCCTGCTGCTGGTTTATTAGAATACAATTGGTTATGGTGTGTTGTAATTCCTGCAACCTTTCGATTGTTTTGCAGGTACGATGATGCCATTGCATTGTTTAAATACTTTTACGAGCAAATTGATATAGTGCCCAATGTTGTCTCGTATAACAATTTGATTAATGCCTACTGTGATCAAGGGAGAGTTGATAAGGGGCTGGAGGTCTACAGGCATATACTTGCGAATGCGCCATTTAGTCCTTCGTCCGTGACATATAGGCATTTGACTAAAGGTTTGATCGATGCCGGGAGAATCGAGGAAGCGGTTGACATGTTGAGGGAGATGTTGACAAGGGGTCATGGAGCCGACTCGTTGGTGTTCAATAACGTGATTAAGGGGTTCTTGGAGCTGGGTAATTTGGACAAGGCAAATGAATTCTTTGATGAGTTGAAGCAGAGGTGCTTGGTGTATGATGGGGTGGTTAGTGCTACTTTTATGGATTGGTGGTTTAAGCAAGGAAAGGACAGTGAGGGTATGGAGAGTTACAGGTCATTGAAGGCTAAGAATTTCAGAATGGTGCCTGCTACATGCAACGTGCTTCTTGAGGTTTTGCTTCGGTATGGCAAAAAGGAGGCAGCTTTGGAGTTGTTTGAAGAAATGTTAGACAACCATACACCGCCGACATTCCAAGCTGTGGATTCTGAGACTGTTAGTTTAATGGTCAACGAGTGTTTTAAAGAAGGCAAATTTGCCGAGGCAGTCGATACCTTCACGAAGGCTGGTACAAATCCAAAATCAAGGCCTTTTGCGATGACTGTGGCTGGTTTCAACAACATTATTATGAGATTTGCGGAGAATGGGATGATTGCAGAAGCTGAGCAATATTTTACAACATTGATGTCCAAGTCCTTGGCACCAGATGTCACGAGTTTCAAGACATTGATTGAAGCATATCTGAAGCTGGAACGGTTTGACGATGCTCTTAGGATTTTTGATAGAATGGTTGAATCAGGCTTATGGGTGGTTGCTAGTTTTGGTACAAGAGTTTTTCGCGACCTTATTAAAAATGGTAAAGCAGTGGAATCTGCCCAAATTATGATAAAACTGGGGATGAAGACGGCCGAGAGAATGGGGGACAGTATAAAACCTGACCATTTGATTTATGATACTGTGGTGAGGGGACTTTGTGATGCTGGAGAATTAGATGGCAGCAGAGATGTGCTGGACCATATGATGGCATTTGGTGTTGGTTTGCATCCTTCCTTGAAGGAATTTGCACAGAAGGCATTTGAAGATGCCGGACGTGGTGAAGAAATTAAGAAGGTTCTGGATGAAAATCAGTACCGGAATACTTCAAGACCTCCTCCTTTCATGGGTAGGCAAATTCAATCACCATTTGGAGCTTCTCAATTTGGGAGCGGACAACAATCCTTGGGGACATCTTCAGTAGGTGGACAGTCAATATTAGGTAAGCCGAGATACCAGCCAGGAGGATTCCAAGCACCATCATCAGGTTATAATAGCCCAGGACAGCTAGTGTCTGGTTCTTTCGGAATCAGTGGACAACAAACTTCATTTGCCTCTCAGTCACCATCGTCCGCATCATCAGTGGGAGAACAAATAGAAAGTTCCCATAGTATGACTGGTCAGCAACCTTCAGTCTCTAATGCATCACAACAGCCTTTGTGGTCTGATAGAGTAGAAGGACAACAGCCATCCTGGTCACCTCATGTACAAAGGCAACAGCCACCAGCGTGGTCCTTGCCAAGGCAGGGGCAGCCACCATCATGGTCATCTCCCACACAAGTTCAGCAAACATCTTGGCCAGCTACTGCACAAGGGCAACAGCCATCATCATGGTCCTCGCCAGGGCAAGGGCAGCCAACATCCTGGTCCTTGCCACGGCAAGGGCAGGGGCAGCCAACATCATGGTCATCTTCCACACAAGTTCAGCAAACATCTTGGTCAACTCCAGCACAAGGGCAACAGTCATCCAGGCCTTCTCCGGTGCAAGGACAACAGCCTTCGTGGTCATCTCCTACTGAAGGTTCGAAATCATCTTCTCAGTCCTCTCATACTGAAGGACCATCATCATATTGGTCCTCTCCAGATGCAGGGCAGCAGCAGCATTCATCATGGTCCTCTCCAATCTATGGACAAAGGTCCTCTGGCACACCAGATACAGCCAGTACTTATGAATATGCTTCTTCACATTCTGCTGGGAGAAATTCTGAACATGGATCTTCCTTGAACTCGTCACCTGCAGCAGACAACCATCATCCTCATGGACACTCTCACTTGTCAGGACAGGGACGATGGCAAGACAACCAGCAACGGGTAAAAGCTTGATAGCATGATTGTATGCCTAGACTTCTCATATTTTATTGGTTGGTGGCCCAACTTTTTAGAATGCTTCAGTTTCATCTTATATTTTGCTCTTGTTCTAGTTTGATCCAATGGCGAGACAGCAGCATACTGGATTCCCAGAGACGGCTGGGCGCTATCCGCAACCACCTCAATGGCAAGCCAGCCACCATTCCACTGGACAGACTCGCACAGCAGGACGAGACCAATGGCAAGATAACCAACAACAGGTAACAAACTGATGCCTTCATTTTATCTCTAGTCATCTTTTCATTCTTCAATACTGAAATCATTACTACTAAACAACAATAGTCATGCATGCGTACGCTTGTAGCTGCTCGTTTGCTACTAACGAACGATTTAACAAATGGTCAAGCAATCTATCCAAGATAGTCGCTTTTTGCTATGTCCTGGTTAGAAATGAGACTTCTCGTGATTGCTTTCTTGGCTGTCCATCTAGTGCATTTGGTTTGGTGCATTTATAAAGGATTGGTACTTGCTTCAATTTCATGCTTATCTGTTTGGAATGTTGCCTTTTGAGCTATATTTGCAAAGATATGGTGTGGTTTAGTGCAATTGTACATGAAATTTTTCTTGGCATTTGGGCTGCCTTTTTTAGTGTGTGAATTCAAGTACTTCCAACCCGTGTATTTGAGATAACTTGATTGTCTTATGAGTTTGAAATTACATATGCAATTTCACTTGCATGCTATTACACATATTGCTCTCCCAAATACACTGAACCAAACACATCCTGAATCAGTCAACTTAATGGATTTGTGAACAGTCTGTTACTGCAGCTGGACCTTGTGGTTTAATTCCTTACTGGATCTCATTCTTTTGCTCTTGTTATAGTTTAATCCAACTGCGGGACAACAACAACAACCGAATGGACCCTTGGAGACTTCAGAGAATGGCCATTCGCAGCCAGCTGCTCAGTGGCAAGCCTACAACCAGCGTGCCGCAGCTTGATTCTTTGGTACAAACGACCCCGTCCTATGATCATAGTACACAGCATCGCCTCAAGTTTTGGCTTCTGAGTCTGTACCTGAAATGTCTCCAGTCACTGGCGATACTCGGAGATGCCCGGATCTCGCTTTCACATATCCGTTCCAGCAGAAAGTGATTCTCTACTCCCGTGGCAGCTCTCACTGAAACTACAATATGAGTTGTGGTGTGTCCTACAGGATGGATGAACTGCTGTTGCTATTTAGAGGCTGAACAAAATATTTATTGAGGACGACTCTATTCTTGGTGGATCAAAATAGGCTAATGTGTATCTGATTTCCATTTTTGGTTCTGTCTCCTCTCCCCCTTCTTGAATAGGATAATAAGAGAAGAGAACTCTTGTGGCCGGTCACACGTTTACCATCCATTAATCTTCAAGCACCTTATGTCTTTAACCATGATATGATATTGTGAATTTGTGATAGTTACTTCTCACCAGCAAGCACCTTAGTAACTATCTGCAGAATTGTGCTATCAACACAGTCGCGATCTACTACGAACCAGCGCCTAGCTACAGCTTTATACTTTGTCGGTGACAATGTTCTGCAACTTCGGAATATGTACTAGTAGTCTAGTACTACTGTCAATGGTAACTTGTTCTTCAAGCTCGGAATAATCTACTACTCATCAAGACAATCGAAGCAAAGCAACAAATAAGGGTAAATGCCATATTTGGTCATTGAAATTACTAAATTGTGCCATGTTTAGTCACTAGAAAAATTTAATATCAATTTTGGTCACTCGAATTACTGAAATAAGTCACATTTAGTCACTCTCCCGTTAGTTTCCGTCCAACTTCATTAATGGAGTTGGACGGAAACTAACAGGAGAGTGACTAAATGTGACATGTTTCAGTAATTCGAGTGACTAAATGTGACACATTACAGTAATTTGAGTGACCGGAGTTGGACGACGGCTAACGGGAGAGTGACTAAATGTGACCTGTTTCAGTAATTCGAGTGACCAAAATTGATATTAAAATTTTCGAGTGACTAAACATGACACTATTTAGTAATCTCAGTGACCAAATATGGCATTTACCCTAACAAATAATGTATTACAAACCTTAATAATACTTAACCCACATAGTTTTTTGCAATATGGGCCAGATCTGATTATTCTATTGTGGCTGGACAACCAAGAACAGTTATTGGGCATCGGCCCAATAGATGGACCAGGGATTGGATTTCGAGATGCGAATCATTCGAAGAATCCAGATCCATGTGAAATTTTATTTCAATAAATAAAAAGAAGGAAAATATTATTAAATAAAAAGGGAATTAAAATATTTAGTGAAGGTTACAAAAACCCTAGTGCTTGCTGCGGTATATCTACTCTCGTGTTGTCGCCCATCAGTAGAAGAAGTCTTTCCGCGCTCTCTCTGCTTCTGCTTTGCCGAAGAACGCTCGTCCTTCAAAGCAAGTCATTCTATCTCTTCTTGTATTGCTCAAAGTTGTTGCTGTTCGATCTTCGTTTCTTTGGCTGGCTGCTAATGGGACTGATTGCTCAGCCATAGTTGAGCTGTTTCCATATCTCTGATTGTCCTTTCTTCCTGGTTTTCAGATCTGTGATCGGCGAGGCTACGTTATCTCGGCAGCCAAACAATGGCCTTGGTAAGTTGACTTCTAGTTTGTGATGGGTATTTGGTTTTGGATTGTTTAGAATCGTATTGTTTGAATTTGCACTACTGTATTTCATTGATATGCCGTTTCCTAGGGTCTGTCGCCTTCTTAAAGTGTCCTGCTTTCTGTTGGATTGGTGATAATATGGTATCAATCTTTGTTTCGAGTTTGAAGTTTGATTGTCATTGTGTTGAGTTCTGAGTTCTGACTATTGGGTGCATGTGGGGTTTTAAGTAGTCCTGCGGGTAGGACTTTGATTTATTTTTTTTCACCAGTAAGGATAGTAGTGATCCTTCGATCATCTGTCCTTAGTGTCATCAATTTTACTTATGTGTATTTCCATCTCTGCTTTGCAGAAACTGTATGTAGGGTATCCGGGTAACAAAAATGCAAACAAGGCTCTTATTGCTGCAGAGTACTCTGGTGTGAAGATTTCTATCGCTGAGAATTTTGAGATGGGTGTCACTAATAAGACGCCTGAATTTCTCAAAATGAACCCGATTGGAAAAGTAAGCATGCTCTTACGTTGGTTTGTATGTCGAGTTCGGGTCATTATTTTACAGATTCTTACCAAGCTTTGTGATTGATGTTCCAGATTCCGGTCCTGGAGACACCTGAGGGTACTGTTTTTGAGAGCAATGCTATTGCTCGATATGGTACGACTAATCCTCTGATTCTATGCGTATATATCTATTTGTCTTTTGATCTCTAACCGTAAATTTCTTGTTGTAGTTGTCAAGTTGAAGGCTGACAACCCTCTCTTTGGTTCTTCTGCAATTGAATATGTAAGTCTTGTTTTTGTTTTCCCCCATTTTTGGCATGGGTTGTTTCCTATGAAGTTCATCTTGCGTGCAACCTTTGGAAGGACTAAGTATCTTAATTCAAATGTTTCTAATTTACAGGGCCAAATTGAGCAATGGATTGACTTCTCATCTTTGGAGATTGATGCCAACCTTATTAGTTACTTTAAAGCTAGAATGGGATGGACTCCTTATTTCCCTGCTGTAAGTTAGTTGCGATTCTGCTTTTACTCTTGAAAAGGATAACACTTTCTGCTTATTACTTATTAGAATCATAGGCTTAGTCTTTTGGTTATGTTGCAATCAACTTTTCCCGTAATTTAATATGGACGTTCACTTTTAACTAATTTCTTGATGATGATGTTTTCCCCATCTATTTTAAATAACACTTTATAATCTCTTAATGAAGGTTGAGGAAGCTACAATTGCTTCATTGAAGAGAGGTTTCGAAGCATTGAATACTCATCTTGCCTTAAAAACCTACCTGGTTGGCGATTCAATCACTTTAGCTGACATTGTCATGGCATGTAACCTGTACCTGGGGTTTGCCAGACTCTTGCCCAAGAGCTTTACCTCGGAATTCCCCCATGTTGAGAGATACTTTTGGACAGTTGTCAATCAACCAAATATTAAGAAGGTTATTGGGGATGTCAAGCAAACTGATTCTGTCCCACCTGTTGAGTCTGCCAAGAAACCTGGTCAGGAAAAGGAGAAGGCAAAGCCCAAGGAGGCACCAAAGAAAGAAGCGAAAAAGGTGGAGCCTGCTAAGCCTGCAACTGATGAGGTAGAAGAGGCACCAAAGCCTAAAGCCAAAAATCCTCTTGATTTGTTGCCACCAAGTAAGATGGTTTTGGATGACTGGAAGAGGTTGTACTCCAACACCAAGTCCAACTTCCGTGAGGTGGCCATCAAAGGTATGATTCTTATTCCTATCTTTGAACACTATGAGCTTAACAAGTTGTTTGCGCTTTAAATTATCACGTGAAATTCCATTTACAACTTTGAACCTATTCTTAAAGTTCTGCCCACTATAGTTAATAATTTTCGATGGTTTTGACTTTGTTGTAGGCTTCTGGGACATGTATGACCCTGAGGGCTATTCACTCTGGTTCTGTGACTACAAGTACAATGATGAGAATACCGTGTCATTCGTCACTCTGAACAAGGTTGGCGGGTTCCTCCAGAGGATGGATTTGGCCAGGAAGTATGCATTTGGGAAGATGCTGATCATCGGTGGGCAGCCACCATTCAAGGTGAAGGGGCTGTGGCTCTTCCGTGGGCAAGAGATCCCGCAGTTCATCATGGATGAGTGCTATGACATGGAGCTCTACGAGTGGACGAAAGTTGACATCACCGATGAAGCCCAGAAGGAGCGTGCCAGCCAGATGATCGAAGACTTCGAGCCATTCGAGGGAGAGCCTCTGTTGGATGCCAAGTGCTTCAAATAGAAAGTGAATGAATTAAAATGCATCAAACTCTTGTTAATTTAAGTCATGTTGGGATTGACCCAAGTTCTTTTGTAGTGAGTGAGTTTTTGTTTGTTTTGAAGCATTTCCTGCTGTGGTGATGCGAACGGCTGTTTTTAAACCTTGAATCATATAGATCAGCAACTTTTGACGATTGGTAAGATCTTTGTCGTTCGACGCCATTTGGATATTCTGCCGATCCTTATAGATTTAAGGGCTTGGTTACTACAGAAATTCAAAGCTACTTTGCAGATGAGATTCCTTATTAAGGTTTCTAAGAATTGCCACGCTAATTACACGCAGTTAACTACCACATTTCTCAAAAATGTCACTCTAATGACACGGCCTGGTGATGAACATCGACATGGGATCCAATATGGTTGAAGAGACGAACTCTATTCCAACCTCATGCGGCAAATAAATCTTGTGAATGGAAGTTACAATCACACGTGAAACTTATACATATGAATTGTGCTCTCGCATCATTGTGATGTAGTCATCAATGAGCGATCAAACCGCACAATGTCACACACTATGCTATGAATAAGGAATAGCCTCGGTTGTATGCGATAATGCCTTCTGAATATGTGCGAGCATTATATACCGGATTTAGATTGAATTAGTCTTTCATAAGACATTGATTGCATTTGGGTTCTTTTACAACCAATATGAGCACGAATTGTTAATAGACGCTAACGCGATGAACCTTCACCAAGCCGCAGACCGAGTAAATGTAAACACCAATAGTGAAACTACTAGTACTCTTCCATCTCTTCTTCTTCTTCTTCTTCTCCAAATGACAACCTATCTGGGAAAGGCGCGATGATGTGTTTGGTTTAGAAAAGGGGGGCAGTTTCACATGAGTTTTATGTGCGGTTGGTGAATGAGGTCTTGCTATTTATACCATCATATGTTCAATCTCCCGTCAATAATTTTTGCAAAAGGAAAAAAAATATCATATAACAAATGACAAAGAACGAGAGTATACAATGGTTATAAAGTAACATACGTATAGGGAAAGAAATCAAACCGTTGATTTTCTTGTTAGTTTAGGTCATAACCTACCTTTTGGAACACATCATGTTGATGTGTGTAGTTATGATTTATGTAGATGGTTAGAGTAAGATGTAATGAGAATCTCTCAACCTCGATTTATTAATATATGATCTAAGATGCTTTTATTTGTGTCTTCTTATAAAAAAAAGTAACAAACGTAAACAAAACGACTATTTTCGGCAAGAAAAAGTCTTGAAATTTGATAAATTTTATCAAAAATTTATCTTCAATAATGATGATAAACTATAAAAAAAATTAATGTGAAAAATATATACTCGAATCCTCATAAGTATAAGGCGAAAGAAATTTGAAAAGAAGGAGGGAGCTAAATTTGAGATTAGTAGGATTTACCTAAGAAAGAAAAGGGAAGAGACAAATTTGAATATTTGAAAGGAAGAAAGGTTAAATATATGCATATTAGTTGGAGCATGGTCCATGAAATCATACCGGATATCATATCGAAAAAGTCAGTGACATGATATTTTAATATTTTATGATAAAATCGTGATTTAACCGTAGTTCAACCTTTAGACTCTTAAATACCGCTTACAGGTTTAGCCTCCAATACTGATATTTCGTGGTTGAACCGCCAGAATGATACGGTTTCATGGACCATGAGTTGTAGTTGGTGGGAAAACCTGATTAAAATCTAGACAGGAAGCACGCATCAGTCGAATATGCAAGTCAAACCGAAGGAATCCATTGATAGGAGTTTCTGTGCTGGAGGCAGAGAAGAGAAAGAAGACGCACATCAGATTACATTCAGCCGTCAAAAATTCGCGGCAAGCTGTGCTGTGCTGTGCTGTGGTGGTTTCTTTCTTTTAGTATTTCAGGAAGCAGCGGCAGCCGGCGACGGCAGAGAGAGGGATGAGAGAATCTCAATAAGCTTTTCCTTGGCGTTTCCTCTTGTTTTTCACTACCGCCTCTCTCCAGTTTCTCTCTGGTTCGTCTCTCTTGGATCTCTCCCCACCCCATCTTTCTAACTTTTCCAAAGCTTGAATCTTTCGTGTCCTTTATCCTCCATAACCATTGGGTTTACGAATTCCGGCTGCAATTCGTTCCCCCATCCAATTCTCAGTTGCCATTTAGCTCGCTGATTTCGAACTACCCTTTGAACTAAATTGCCGTGAATTAGCTGTTTAGGGTCGCTCATTTTGATCTTCGGTTGTCTGTAAATTCCCAAGCTTAAGTTCTTTCGAAATGGGGATGGACTATTGCAAGTGCAGATCAAGAACTAGGGATTAGGTTAGTTGGATAAGACGTCTGAAGATCTTTTTATTCTAGGTAAACTGTACGATAAGAAGTTCTTGCTGTGTGTGTGATCTTCGTTTCTTTGGGTGTATGCTAATGGGACTGATTTCCCAGCTTTTTTTTTCTTTTTCTTACAAAGACTGATTTCTCCGCCTTAATTGAACTTTTCTCCATATCTCTGATTGTTGTTCTTTGTTCTTGGTTTACAGATATGTGATCGGCGAGGTTACGTTTTCTACAGGAAAACAATGGCTTTAGTAAGTTGAGCTTTTGTTTTGTAATCTTGGGTGTATGTCAGGTTTTTAAGCAGTCTTGCTGGTAGGACTATGATTTGTAATTTTCACATGTATGGAGAGTTGTGAATCTTTGGAACAACTATCTTTCGTTCCATCAATTGTAATGATGTGTGTATATTCCTATTGCTGCTTTGCAGAAACTGTATGCAGGGTATCCAGGAAACAAAAATGTAAACAAGGCACTTATTGTTGCAGAATACTCTGGTGTGAAGATTTCTGTTGTTGAGAAATTTGAGATGGGTGTCACAAATAAGACTCCTGAATTTCTCAAGATGAACCCCATTGGAAAAGTAAGTAAGTCTGCTCTTGCGTTGTTTTGTACTGTAATCTGAGAATTCTGGACATTCAATAGATTATTACCAAGCTTTGTGATTCATGTTCCAGACACCAGTTCTGGAGACACCGGAGGGTTCTATCTTTGAAAGCAATGCCATTGCTCGATATGGTGAAACTACATATGCATCTGCGTATATTTTTTTTTTTCTTTTCTTTTGGGAATTCTTCTAACAGTCAATTTGTTGATGTAGTTGCAAAGCTGAAGGCTGGCAACCCTCTCTTTGGTTCTTCTGCAATTGAACACGTAAGCCTTGCCTTTGATTTTCCCCATTCTTAATATGGGTTCTTTCCTGCAAAACTCATATTGTGTTTTACCTTTGTAAGTGGAACAAAACTGAGTCCTTGCTTATAATGTCTCAAATTTACAGGGCCAGATTGAGCAATGGATTGACTTCTCATCTTTGGAGATTAATGCCAACCTAATGAGTTACTTTAAAGCTAGAATGGGACGGACTCCTTATTTCCCTGCTGTAAGTTAGTTGCACATCTACTTTTTGTTTGTGAAAGTGATGTATTTTCTATTTTTAGAATCATAGCATCAGTTATATGACTATGCTGCAAATGCAATGACCTGTTGCCCAATTTCAATATGGCAGTTGTTCTGTGTTTCTTGTTGTTGATGTTTTTCCCAATGGTTTTAAATAACACTTTTTTCATTTATGAATGAAGGTTGAGGAAGCTACAATGGCTGCATTGAAGAGAGGTTTCGACGCATTGAACACTCATCTTGCCTCAAACACCTACTTGGTTGGGCACTCTGTCACTTTGGCTGACATTGTCATGACGTGTAATCTGTACATGGGATTCGTCAGAATCTTGCCTAAGAGCTTTACCTCGGAATTCCCTTATGTTGAGAGATACTTCTGGACCATTGTCAATCAACCCAATATTAAAAAGATTTTTGGTGATGTCAAGCAAACTGATTCTGCTCCTTCTATTGAGTTTGCCAAGAAGCCTGGTCAGCAAAAGGAGAAGGCAAAGCCCGAAGAGGCATCAAAGGAAGCGAAAAAGGAGGAGTCAGTTATTGGGGTGGAAGAAGAAGCACCTAAGCCCAAAGCCAAGAATCCTCTTGATTTGCTGCCTCCAAGTAAGATGATTTTGGATGATTGGAAGAGGCTCTACTCCAATACCAAGTCTAACTTCCGTGAGGTCGCCATTAAAGGTATGATTCTTATTCCTTTATTTGCTCACTACGAGCTTAACAAGTTGTTTACACATTAGATTATCACTTAAAGTAACTTCAGTTCCACTTCAGCATTCACCCCAAACCCGGGAAATTGTCTGTAACATAAACACTTCCTTGGCGAATAAAATTTCATTTACAACTTTTAGCCTTTGCACTTGGAACCTATTCTTAAAGTTCGACCCTTTAGACCCATTATAGTTTATACTCTTTGATTATTTTGTCTTTGCTGTAGGCTTCTGGGACATGTATGACCCTGAGGGCTATTCACTGTGGTTCTGTGACTATAAGTACAATGACGAGAATACGGTGTCATTCGTTACTCTGAACAAGGTCGGCGGGTTTCTCCAGAGGATGGATTTGGCCAGGAAGTATGCATTTGGGAAGATGCTGATCATCGGCGGGCAGCCACCATTCAAGGTGAAGGGTCTGTGGCTCTTCCGTGGGCAAGAGATCCCTCAGTTCATCGTTGACGAGTGCTATGACATGGAGCTGTACGAGTGGGCGAAAGTAGACATCACCGATGAAGCCCAGAAGGAGCGTGCCAGCCAGATGATCGAAGACTTCGAGCCATTCGATGGAGAGCCTCTGTTGGATGCCAAGTGCTTCAAATAGAAGGTGAATGATTGTGGACGAGCTAACAAGGCTGGAATCAAGTGGGTAAAGAATTCATCTTTTTCGTCACAGGTTCTCTTGTTGGTCAGATGCTAATATGGTGTGGTTAAGAAATCCCTTGCTCATTTTAACGGGAAGCCTGTGTAATTCTTTCCCTTCCATTGAAGTTGGTGCAAATCTATATATCAAGCCATATTTCATCCACTCTCCCCCTGCAGAGCACCCAACACCGGTGAGTTAAAATGGCGGTATTCAGCTTGAATTCCGACAAACAGTTCATCCAGACTCACCATCCGTCTCCATACATTCATGTCTACGAATACAAGGGCGATCCGAACGTGTTCGAGATGATCCATGCCCAGGACTCGAGCTTTCGCCTTCCTCCAACCAGAATTGCAGTTCCCCTTTCCCCTCTCCGTGGAGCGGTGACAGAGTTCGACGAGCTCGAGGTATTCGGGGTGACCATCCGAGGCAACCAGCTGGTACAGCTATTCAATGATCTGACCCTCACCCACGCAAATGGCAAGACGTTTCCTCTCCTGGTCAACCGTCAGGGCCTCTGTTTCCTGGAAGTCGGGGGCCAGCCGGTTAGACGGCTGAGGATCAACGACCATTTCGGGTGGAGCAAGTATGGGGTCGCGCCCAGGATTTGTACGATATGGAGCGTATGGGACATGAACAATGGTGCTGTTCTCGTCGCGCCTCCGGTCGAGGAGGATGGTTGCGAGTCCATGCTGAGGAAGATGTTGGAAGAGAGGGACAAGGAAGTGGCTGCCCTCAAGTCCGCCATGAAAGCACTTTGCCACGAATAAGAGGTTTTCGGATTTGGATAACTCCGAGAGTTGTGAACTTGTGATCTCGATCAGTTACTACATGTTGCAATTTTTATTTTTCCCTGTTGTGTTTGTGTATGTCCATAAGTTATGTTCTGTAATTCTTGTTCAAGAAAAACAAATATAAAGTGTCCTTCTGTATCACATTGTATATATAAATCGGCTTTATGACGATATAAATCGGTTCGACAACCATACATAATTACATCTATGTGTTATATGTGCCATCTGATCTGAGCATTGGCCAACTGGATGACCCGGCGGCCGGCCTTACAGTAGTTAAAAGGTAAAAAGGTAGGAACTTTCTCACAAGAGGAACCCCCAATGAAAAGCTACCAAAGTGGCATGCGGCAGTCGAATATTACAATTCAAACCGAAGGAAGCCATTGGTAGGAGTTTCTGTTTCTCTTCATCCATTATAATAAAGAAGGGAAGTGATCAATCCCTCTGAAATGGCTGCTTAAGTCGCACGGAAACCGTCCGACCCACCGACCGATCCAACCAAACCAACGACGACGCTCGCCTTCTTCTTGCCGGAGGGAGAGAAGAGAAGACCCACATCGGATTACATTAAGGCGTCGAAAATTCGCGACAAGCTGTGCGGAGCTGTGGTGGGTTCTTTCTTCAAGTATTTCAAGAAGCAGCCGGCGACGGCAGAGAGAGGGATGAGAGGAATCTCGAGAAGCAGATCGGCTTTTCCTTGGCGTTTCCTCTTCTTTTTCACTGCCGCCTCTCTCCAGTTTCTCGCTGGTTCGTCTCTCCTGGATCTCTCTCCCATGTTTCTAACTTTCCTAAAGCTTCAATCTTTCTTGTCCTTGATCCTCCCTTTCCATTAGGTTTTAATAATTTCAGCTGTAATTGGTTCCTCGATCTCATTCTCAATTGCCATTGAGCTCGGTGATTCCTAACTGCCCTTTGAAATTAATTGCCATGAAATAGCTGTTTAGGGTCGCCCATTTTGATCTTCTGTGACTTTCCAAGCTTAAGTTCTTTCGGAATGTGGATGAACTGTTGCGGTGCAGATCAACAACATTAGGGATAGGATAATACGTCTGAATTGGTCTAGTTGCAGCCTTCTTACATGGGCTTGAATTGGGCATTTGATGCTGTGTTTAGTTGATTGCCTCCTGGAGGCCAGTCTGTTATGGTGATTGCTGTTAGTTTTAGGTGTTAGCTTTCATCAGTTTGAATTGACCCCAGTGGATGGGTTTGATGATAATGGATTAGAGAGTTGTAGCTCTCAGTCTTTTCTCTACATTCTTGAAAGTTTTCTGACTGTGGTTCGCCGTGCAGGCTTATGTGACGACCCATCTAGCACAAAAGACAATGCAAAGAAAGCTGATTCTGGTGTCGATACTCGCCGTAAGATTCTTTTCATTTTCCTAGGGATGGTGGCAACTGGGTTGCTTTCATTTGGCCTTTTCAAGTTCTGGCAAAAGAAGAAAAGAGAAGAGCAGTATGCCCGTCTGCTAAAGTTGTTTGAAGAGGACGATGAGCTGGAGGTTGAACTTGGCCTCAGAGATTGACACTCATAGTGCTCTGGTAATGGAGTCAATTGTAGTTGAGGTACGTGCATCCCTTCCAAAATCCTAACTCAAATGAAGTATGCCTTGCTTCCTTGTTTTCCTCTTATTTCCCTACTTGGGAAAGTAGATTCAGGGTTGGAACTTTAGCTGTAGATGGTTACCTGCAACTATGTGGAAACATATATTGGGAAGCATCCATTGTCCTTGTGTGAAGCTTGAAAGTTGCCGAAATTCGTTCCTTATTAGTGAGAAAGTTGCAGCTGAATACGTTGGGGGGTTGGTACCTGAAAAGCTGAAACTGTTAGGGAAGTATTAACATTAGTGGTACTTGGAAGATGAGAATATGCAACTATGCACATATTTGGGATCCATCCATTTCCCTGTATGCCTTTCAGGCCTGGCCTTGGTTAAATCTTGAAACTTGCTGAAATATACACGTGGTTATTGTGAAAGATGCAGCTTATATTGTTGGGGTGTTTGTAGCTGAAGTTTCTGAGGAAAGTAGAATTTGAAGTGTAGCATTAGTTGTAGGTCAGAAATTCGCGACATCATTTGGGATCCATCCATTTCCTTCTACCTTGCCCGTCTGTCTGAAGCTTGAAAGACTGCTTTGTATGGTGGGTTAGTGAACTGCAATTCCGGTCTCCACGAGTGGACAGACATTGTTGCGGCATATTTTGAATATTGATTTAATTTTCAATAGAAAACTCCATTGCCATAACCAATTCCACACGTTCATTGTGCATAAAGGTGGTGATGGCTGTAGATTTTTTGTTTGCGTAAATGAACATAACTCCGAGATTGAATCTATTTTTCTGTAGCCTATATTACGTCTATCTGTCAGTACCATGACTGCATGCCCTTCAGCCTGGTGTTTAGCCAGATGTACCTCTGCTATTCCAAGCATATAAAAAACCTCACTTCACCCCCACTGCTTATTTTTGCAGGTTTCACGATCGGAGTTGGCATTAGGACAGGTGGTTCCTCTGCTTGGTCGCAACTCCCCTTCTTGAAGATGCTTTGCTTCCGAGCCCGAAGCTTTTACCATTATAGTGATTATGTTGAAATGGAAATCGTGATTCAAATTCTTTCAGAACCTTTTAGTGAGAGGAAGAAAAGAGAAAAGAAAGTATTGCACAGTATGTAATGAAAATTCTCGTATAGGATTTTGTAAGATTCAACAGCTTCGATATCCTTTCTGTTTTTTCCTGAATTCGGTAGCTTGCTGTCAAGAGTTCAAGCCAAGTGCAAAATGTGGGAATTGAACACTACATGAAGACTGCAAATTGTTACAGCAAATGCTTGCACTTGTCTCTCTCATAGGCTCAGAAAACCTAAATCACGAATAAAGAACGAAACAGGAAAGAGACGCTCCTTGATCGTAAAAGTCTGTTTAACGAAGTACACTACTGAGTACTGAATCACATCTCAAACCATCCTAATCCACCCTCGAGATTGGCCTTGCACGCTTTCATGAAACATCCACAATGCCTACCGCTAACAAACTACTGATTAAACTGTTTGCTATCCTAATTGCAATATCCAACTGCAGAAAAGACAGCCGAAGCTTAAGTAAACATACTAACAGAACACTCAAACTTGTTAAACAGCAACCAAGCTTCAAATCCTTCACAATCACATCACTAAGAAAATAGTACGTAGGCACTAAAACTTGTGCATATTCATAAGGTCATGATGCACACTGCATATGCTAAGAATTATTGAAACAACTTCGACAGATCGAAGTTTTACATGGCTGACTGTTAAGGACCACTAGATACCTTGATCAAAATACAAGTCAGCTTCAACCAATCAGATTATTACGTTTCAATGTTCAAAGAAATAATACATGGGAAGAAGAATAGTAATGGCGCTATAAGATAAAAAGGGTGGATGGTGGGTGAAAACGTATATTAAACAAAACTAGTAATGCAAAACTAAGAAGCCATATAGAACCTCAGCCCAAATATCCTTTTTGGCAAACCATCTCTCGGATCATCATCAGCATATGCCCAAAAACACATAGGAGGGGAGTAGTTTCAAACTTGTTTCCAAACCATTTCTCAAGACACACTCCAGCCAGCAGTTCCAAGGTTCTTCGTCAGCCCAAGTTTCTTGAACCTGGTATATCATCATTCTCAAAGAAGTCGCATTCATCAACAGCTTATCATAGATTCATCAGTATTATCTTCCAGTCTTGGCACGTTTCATCCCTGCAGAGTTGAAAGGAGACATGCTTGGGCTCATACTAGGACTCATGCTAGGGCTCTCCTCCCTTAGTGTACCATTCAGCATTGCCAGCTCCCTCAGTTGCTGCTTTTTGTAGTGATCTAAAGATTCATCCTGTGAAAAGGAATAAGTAGAGAAGATGTCAATGCACAATAGGAACAGCAACTGAAACAGTAACAGCAGAGGGGAATTTTTTGCCAAATGCAGGTGGTTTGTTGTTAGTTCATACCACGGGCCTCAGAAGGCTTTCCAGTATGGTCACAGCATGATCCAAACGAGCATTTATAATGTTCTCTGGAAATTCAGCCTCCACCAAGACATGAAGTGGCTCATTCAGGTGCTCATACCCTGGTTTATCTTTCAATTTCTCTTCCTGAAAAAAAACAACAATCGTGAGACTTTATTCATCTGTACTATGAAAAGCACAAATGGCCATCATAGAAGTAGCCAGCGAAAGTTTTCAATAGTAACAAGCTACAGTTTCTAGGGCTCATTCATTTATGTCATATATCACTAGTATTCATTGACTCTTAAAATGTTTCGTGATAAATTCAACCAGTTTGAGACTCAGGTCATACACATCATCAAGTGTACAAATTGAAACAGCCTCCACAACCAATGAAACATAACACCGAAAGTGTGAAAGATGACCGCAAAGGGAGGCACACATCACCATTAAATTAACTTCAGGGAGAGCTATGTTTGGCATCACCTACAATTTGACATGTACTTCCTTCAGCAAATGGGATCAAAGTGGACGAAACATATAGAGCGTAACAATATTAACACATAATGGCTCCAGGCAGTTCCAAGGAGTCGATCTTCCACGAAAGATGTAAGCACGCAAAAAAGTTAAATTAAACCTTCAGAATTGTCGGGAGACAATCTTTGTTTCAGGTGTCAAATTATGCACAGAATTGTTACTGCTTCACAATGAGTCACAGCTTATCAAGGGGGTTCTAATTCTAACTCCATCTGAGTAGCAATGGTTTGAGATTCAGGCAACCCAATCAGAGTTTGCTATCATGTTTCAAAGCTAGAATATATTCTTTTGCTTAGCAGGCCTATCACCCTAGTGGATTCGAGACCATATGAACAGGTCTTCCATCTTGCAAATAGAGTCATGCATGGTCAAAGTTTATGAAGGCATGAAAAAACAAAATCTAAGCACAATATAATCTGAGTTTAAAAAAATGGAGATAGACAACAAGCGCTTCAATTAGAGAGCATAAGATGGAATTTCCATATGGCGCTAAAGGGATGAAACAAGTCAAGGCTGGACTCGGCAGTCAGCACTGCCTAAACCAACCAAAAAAGAAATGAACACTAAAGATAGTGACGAATAATACCTTGAGAGAATCTTTTACTGACCCCTTGCCTCTTATATACACCCTGCATTCTGTCAAGGCTTCAACTCTTTTCAAGGAGTTCCCCCGAGGTCCCAGTATTCGACCAACAAAATTGAACTGGAAAAAGCTCAGAATTAGAAAATCATAACAAGCATATCTAATTCAGCATTTATGCTTGAATAGGAATTAAGAAATCACACTTACATCGGGATATTTGTCAACTGGAACATCAAGTCTAATAACTCTCTTTACAACAGGAGTTGTAGGAATTCCTGGCACTGCAGGCCAACCAATTGAAGCAGCTTGTAATGAAGCCATTTTCTGCAGATGCCCATTTTCCTGCAGGAAAATATGTATTAGAAACCGTGTGAATTTCCATTCAGTAACTTGAAACAAACAAAACCATTAAACCTGAGGTCAAGCTAGAAAGTGGCTTCCACCTCTTCAGTGATATTGGCGTGCAAAATGAGGATGTTTGTTATTACATGATATTTGTTTCTTATTGACATATGCATACAAAAAACATATTTGAGGTAAAAAAAATTTACCAAGAAGCTACACTCCCATTCACTTAACATTTTTTTTCAGGCTGTAAGATTAAAGCTTCTTGACATTCAAGTCAGACTTGAAGTTAATCAGACATTAGTCAGAGCACATTGAAGTGTTCTGACAGTTAGGTGTGAACAGCGAAAAGAGCTGCCCATTCCATGGCTCCAGGTAGGAGTGTTTCATCTGTGTGTGTGTTGGTGACTATCCAGAGAATTTTAATTTTCGGCAGTCATTAGTCAGTGCATATTGTGATTTCTAACAAAGCTATAAATCGAGTAACTAGCTCGAAGTTTTATGAACTTCATCCACTTCTTAGATTGTCTTCATTCCTAAATCCTCATTTTAGATTTGGAGTCAACAGTTATTTAACAAAAAAACAGATAAAAAATAATCATGACCTATGATGAGTTCCTAAATCAAGCAAGAAACTCCTCCAGATCTACTTTGCAGCAGCATTTAGTCTCCCTATGCTAGATCGCAGTTGACAAGTCACAATAATTGCTTGCCACCATCCAGTAACTAACCCATCAATAAAATACCAATATCGGCCTCCACTTCTCCCCATAAAGAAAAGGTCATCAATCAAGTCACTTACTCGAGTGAGCAAGACAGAACAACAAGACAGACTCGAATAGCAAATGGAGAAATTTCAAAACTGTTAGGTAAGTAGACTACCAGGAGCATACACTGCACATACGAAACTGTAGAATTTCACTACCTCTGTTTGCATGGCAGACCAAGCTTCCAAATCCATTGTCCTTCCATTAGGATGTTGACCTAATGACCTAAATGGACTATCGTGCTCATATCTTTCATGCTCTCCAAAACCCTGACTGAAACTTGATACTCGCCTGATCTCTGCAGTTATGTTAGTGTACAAGAGAAGCAGATAAGCATTCAACAAGAACCCCTGTAAGCGGTTAACAGTAGCTTTGTTATGTTAATCTAGTTATATTAGAAATAGTCAGCAATAGTTAAAGAGTCAAACCAATGCAACCACACATCTATTAGTTAATTAGGAGTTACACAAGACATCCGGAATATTGGGACGGGAGAAGTCAAACCAATGCAACCACACATCTAAATATTTAGCAACCACCCTAAGATTTCTTTGACATCATTCTCACTTCCACTCAAAAGGGAAAGAGTACATCAAGATGCCCATTAACCTACTACAGAGCATGTGTTTCCTCGAAATTGAAACGGCAAAATAGATATATGGACATGATGCCATGAGATGATCAATTATCAACCACCTGTTTACATACGAGTCATTTACTCGAGTGCAATACATCATGCACTGACATATCTGTGAATCAACTGCCTATTTGAAGTAAGAGATTGATCATATGATTCAAGAACCTTGATTAAGGAGCCTGCTGCAATATGGAAGTACTTGTATAAATGGCCCCAGCTTTTCCCTCTCCGCCAGTAATTCAGCCAAGTATCTGCAGGAGAAGTGCTCATGAAATTGACGCATCCCAAGCCAGTACAACATATATAAAAAAATTACAAGCAAAAGTTTAAAATTTGAAAACGTATTAAGAGCCAGTTCAAGCCATGAGGGCCAGGAGCCAGTCAAAAGAACAAACAACAAACCTAGCTCCATGCCATATCAGACAAGTGCGAACTCGGATTGAATCTCAACAATCATGAGACTAATTCTATTAATTAACAGGATGGCATACGGAGAACAAGTATGGATTGCGAGACACAAAAAGAGATAAGGAGTAGGATGCAGAAACAAACGAGTAAACCTTGAGAAATATCAGCATACTAAACCTTTCCCAGAAGGGAAAGCATCTGCTACAACATAAATCAATTTCCAAGGTGTCACTACACGGTTACTTCTTCATAATCTGGTATTCCTCTGCAAAGCCTATCCATATGTATCGGCTCACAGATATTCCTCCTCTGCTAATTGAGCCATTCCAGACACTCAAAAGATAATTTCACCACACTAGAACATCCTACTAAACATGTTTCCAAGTTAATTCACTGAACAGTGACATGGAACCACCATATAACTATTACAACAACTCCACCGACACAACTGACGAACACTTATCATGGTGGTGGTCATAGCAATAAGTCAAGCAATCAAAACCACGAATCCAACACCACCAACCAAATCAAGAACCCTACAACAACAATACGCAATCACAGTACTGAAAAAAATGATCACATAAGCAACAAACAATCATAATTTACCACAAAACAAGGAAACTCAAAAGGGTGGGTGGGGGATCCAGAAAAGAAGAAGAGAAACTTACCTCTCACGATCTGAAGGAAACGAAGTGGCTCTATGAGGAGAAGCGTGATGAATCCCAGATGGCGGGTATTGAAAGAAACTCCCCGGTGGTATCCTCTCGCCCATCGCTGACAGCCGCACACGAAGAAGATAGTATTTTCCTTTCTGCAGAGGGGAATAAAAACAGGCTTAATCAGAACAAAAACAAAGTCAAACCCAGAAAGCACAACCAGCAAAAGATTACAGCTTTCATCTGTACATCCAAAACCCAGCAAAAGAACAACCGAAACACGACGAGATAAAAGAAAATACTTACTGGGTTTGTGCGATAGAAGCAGAAAGATAGATAGGAAGAAGAAGAAGAAGAATTAAAAGGGGAAACAATAAAAGGATGGGGAGATTTTGAGCTGAGGGCAGAGATTCAATAGCCCAAGAGGACTGCTCCTCACAGCCACTCTGCCCCTTTTATTGGTGATTTTGGTGGGTAGCAGTAGTAGTGGTGGTGGAAGGCAATAGTATGGGAGAGAGTGTCAATTTGACACCAAAACAACACAAAGCAAAAGCCCTACTCATTCATGACTCCCTCTCTCTCTCTTCCTCTCTTTTCATTTTTTATTTTTAGCTTACTGCCTTACTCTATATATTTCATTTTTTCCTTTGCTTATTTTTCTCCTTGGATCCTTTTTTTGCCTTGCTGTATTTATACCCATTTTTGGATCTTTCCTGTTTTGTTTTTTATTTTGGTTGTACTAATTTATTTTTAGGGTTTACGTTTACACACGAGAAAATAAAATAGGAAATAATTAGGTGGGGAAAAAAGGTGTCAAAAAAGGTGAAAATAAATGGGGTTTTTTTTTAGGTTTTGGAGGGGGGGACTTTGGCTGGTCTATGTCAGATTCAAGCTGTCAATTTTCTTCATAATCATACAAAATTGTTGAATGGCTTCAACCAGCCAACAACAACCAGTACCCCATTGATGCCATTTTTTCCCTCTCTTCTCTGTCACTATTTTATATAGACATTGCAATTTATTGATTGCTCAAATAATAGTTTATCTATAGAGGATTTGTTATTCTCCCAACTACTAGAATAATTCAATTTGTTGATTAGCATATATTGTTATAGTAGTTTCAGTTTTGGGTGATTCTGTTGAGTTATAACTAGATTTGGGGGAATAAAAATGGAAAATAGCATATAGGTAAATATTTTACAGCTTTATCTTAGTTTACCAAGTGTGGAAAGTTATTTTCTATTCGGATTTGTTAGGTACATTAAGTAGATTGTTTTTATCAATTATCATAGGGATCGGTTAGCATGCTAACCCTTGTTTGGGTTGGCAAAATGACAACCCCTATTAATTATATGTTTTTAAGGTAATTAATTTGTGTTGCATTTAATAATCTGTATGAATTAAAAACACATATTAATTACTTTCCTTTTTTTAATGCACTGGTAGTTGTATCAGTGCACTGGTAGTTGTGTACATGTGCAATGGTAGATGTATAACTGCAATGGTAGTTCCAAAAAAGGAACGTAATTAATATGAGTTCAGTATACCAGTGCACTGATAGTATACAACTACCAGTGCACTGAAAAAGGAAAGTAATTAATATGTGTTTTTAATTCATACAGATTATTAAATGCAACACAAATTAATTACCTTAAAAACCTATAATTAATAGGGGTTGTCATTTTGCCAACCCAAACAAGGGTTAGCATGCTAACCGATCCCATAATCATAGTATACCGTTTTGAATAATACTCTTATTTGCCTTTTAAGTTTGTTAGTGTTGACACCATACATAAACTTTGTGATGTTGGCCCTTACGAGGCCTAACGATGCACATTTTTTCATCTTTCTCGAGCAATGAAAACTACATGGAAGGTTTTGTCGGTAATAGACCAATTGGGGCTTCTTTCGACACTCAAATCCACGAAATAAATAGTGTGAGAAGGTGCTGAGATTACTTTTGACTTGGTGAATTGAGCTTGGATCTTATCGTTGATCACAGGGAATGTTTGTTATCCAATAAATGCGGGGAAATGTGACAACCACGTAGTTGTTAGATCATGTGCTAGGATTCATAGACTATCCAAACACGGGTAGGATTCTACTTCTCAACAATGCCTTTGTCATTTGATCCAATAGCGTTCCGTTAGATAGGAACAGATTTTATAAATATTGATAACTCTCGGATAGAGTCTTCGAGCGGAAACATCGATTAGATAATGAACTGTCGAATCTCCTGTCTTAGGAATAGTGTTCATAGGCCCAGCAGACATCTCACTCGGGAAGGAAGGCATTAGGCTGTGGTTCATTCATTTCTTAAGTACGCAAGGGGGGATAAGCAAGAGCTGTGCTTACTGTGAATCTGTCTCATAGCGCGTGGACAAGAAGGAAAGCTGTCTGTGAATAGAATAAATCCCTTCTCGATAGCCTTAGGAAGAGTGAATAGGCACTGTACAGGGATCGAAGGAAGAAAGTAGCCAATTCTCTTTTAACTATTGTGAATATGACATGGATAGAGATCTCCATACACTAACTGGTAGAGCATGGTTTGGATCCTTGATTCGAACATAATTTTCTAGAAAGTTGGCATACTCAGTATTTATTGCGAGAGAATAAACTTTAGTAGTGTATACCCTACAAATAGAAGGGTAATTTATTTGCTTATATTATCTTACAGCCTTGTGTGTGTTAACCATACAGAGAGAAATGTATTGTGTTACTACAAGATACAAAGAGAATAAATCGTCGAGGAAGCGAGCTTTATAAAGTGAAAAAGGATCAATTGAGTTAATGTTTAGATGGCTCGACATAATCATGCCCTTGTCAGGACTCGTTCACTGTTAGGCTATTGCGCATGTTATTTGAGTTATCTTAGAATACCTTGATCGGAACCCAATCAACCATCCCCATTTTGGGTTGAGTTTCTCCAAGCAGATTATGTTGTCTTAGTTCGATGACATTTAACCTAGGGAGCTCAGTGCTTTTAGGCTCAGGTTGAGACCTAACTTGCTACATAATTAGGGTATGGGTTGGTTGGCTTCATAGTGATTGAATCTCTAAACAATCCTTATTAGGGTTTAGATTGACTCTTCCTCGCTCAATTTTTTCTGCCACTACAATATGTTTGAATTTGATCCCTACTATCCCTCACATCCATATCATTGGAATATACCTTTTGCAATTGATCACCCAAAACTTTATCTATGAGATAACCGTTTTTTCACTAATCACCAAACTACTATAATAGTTCATTATTTGGATAGGCATGTGAATATGAATGTTCACAACTTGGTTCATGTTACAAGTTACAAAAGTCAGTTCTTATAAATTGTTTAATGTCAATAATGAAAAAGTGTGTTTATGTACCTCGAACTTCAATATATATTAATGATAAGACACGTAGTTAGTGCATTGTACTCACCTTGGTTCAATTTTAACCTCAACAAGTTTCACAAGAGTGGTTCTCTATAAATCCAATTGAATCTCATTGAGCTAAGTTGAAAAACTCATGCGTGGTAGGTCAAACAAAGTACTGAGACAAAACAAAGAAAACAGTAACTACATAATAAGAACCATAGTTGAAGAAGTTCGAGATCCACCTCAGACTCCAATTTTTCGATCATCGTATATCTCAAAAGGGCACGGGCCAAGACTAACAATCCATCTTCCCTTTCCTTACCCAACACATCCATATTCATCTTTCTTAGACAACACATCACCTTTCTTAGACAACACACGACCGTTTTTTTCGTTCCAATCAACTGGAACAGGTACTCACCGAAAAACAAGTTGGTAACACTTCCTAATATAATAGTTGATAGCTCACAGAGTACCAGCACTACTGCAAAACTGGGGGTCCTAATCCACTACGGGTTGAGTAGAGACCGAACAATAACAGGAGAAACTCTACCATAACTCACAGTCAGCAGGAGCATCCCGACCCCGTCAAACTTACTTCTCAGAAACGGCGGTTCTATCGAGTATGATTAGCCATGCCAATGCATCAATACGAGGATAGAGAACCTACCCCAAAAGGGGCTATGTTAAGGTAAACATCATTTCGATATGCTTTCTCTTTGATCTGCAGATGAAGTTACTAACTCTTCAAACTCATTTTCATGTAAAATAAACGTCAAACTACAGCCTAATTTAGCCAATGTATACTGCATCCCGATCAAACATTACACGTTTTAAGTCTCCCAACCCCAAATTTTTGTAGGTAAATTATTTCGACAATAAGTTATTGTTTGACCCATCTAGCTCAGGACACGAACAATGATATTTGTTGGTGTGGGGTTGACTCACGATCCGTTCGTCTGATCTCGTCGGGAGGGAAAGAACCTGTGAAAGAGTCGGGGTTGCCCCCCGGATTAAGCTCCGACGGTCAAGTTAGTGTCGGTTTGTGGAGAGAGTTGAGAGAATAGATAGGGAGATAAAGTGTAGAGAGATAGTGGAAAGTGGAAAGTGAGGAGAGAGGCCAGAAGAAGCCCCATTCTTTGGAGGGCTTCAAGCCCTTATATACCTGTAGCGGGTATCGAGCGTTGGGCATCGCCGATTATGCGCCCTACTGCTTAGTCTGTGCGCTCAGTCCCTTAGTCACACCCCCAACAATTGCCCCCCAAGCTGGTGGTGAGTTTTACCTCATCGCTAGCTTATATTTTATTTTTTAAATCTTTGTCGGTAATTTTGGGTGGGGCCTATGTACCCCAGTTGCCCCCCAGCTGGTGGCGCGTTTGAGTGACGCGGTGCCAGCTTCTTGCGTCTTGCCCCCCATTAGCGTCATTAACGCTTAGGAGGTAAAATATTTCAAATTTAATAATGATAGAGTACTTATCTTTATATTGGTACCGTGGCGTCAGGAATAGTTGAAAATCAGACGCTGCGCCATTGAATCACTGAGCGCGTATGTAGCCTGTTGGTGATGTTGCTTGCCTAGCGGAGGAAGGACGCGAGTTCAATTCCTGTCGGCGGCAATAATATTTTTGACTCAGACTGGAACAAGGATGGACGGGGCGGACTGGTGACGCGGGCCGGACGCGAGTTGGGCTTGCGCGCGTCGCGGGCTGAGGGAAGATGCTGCGCGGGTTGGTGTCGGGACCGCGTGTTGAGGGTGGAATCAGATGACGCGAAATGGACTGGAGCGGACTCTGAACGCGGGCCGCGAGTGATAATTGGCCCACTTGATCGTCTCTTGGTAAAATATAGGCACGACGCATCTTTTAGGACAAGTTGTTGTTGTGGCTTACTGGTGTGCACGCTAGGCTGTCCAAATTAGTGTGCAGGTTCGAACTCCCACTGAGGAATTTTTATCGACTTAATGGGCGGTGGCGTGACGTTGGGCCGCGCGGGCTCGTTGGGCCGCGCGGGCTCGTTGGCCGCGTGGCAAATTAACCCCCGCCCTTGATATGTAGTTTTTTTTTTTTTTTTTTTTTATGCTCGTATTGAAGTCTTATTTATGTGCTTCGTTGAGACTTATTTGTGGCTCCTCGTCGGGGATGGTACACCCTCAGTTTGGAGTCTTCGATGCTCGTATTGAAGTCTTATTTGTGTGCTTCGTTGAGACTTATTTGTGGCTCCTCGTCGGGGATGGTACACCCTCAGTTTGGAGCCCTCCTCGTCGGGGATGGCACACCCTCAGTTTGGAGTCTTCGATGCTCGTATTGAAGTCTTATTTGTGTGCTTCGTTGAGACTTATTTGTGGCTCCTCGTCGGGGATGGTACACCCTCAGTTTGGAGCCCTCCTCGTCGGGGATGGTACACCCTCAGTTTGGAGTCTTCGATGCTCGTATTGAAGTCTTATTTGTGTGCTTCGTTGAGACTTATTTGTGGCTCCTCGTCGGGGATGGTACACCCTCAGTTTGGAGCCCTCCTCGTCGGGGATGGTACACCCTCAGTTTGGAGTCTTCGATGCTCGTATTGAAGTCTTATTTGTGTGCTTCGTTGAGACTTATTTGTGGCTCCTCGTCGGGGATGGTACACCCTCAGTTTGGAGCCCTCCTCGTCGGGGATGGTACACCCTCAGTTTGGAGTCTTCGATGCTCGTATTGAAGTCTTATTTGTGTGCTTCGTTGAGACTTATTTGTGGCTCCTCGTCGGGGATGGTACACCCTCAGTTTGGAGCCCTCCTCGTCGGGGATGGTACACCCTCAGTTTGGAGTCTTCGATGTAATGTGAGAGTAAAATATTTCAATATTTGATAGTGATAAAGGGATAGAGTACTTAGCTTTCTACTGGCGAAGTGGCGCGAAGAGAGTTAAATAAGAGTGCTGCGCCAACGAATCACAACGCGCATATGTAGTCTGTTGGTAATGTCTCTTGTCTGGCGTAGGAGTGGCGCGGGTTCGAGGCATCGCGCCGACTTTATTTTTGAAGCGTTCCGTGTCTATGAAATGCGGGCCGCTAGTTGGGCCTCTGTGGGGGGACTTGGATCCGCGACTTGGGCTTCGTTCGCGCGAGGAAGCTGAGCGGGATTCGGGCCGCGAGTTGGATTGCGTGGGCCCCTGTGGCGTGTGCTGCGAGGCGCGGCAGTGCATACTTCAAAAAATGGTGGCGCGCATAATTTAACAAGAAGTTCTTCTGTTGTACTGGTCGGCTTGCTCGAATGTTGAAGTATTGGCGCGGGTTCAATTCCCCGCGGCAGCAATAATATCTTTTTATTACCCCAAGCTCTGCTTGGGTAGCGAGTCTAATACTGGCGGTGGCCCATCAGACGTTGGTGGGCTTGGCGGGACGTTGGAGCGGGCCTCAGTTGGATTCTGGTACGGCTTTGCTTGGCGCGCGTCAGCTTGGTAGCGGATTGACTTTCGCTTTCCCCCTTTTTTTTTTTTTTTTTTTTTGTTTTTTGTTTTTTTTTTGTTTTTTGTTTTTTTGTTTTTTTTTTGTTTTTTGTTTTTTTTCTTTGTTGCCTCTGCAATTTTCCCTTTCCGGGCGGAGAGAGCAGGTTTACCGTCTTGTTGCGCGGAGAAGCAAGGGGCGCAATGTCGCCAAAGAATTTTGGCGAAGCGGAGACCGAGAGAGTCGCCGTTGTCTGGTCGCGCGACTACAGGGAGAGCCGACGCTTGGCGAAGCGGAGACCGAGAGAGTCGCCGTTGTCTGGTCGCGCGACTACAGGGAGAGCCGACGCCGTTTGTCGCGCTGCGTTCGTTGGATCCTAGCCTGGGCGGTCTTGACTTTGGCGGAGGTTGTAGCGGCGGACATTGAGGCGGTCATTTGTGGCGGGAGTGTCACGTTTTCATTAACGGATTGCGACGCGCGATGGAGAGACTAGAGCGGCGACATTATGTCGCGTGGCCGTTGGTGCCAATGGATTGAGGGTGGGTGGAGGTTATTGCTTCCGCTCGACAACCACTCTCCGCGCGGAGCATGTTGGGCCTCAGAGGTGGATCAAGGCGCTGTGCTGGTCGAGCTTTGGCGATGCAAATCCGTGTCGCGGACTGGGTCGGACTTCCATGAAGGTGCAGGTGATATCGGGGGAGTAGAGCTCGCGGCGGGATCGACTAAGGCGATTGGTAGGTTGTTGCACAGCGACCAGCCACACGACGAGGTAAGAGTGACGCTCTCTGTTTGCCTCGGAAACTGTGTTCGCCTCGATATATGTGTCCACGGCTTTTTTGACATGACGTGAAGATGGCGGTAGCCCATTTTCTGGGAAAAAGCTCTGGGATGGCGATGGGGCAACAAATGAAGACTGCCACTTCTTCCTCTTCTTGCCGAAGCTCTGGCGGTCAGATTTTGAGGACGTTGTAGTCTTGTTCTTCTGTTGCTTTTAGCCTTTTTTTTTTTTTTTTTTTTTTTTTGAATCGAGCTACTGGCACTGCTTCTTTTTCATGGAGGGATGACCACCGTCGACGGTGAAGTCGAGGATTATGGCACCGCCACGCCTGGTTTGAGTGAAATCTTCTGCGAAGAACAAGTGGAACTTTGCTGGGATTTTTCCTCGGACTCGAACCGTGCTTGCTTCTCTTTTATTGTCGTTGTCGCCGCCGCTTGCAGTTGCGGCTGTCGGGTCTTATAGTTGGTGAGGGAAGAGCCGATTTCTTCTCAAAAGCTTGCAAATCTGGAATACCTTTCTCTTTGTTGGAGTTTCTGTAACTTTTCGGGTTCAGAGATCCCTCCTTTCGGAAACCAGCTGAATGAATATGTAAATCAAGCCCCACGGTGGGCGCCAATTGTTTGACCCATCTAGCTCAGGACACGAACAATGATATTTGTTGGTGTGGGGTTGACTCACGATCCGTTCGTCTGATCTCGTCGGGAGGGAAAGAACCTGTGAAAGAGTCGGGGTTGCCCCCCGGATTAAGCTCCGACGGTCAAGTTAGTGTCGGTTTGTGGAGAGAGTTGAGAGAATAGATAGGGAGATAAAGTGTAGAGAGATAGTGGAAAGTGGAAAGTGAGGAGAGAGGCCAGAAGAAGCCCCATTCTTTGGAGGGCTTCAAGCCCTTATATACCTGTAGCGGGTATCGAGCGTTGGGCATCGCCGATTATGCGCCCTACTGCTTAGTCTGTGCGCTCAGTCCCTTAGTCACACCCCCAACAGTTATTTATTGTGCAAGTCTTACAATCCTATAATAAAGTATGGGGTGCAAAACTAAAATAATAAAACCTTTTACCAATAAAAACGTAATTATTTCAGACGGTGCCGTTCCGCATAATCTGTTAACAAATGCATTATGGAGCTCTCAATAATAAACCGTATAAATACACGAATTCACACAACTCCCCTCCGTGTTAGTTTTCTTCTTTCGTTACATGCTCTCTCTCTCTCTTAAAAGCTTCTTGTAAATTGCATGGCGACTTGGGTTTCTTCCTTCCGAGATTAGGGCACCAATTCACTCTCGATCGGAAACACTCCCCATCTGGAGGAGAAAAGATGTAATTTCCAGCGGGATTCACAGCTCTGATTTCGAAGGAGACGCTTAACTGTAACTTCGGTTCTCGGAGGTTTTGGGATTTCTAGGGTTTGTTGATTTTTTTTTTTTTTGGTTCGGTCACCCATTTCTAGGACGTCTGCAAAATATTTTCCCCCCGGTTTTGGGTAGTGAGGCCATGAAAGGCCAGTCTGATAAGACGAAGGTGGTCGTGCGGCGCTTGCCGCCGACGATTTCTCAAGCAACGCTGATGGAGCAAATCGATTCCTCATTTGCTGGTCGCTACAGTTGGGTCGCGTTCCGCACCGGCAAGAGCAGGTCAGGGGTTTCTTTTCCGTAGAATTTTAGGTGAATGGTGGATGTTATTTGCCCTATTTTGATAGTTATGTTTGTGATTTCGGTTGGAGGTCTGGTATTTAAGCCGCAGTTGCGTACAATCTGATGTACTTATAATTTTACTGGGTCTATTCGTCTTCTAGTATCTTTCTACTGCCGGCTTTTGTTCAATATGGAGGTGCTGTGCTAGGATGTTTATTGTTGCTCTTGTTGCAAATGATGTCTGTTTTCCGGAATTTGTGGAAAGGATATTAAGTGGACGAACTGAGTGAGGACCTCGATATTGGCCTTTGATTCCTAGAAATTGGTTATTTGGGGGCTCTAGATTCATACTGTAGTTGGTCCAAAATATTGGGATAGCTGGACATTTCATATCAGTGAAGGGTTTGCTGCTTAGGATGATTGAATTGCGAAAGTCAGTTTTGTGAGTATTCAGTATCACTCCCTCAGTTTAGCATTTATATCGTTGACGATTAGTAGAAATGATGAGCTAATCTGTTGTTTAGGAACCCTAAAGTCCTGTTTGCCTTTATCTTTTGTTTCTCCACTCATGTTTTGCGCAACCAAACTTTGCTTCCATCTCAATGTCATTGTACAGTTCACTATTGTGTGTTGTACTATTAGTTGTGGCATTTTTGCGTGCAGCTTCTATTTGGTTGATTTTGCCAAATTCAATGCTGCAATCTGTTTTTACTGAAGCTTGAGATCTGATTAAGAATGTATCCTGATGAATTATTCTGAAAATGATTTTGCAGTCAGAAGCATCAATCATATTCAAGAGCCTACATTGACTTCAAAACACCAGAAGATGTGATTGAGTTTGCTGAGTTCTTTAACGGGCATATGTTTGTTAATGAGAAGGGTAAATATGGAGCATATTTCTTTAACAGAATGATTAGTAGGGGCACTTTGAGTCGGCGATAGGAGTAGAATATCTTTGTTTTCCAAATTTCTCAAATGATTACTGTGGCTGGTGAATCTCTAGGTGGATCATTTTGGAAAGACTGGGATTTGTGCTTCTCTTCACATTTTGATGGATGTCAACTTTGTAGGATTTGTAAAATGACTGTATTGTACAATTCCTTTTCAGGAACTCAGTTTAAAGCTGTCGTTGAGTATGCTCCCTCCCAGCGTGTTCCAAAGCATTTATCTAAAAAGGATGGACGTGAAGGCACAATATCAAAGGGTATTTCAATTGAAAATGAATGTTGTCTTGTCCAGAATTCATCCTCTGTCCCACGTCGCCTTACTTTAGTCTAATACACTAGTGAAACTTTGTGATTCTTGGCCATCCAGATCCCGAGTACCTACAATTCCTTGAAGCTATTTTGAAGCCCGTTGAGAACCTTCCTAGTGCAGAAATTCAACTGGAAAGAAGAGACGCTGAAAGAGCTGGTTAGTTAACTAGACTATTGTCACATCTACAAATCTCCTCAATCTTTTTGATCTCGAATGCGACACCTGACTAGATGCTCTCTAGTTCTAGTAAAATAATGCCACTGGAACTTAAATCTTAATTACATTTCATTTGTTTGAAATATAGGTGCTGCAAAAGATGCTGTTATTGTTACACCACTGATGGAATTTATCAGGCAAAAACGAGCTGCGAAGAATGGTTCACGGGTAAATTCCTACTTGAGAGGCTGTCAAACTGAGACACATCAGCATTTGGAGTTTACTGTATTCTGTGATTTTCTAAATGCGATGTACACTTAAATGTTCACTTAGTAGACTATAAGACAAAGTGAGAGCAGTTGATGAATCGTATTACTCTGTAGTCTGTGTGATGCAACTATATTCAGTTCTTATTAATATCTGTGGCACATTTGGTCAGAATCTGATTCTGATTTTTGTAACAGAGAATTTTGGCCAATGGGAAACCCAGCAGAAGGTCTCTTGCAAGTGGAAGTCCTAGCTCATCATCATCAAAAAGGGGTTCCGACAAGAAGAGGACTTCAACAATGGTAATAATGGTTTAAACATATAGGTTTATGGAATTTTCTACCTATAATTTTTAAATGTACTCCTGTGGCGTTAGTTGCACTAGGCACTATCCTTATGTTTCTGCCATAATTAGGTGAGCCACCACAAAAATGGATGCGCTTGGTTCAAGCTGCTGGGGGCATAGGCACCTAGCACAGTTTGGCCAAAACCCTCTTCAGCCTGTTGTCCGTTCATTCTTAAAATGATCAATCAATTGTAGTCTATGCAAACCTACGTTAACAATACTGTTGCTATTCTGATGAGTAATTAAGTAAGTTACGTCAGTTATGAGTTATGGTTACAGTAATGATAAGGTTTTTTAATAACTTTCTTAATGCTAAAATTTGTACGTCTTATAAGTGGTCATTGGTTACTACTGTTTGTTTCGTGTTTTGTTCCTTCCGCAACCATATTGCTTGCTTATTGTCAAATTCTAGTATTTTCTGTGGTTCTTCTTTGGGAAAGAGTGTGCGGCCCTCCCACTTGAGTTTAATCGTGTTCTTTGTCTATCCAGGAATTCGTAATCCATGTTACTGCACTATACTTAATGATGTATTACGATAGATGTTAAATAACTTTAGGCAAGTAGTTATTGTAATGACAGTTTTCTCTCTCTTTTAGGTCTATAAACTTATAGTTCTTCTACATTGGTGCTAATCCAGCTCGCGGTTCTCTTCGTTAGTTTGTAATATGATTGGAGATAAACGTTGTATTGATTTTGAAAAATTGTCCTTATGCGTCTCCCAATATAAAAGATGAGCAACAAGTTTACTTATAATATAGAAGGTAAGTCAGCAAATAAGACAGAATTAAGATGCATCTATTTGCTGTAGTTGCTGTCGTTGATAGGGCTCACTCGTTCCTGAGCTGCAATCTGTTGCTTGCTTTGCAGCCAGCCTTAACTTTGCGACTCTAAAATGGCCTTTCCCACTAGTTTCTGTCATTCAGTTCGTGTGTGCTATTCCTGTTTCTTTAACTATTAGGTCTATCTTTTCTCTACTCGTAATCAATATTCTTGTAGCTGGGCTTTGAGGTTTGCTCCACTTCTATTGAAACTGGAAAGCTTTTGTCTTTAATTACCAATGTACCATATTTGGACTCTGTATGATATAATCTATTTTGACCTTGAATGGACAGTATGTTTTAAGGGATTCAACGAAAGGTGCAAGTGGAAAAGATAAATCTACCTACACACTGGTTTCCAAGCGAGATGATCATCAATTGTCTGGCAAAGTTGTTACATCTGCTTCTGGACCTGAAGGCTTGGAAGATAGAAGTGGTATGATAAAACCAATAGGATTGATAGGTTTTGGTTGTATAGATTTCTGCCGCACATCCCAATATTTTGGTTTCTTGTTGGCAGCAATTGCTGGAATGACTGATGGAGGGAAGAAAAGGATCCTGCTTCTGAAAGGGAAAGAGAAGGAAATTTCGTCGGTAAGTACTGCAATGCTTTATCGCCTTTACTTGGCCATTGCAGTTTCAGGAAAGTCGCGTCATGCTATGAATACAGGAAGCATTTTCTGTTGGTGGTGTATGATAATGGAGCCCAGTGGTAACACATGTTGGAACATGTTTATAGTTCATGTGTTAAAGTTAATTTGCTTTGTGAATCTTGTTAGTTCTTAGTTGCCGATCCTTTAGATCTGTTGACTTTTCTTTCCTGCACATGAGAGGGTGAATCTGGGCCAACTTAGATATGTTGTGTCATTATTTTTTTTTTGTCTATGTCCGATGTGCTTAGGACATAGTTACGTGTTACTTGGGATGGCATGCTCAGTTCATAATATTCCCTCTATGTTCCTCTGTCATGTGCAATCTGCCACATGACTGATAGTTTGTGGCCTGTGAAAATGCCAATGCTAAAAAGGTTGCATATTGCAACTCTTTAAAGCTGTGCAATATACAAAGCGCAGATGTTCTAATCTTCTCCTTTGTCAGGGTGCATCATTGCTTATGTACAATTTGCAAGAAACTTTAACTTTTGTGTCAATCAAATAAGCATTGGTGAATATTTGAAGAAACTTCAACTTTTAGAAACACGCTAGCTTATTTGTTTGCACTATGGCAGTTTCTCGATCAGCCAATTACCTCTTTCTGATAAGTAGATTATGTCGATTACTTTGCAGGTATCAGGTGGTCCAATATCACAGCAGAATGCAATATCATCTGAAAAACATGCTACTAGTTCTGGCAAACAGAATCACCGTCGTGAACCCAGTGGAAGGATCGTAAGGAGTATACTGTTAAAAGAACCTCGTCAATCTTCTGGTGCACTCTCTGAGCAGCAAATCCATTCTTCACATGTAGAAAGAGACAAGCGTCCTCCTCGTCCTCTTCAAGGCCAGTTAGTTTTGAAGGATGCTAATGGGACCCCAGATGACAGGGTTTCTGGGAACGACACACACTCTTTTCCTAGTGAAAAGCAACATGATAAGCGGACAAGAAATAAGGATAGACCTGATCGTGTTGTTTGGACTCCACTTCGCCGGTCCGATGGATCATACGCGAGTGATGAGTCCTTAGGATCTCAATCTACTGTTTCAGGCATGGATTTTTCTCAAGGTAGAGAGTATTCAATGGCTCAATGTATATATTTTGAGCTAGTGCTGGTTTTTATAAGCTCTATTGATTGCTAATTGTCACTCTTTGAAGAAGAATTGGAGTTATGCACAGTTTAGGAAAAGCTCATAATTAGACTTTTTTGGGGAAAGCTCATCAGGATGGATTCTGTCTGTTTATCCTATATTTTCAATTCTGTCTCGTACTGATTGCTGGTTATGGTGTCTGCAGGAAGTGCTGGAGATGTGAAAGTTGACATGACTTCTAGGAGTGAAGTAAAAGGACTTGGAAGTGATCGTAACAGTCATACTTCATTGGACAATGGTTGGGCCACTCAGGTCTAAGAGTTCACTTGTATGTATCATGAATGGTATCCACGTACCTCATTGGTTCTCCCTCCTTGAATTTGTTTCAGGATCGCATAAGCATTTTGGTCGTCGGGCACCCTCTCATACCCCGAGGGATTCTGATGGATCATCTGTTGAGGTGAAGCCTTCCTCTAAGAAAGTTGCCGCTGCTGCTTCTATTCATGGTTCTCATGAGGTGCTTACACTTTTTTGCTTTTAAAGTCTCAGTATCATGACCTTTATCTTGTCCATCTTGCTGTTTTGACATTTCAAGATTCTTTTGTTGTTGGTTTCATTCAAGTCACAGAAGCAAGTGTGGGTTCAGAAGTCAAGTTCTGGTTCTTAGTTCCTGGGGCTTGGTAAGCCTATTCCTTAGTTAGATGCTGGAATTGCTGCTGCTGAATTCTTTGTTAGCTGTCATACTTGTGCATCTATACTTGCCGCCAGGTTACTGATCTCATTGTCCTGCAGTGGAACAGAATGGACCATCTTCTGAAGTTTTTGAATGAAGCATGCAAATCATATGCATGGTTGGAAGGCCGTCTCTTTTTGCCATATCGAATGGAAATGGAATGATGAGGTGTGAAAGGGAAGTTGAGCAACGGAGGTCTGTTTCTACCGGAAAACCTAGAGTTTGAGAAAAATTGACGTCAATGATGCATGCAAATATTGATGTATTTACACACGTCGGTTGGTGAGCTTGAAGAAGACGCATCCCAATCGTTTAAAGTCAAGGCAGCTCGGACTAGAGGAGAACTAAACAACAGATAGCAAGGCGAATGAAAAGGGAAAGCGAACACGTACAGCATCATAGATAAAGATTACTACTAGAGTTTGCCCATGGACGAGGCTCTTTTTTCGACTGGCTCTACTCGTTCGAGGAGCTGTAAGCTGTTATACAACGACTACTAGTATCCTCACTATTCTTGCCTACTGACTTGAGAGTAAGTTGGGAAAGAAGTCTTGAGTTTTGTAGGTGGATTTCCCTTCCCTTGTTGGAAACTGTACATATAAGTAGCAGTTTCTCTGGAGAAGAGAAACAGGGTTGTCTTTCTACCGAGTGTGAAAGATTCAGTATTTGGTTGGTTGGAGTCGAGTTTGTACGACATGGCCCTTGATATTTTGTAGGGCTATATAGCCTCTTCCTCGTACACACAAACAGCCCTTCTGGGTCTTGTTTGAAGAGAAACTATGTTGTGTCTCGTCTATCAGTGTTCGCGATGTGTGATGTCTCTTTTGGTGCTTGTGTTTGTTTGTACTCTTTTTGTCGCATTGTTCACCCTAAAAGTTCAGCAAGGAAGAAAAGGTTTGATTCGAGTTACGCTCATTGCTCGTACGAATATAAATACTTTGCTTCATTCTTATCGTGAAAGAAAGAACGGTGATTTCATTGGCTTCGTCGGAAGTTTGCACCATCAAAGATTTCGAGCGTTTATCCGAAATGTAATTTTCTTTCGATTCTGGAGGCTACAGATCATGGAATCAGGCCGAGGCTATTCTCCAACGATAATAAAGTCTATTGATCCTATTTTCCACGGATAATAAGTCCGTTAAGCATCGATTTGGGCCAAATTATTTTCGGATTACATTTTCGTAATTTCTAGGGCGATGAAATGCCATTTTCTTTGGATATTGAAGGCTACTGATCATGGATTCAGCCTGAGGCTATTCTCCAACGATGATTGAGTCCATTAAGCACCGATTTGTGCGGATTTATTCCTATCAATTTTTGGCAGATTCCAAAGGGGTACCATCACAGATTTCGGGCGATTTATCCGAAATGCCATTTTCTTTCGATTCTGGAGGCTACAGATCACGAAATCAGGCCGATGCTATTCTCCACCGATAATGAAGTCTATTGCTCCTATTCTCCACGGATGATAATCCGTTAAACATCGATTTGAGCCAATTTATTTTCGGATGACATTTTTCGTAATTTCTTGGGCGACGAAAGACCATTTTCTTTGGATATTGAAGGCTACAGATCACGGATTCGGCCTGAGGCTATTCTCCAACGATGATTGAGTCCATTAAGCACCGATTTGGGCGGATTTATTCCGGGTAAATTTTTGACAGATTCCAAAGGGGTACCATCACAGATTTCGCGCGATTTATCCGAAATGCCATTTTCTTTCGATTCTGGAGACTACAGATCACGGAATCAGGCCGAGGCTATTCTCCACCGATAATGAAGTCTATTGATCCTATTCTCCACGGATGATAAGTCCGTTAAGCATCGATTTGGGCCAATTTATTTTCGGATGGCATTTTCGTAATTTCTTGGGGGGACGAAAGGCCATTTGCTTTGGATATTGAAGGCTACAGATCACGGATTCGGCCTTAGGCTATTCTCCAACGATGATTGAGTCCATTAAGCACCGGTTTGGGCGGATTTATTCCGGGTCAATTTTTGGCAGATTCCAAAGGGGTACCATCACAGATTTCGCGCGATTTATCCAAATGCCATTTTCTTTCGATTCTGGAGGCTACAGATCATGGAATCAGGCCGAGACTATTCTCCACCGATAATGAAGCCTATTTATCCTATTCTCCACGGATGATAAGTCCGTTGAGCATCGATTTGGGGCAATTTATTTTCGGATGTCATTTTCGTAATTTCTTGGGCGACGAAAGGCCATTTTCTTTGGATATTGAAGGCTACAGATCACGGATTCGACATGAGGCTATTCTCCAACGATAATTGAGTCCATTAAGCACCGATTTGGGAGGATTTATTCCGGGTCAATTTTTGGCAGATTCCAAAGGGGTACCATCACAGATTTCGCGCGATTTATCCAAATGCCATTTTCTTTCGATTCTGGAGGCTACAGATCACGGACTCAGGCCGAGGCTATTCTCCACCGATAATGAAGTCTATTGATCCTATTCTCCACGGATGATAAGTCCGTTAAGTATCGATTTGGGCAAATTTATTTTTGGATGACATTTTCGTAATTTCTTGGGGGGACGAAAGACCATTTGCTTTGGATATTGAAGGCTAGAGATCACGGATTCGGCCTCAGGCTATTCTCCAACGAAGATTGAGTCCATTAAGCACCGATTTGGGCGGATTTATTCCGGGTCAATTTTTGGCAGATTCCAAAGGGGTACCATAACAGATTTCAGGGGATTTATCCGAAATGCCATTTTCTTTCGATTCTGGAGGCTACAGATCACGGAATCAGGCCGAGGCTATTCTCCACCGATATTGAAGTCTATTGATCCTATTCTCCACGGATGATAAGTCCAATAAGCACCGATTTGGGCCAATTTATTTTCGGATTGCATTTTCGTAATTTTGTGGGCGTCGAAAGGCCATTTTCTTTTGATTTTGAAGGCTACAGGTCACGGATTCGGCCTGAGGCTATTCTCCAATGATGATTGAGTCCATTAAGCACCGATTTGGGCGGATTTATTCCGGGTCAATTTTTGGCACATTCCAAAGGGGTACCACCAAAGATTTCGCGCGATTTATCCGAAATGCCATATTCTTTCGATTCTGGAGGCTACAGATCACAGAATAAGGCCGAGGCTATTCTCCACTGATAATGAAGTCTATTTATCCTATTCTCCACGGATGATAAGTCCGTTAAGCATCGATTTGGGCCAATTTATTTTCGGATGGCATTTTTCGTAATTTCTTGGGGGGACGAAAGACCATTTGCTTTGGATATTGAAGGCTAGAGATCACGGATTCGGCCTGAGGCTATTCTCCAACGAAGATTGAGTCCATTAAGCACCGATTTGGGCGGATTTATTCCGGGTCAATTTTTGGCAGATTCCAAAGGGGTATCATAACAGATTTCAAGCGATTTATCCGAAATGCTATTTTCTTTCGATTCTGGAGGCTACAGATCACGGAATCAGGCCGAGGCTATTCTCCACCGATATTGAAGTCTATTGATCCTATTCTCCACGGATGATAAGTCTATTAAGCATCGATTTGGGCCAATTTGTTTTTGGATGGCATTTTCGTAATTTCTTGTGCGACGAAAGGCCATTTTCTTTGGATATTGAAGGCTACAGATCACGGATTCGGCCTGAGGCTATTCTCCAATGATGATTGAGTCCATTAAGCACCGATTTGGGCGGATTTATTCCGGATCAATTTTTGGCAGATTCCAAAGGGGTACCATCACAGATTTCGCGCGATTTATCCGAAATGCCTTATTCTTTCGATTCTGGAGGCTACAGATCACGGAATCAGGCCGAGACTATTCTCCACCGATAATGAAGTCTATTTATCCTATTCTCCACGGATGATAAGTCCAATAAGCACCGATTTGGGCCAATTTATTTTTCAGATGGCATTTTCGTAATTTTGTGGGCGTCGAAAGGCCATTTTCTTTTGATTTTGAAGGCTACAGGTCACGGATTCGGCCTGAGACTATTCTTCAACGATGATTAAGTCCATTAAGCACCTATTTGGGCGGATTTATTCCGGGTCAATTTTTGGCAGATTGCAAAGGGGGTACCATCACAGATTTTGGGCGATTTTCCCGAAATGCCATTTTCTTTCGATTCTGGAGGCTACAGATCAAGGAATCAGGCCGAGGCTATTCTCCACCGATAATGAAGTCTATTGATCCTATTCTCCACGGATGATAAGTCCAATAAGCACCGATTTGGGCCAATTTATTTTCGGATGGCATTTTCGTAATTTTGTGGGCGTCGAAAGACCATTTTCTTTTGATTTTGAAGGCTACAGGTCACGGATTCGGCCTGAGACTATTCTTCAACGATGATTATGTCCATTAAGCACTGATTTGGGCGGATTTATTCCGGGTAAGTTTTTGGCAGATTGCAAAGGGGTACCACCACAGATTTTGCGTGATTTTCCCGAAATGCCATTTTCTTTCGATTCTGGAGGCTACAGATCACAGAATCAGGCCGAGGCTATTCTCCACCGATAATGAAGTCTATTGATCCTATTCTCTACGGATGATAAGTCCAATAAGCATCGATTTGTGCCAATTTATTTTCGGATGGCATTTTCGTAATTTTGTGGGCGTCGAAAGGCCATTTTCTTTTGATTTTGAAGGCTACAGGTCACGGATTCGGCCTGAGGATATTCTCCAACGATGATTGAGTCCATTAAGCACCGATTTGGGCGGATTTATTCCGGGTAAATTTTTGGCAGATTCCAAAGGGGTACCTTAACAGACTTCAGGCGATTTATCCGAAATGCTATTTTCTTTCGATTCTGGAGGCTACAGATCACGGAATCAGGCCGAGGCTATTCTCCACCGATATTGAAGTCTATTGATCCTATTCTCCACGGATGATAAGTCTATTAAGCATCGATTTGGGCCAATTTATTTTCGGATGGCATTTTCGTAATTTCTTGTGCGACGAAAGGCCATTTTCTTTGGATATTGAAGGCTACAGATCACGGATTCGGCCTGAGGCTATTGTCCAATGATGATTGAGTCCATTAAGCACCGATTTGGGCGGATTTATTCCGGATCAATTTTTGGCAGATTCCAAAGGGGTACCATCACAGATTTCGCGCGATTTATCCGAAATGACTTATTCTTTAGATTCTGGAGGCTACAGATCACGGAATCAGGCCGAGGCTATTCTCCACCGATAATGAAGTCTATTTATCCTATTCTCCACAGATGATAAGTCCAATAAGCACCGATTTGGGCCAATTTATTTTCAGATGGCATTTTCGTAATTTTGTGGGCGTCGAAAGGCCATTTTCTTTTGATTTTGAAGGCTACAGGTCACGGATTCGGCCTGAGACTATTCTTCAACGATGATTAAGTCCATTAAGCACCGATTTGGGCGGATTTATTCCGGGTCAATTTTTGGCAGATAGCAAAGGGGTACCATCACAGATTTTGGGCGATTTTCCCGAAATGCCATTTTCTTTCGATTCTGGAGGCTACAGATCAAGGAATCAGGCCGAGGCTATTCTCCACCGATAATGAAGTCTATTTATCCTATTCTCCACGGATGATAAGTCCAATAAGCACCGATTTGGGCCAATTTATTTTCGGATGGCATTTTCGTAATTTTGTGTGCGTCGAAAGGCCATTTTCTTTTGATTTTGAAGGCTACAGGTCACGGATTCGACCTGAGACTATTCTTCAACGATGATTAAGTCCATTAAGCACCGATTTGGGCGGATTTATTCCGGGTCAATTTTTGGCAGATAGCAAAGGGGTACCATCACAGATTTTGGGCGATTTTCCCGAAATGCCATTTTCTTTCGATTCTGGAGGCTACAGATCAAGGAATCAGGCCGAGGCTATTCTCCACCGATAATGAAGTCTATTTATCCCATTCTCCACGGATGATAAGTCCAATAAGCAC